GATGACTAAATTGCTAATGAAAGAGAAAATGTTATAATTTCTAGGATTAAACGTGGACTTATCACAGAAGCACCTATTGTGTGAATATTTTAGCGATTGTTGTTGTAGGTGATCAAGTGGCCGACTTACTGCTTTTTTACCGATCAAATTACTATATTTTAACTAGCTGTATGACTGATTCGCTGAAGGATTTACTGACTCACAGCACTTGCCTACTCTACTGACTGATTGGCTGATTGACTTACCGGCTGAGTGAGGGAGTGACTGACTGACTGACTGATTGACTGAGTGGGTAGATGACTGATTGACTGACAGACTTTCTGAGTAATTGATTGAATAACGGACTAGATCACTGTTCAGAACGATTTCAATGACCGACTGATTAAAATACAGACTGACTAACTGACTGTCTGACTAATTAACCAACGGACGGACTAACCGGCTGGCTGGCTGACTTATTGAATAACTGACAGAGTGAGCGTCTGTAAGGCTGGCTGACTGACTGACTAGTGGACGGAACGACTAATTGGCCAATACGCTATCTGACCAACCAAACTTGGAAATGTCGGAAGGCAAAGGCTTAAATAGCAACATAACAATGTGATTTGAGTTTGTTAAACAGAGAGCCTACTAAACATATGAAACAAAGAGGCCAGCTGACAGTCGATACAATGACAGAGGAACCGTCGGACAGACGGGTAGACGGATAGACAGATTCACCGATAGACAGACGAAAAGCAGACAGACAGATTTACCGATAGACAGACGAAAAGCAGACAGACAGATTTACCGATAGGCAGACGAAAAGCAGACAAACAGATTTACCGATAGACAGACGAAAAGTGGAAATACAGATTCACCGATAGACAGACGAAAAGCAGACAGACAGATTCACCGATAGACAGACGAAAAGCAGACAGATAGATTCACCGATAGACTGACAAAAGACAGACTAACAGGCAGGCTCTCTGACCAACTGAACAACTAACGTTGTCTAATATGACTGTCGATTGTAAGTAGATTGCGGAACTGATCAACTGACACGGTAAACTTGGACTGTCTGAAGACTATCTGATAAAATATAGCCAAGATGATACTCGCACACTCTTGACTTTGAAGTCTCTAAATTGTCTAATAATCAACTATTCGACAATTTGACGGCAAAGCAAGTCACCGCATCAAGTATCAAGTAACGAAGCGAATCATTACCACTTGATTAAAATCAGATAAAGTAAGTTGTAAACACGTTTTCATCATGTTAATTTAACCTAGAAATTCGACTTTGATTTTGAGAGAGGAACAATAGACAACGATTTTGTAAACTTTGATGTAAGTCAGGTAGATAAATTTCAAAATACAGGCTCAGGGAGTCAGATATAAATCAGTGTTCAATTAGAAAACACCTAACTGATGGACAAAGACATACAGACGAAAAAAACAAGACAGAAAAAAAGAAACTTAGTTAAGGCCAACAATCGGAAATAATCGAGTAGAAATTGAGCTGAAACAACGGAAAAGTGGCTGTCGTAGGAAGCTAACTAATTGACAGATTAAACTGTCTAAAGGACCAAGTCCAACTGATTCCTTATTGGCTGATCCGGCGACTTGATGAATAACTGACTGACTAATTCTCTTAATTCATAGAGCCCAAGGCGCGAAATGAAATTTATGGCCCTTTGAAAGTCTGTTTGTAATCAGGATAACGGGTGATATCGAAAGCCATGAGTAAATGCAACCAAAAAGAAAAAAAAAAAGCAAACCAAAAAAAAAAACAACAACAACAAAATCAACAAACAAACAAACAAACAAACACATAAAACGAACAACAAATCATACAATCAAATATCATGTTTAAAAATGTGACAGAAGTACTAGTACCTAAGAGCCTCTTAAGTACTTCATTTGTTAATACTATCAACACTGATTTAAAAGTTAATCAAAAATAACGCGAGCAAATAGAAGCCATACAAATTGCCTCTAGCTATTAGTAAGCCAGCTGTAAAGACAAATCAAAGAACTGTAAATAGGTTATCATAACTGTACATAGTTTTTAACTTAGGCGTAATAATTCAAGTAGACTGACCTTGATCGAGTTTCACGTCACTTTAACTGCAAGCTTGCTCTTCCACTCGAACTAATCAAACATTTGCTTAATCGCCAGCGTTTTCATTTACGCGCATTTAACCCTTTCCACCCTAACATCAGTATCCATATTCTCCATACTATTCTATGCACATTTGCTCTTGTACTGGTGTGGAGAATTGTTCAACAATCAAAGGTTCTTCGGTTGGCGATAATTTTCTTTATTCTCATGATATTAACGAATGATTCAGCAGTATTGCTGTAAGGAAAGATTGCTTGCTCGTCACTCTCAGGGTGCAGAGGATTAAAAGACGCAATAAAAAAAGCTCTTTAAATCAAGGAAATACTTAGGATTTTATGCTATAAAATATATTATGTTTGATTGGTTACAAGCTGCGAGCTACCCTAACCGAAGCCAAGGATTTTCTCAGAGCGGCAACAAAGTCTTAACTGTTTCACGATGTAATATCACTCATGCTGTACATAAATAAAATTATGTGATAGATTAATGAACTACTGGTTGTTCTTTGTGCGTCGATCTCTAATATACGTTAACCGAGGTAAGATAGAATTCGTTTGACACTCTACAATAATAGAAACGAAAGAACCGTGGAGTACAAATTGTAATTAGCTAAAAAAAAAATTATGACATATGTTTGTACACTATCCTCAATAAAACTGTGACAGTACATTCACGCTTTTTTGTACTTTTTTGTACAGAAATAACGTCAGGCGCTACTGAATAAAGTCGTGGTGCATCGCGGTTGACAAATGCTACAACAGAAAGAAAAAAATCATTGAATGCGTATGGCCTGTAAGTTGTCGCCTGCATCTAAAGGAGGTTCTTAACTCTTCACACCCTGACATCAGTATGCATATTCTCCGTACTGTTCTCTATAATTTTCCTAAGATGCAAACGAGAGGAATTTGATTCACTCAAGAGCTTCTTTAGTCGGTGATCATTTCCTTTTTTCTCGTCACCTAAACTGTTTCAGGGTGATATTGTGATGAAAAATGAGATGTAAGTCACTCAAGAGGTGTCAAAGGGCTAACGAGTGTATCTTTTCATCTTGTTTATTCTATGGAGAAGAGTACAATAAACATGCGGGGAAACTGTGTAATGTTCAACTAATTTTATTCACAAAACAACTATCACTAGATCACAAGGTTAGGAAGCCTGTGGCTTCAATTCACATATACAACACTTACAATGCAACACCTATTCATAACGTTGAAAGTTTGTTGTCATAGTAACATGCCTTAAAACTATCGCTAAACAAAAATCCGAAAAAGCGACAATTGATTATAGAGAGAGCAATCACCATGTTAAAACACTGGGAACTATTCAACAGTGTCTGGACTACAAGGCAAACGTTGTGTCATTTCTAGTAAAATATTATCAGTGACAAAAACAGGAAATTAACTTAGAACAGAAAACAAGGAACGATGGTTGAACCTTTCCTAGCCTAACGTCGCTATGCTTATTCTCCTTACTGTTCTTCATACATTTCCAAAGGTGCCACAAGAAAGAATTTGTTAACAATCTACACCTTGATTAGTTGGTGATTCAGTGGTGATATAGTAAGAAAATATCTGATGCTAGTCACCCTTTAGGATCAAAGGGCTAAGGTGAAGGAAATAAAGTTGGATTAATTTACAAAGTAATCTACTCGTGAAAGTAACACAACGATTGCTTCAAAGTCAGACAATCATCTGAAACCACCAAGAATAGAAATGGCAACTCCAAGGGAATGCTAAACATCAACTTTCTTTAGAATTTAAACAACAATTACTGAGACTGTACAAGTGACGAAATATATCCAAACTATTATTTCTTAACCTATGTCCATACATCTATGCTAATATTTACAAACTTTTTAATTATACAACAGCCAACAATTCAATACGTAACATAATATATTCTCTTTCGTTGGCAAAACCAAACAATCTTGCAACGGATTCTTGTACTGTCATGCTACGCTTCTTAGTGCAACTGTGAGAAGCGTTGCGTGACAATCGTTGCGTGACAACTTAAATAAACGGTTGTCTTGATTCTGCAAAAATTCTGAGGCTAAAGCTCAGAAGCGTAACTGCTAAACGATTTGTTTTTTTAAACGTGACACTTAATTTATACCTGCGACACCTATAGAACATTCACGTCCTTTGCTAAAAGACATCGCTCAAAGCGAACACGCGAACGCTGGTGAATTCCCATGTTACTAACTCTAATAATGAGAATTCAAGCCACGTGGAAATTTTGGAGTCACTCAATTACAAATTCAAGTTGTTATTTACACTGATTGGATGACATGGTGTTGCAGATACAAATTTCAAAGAGGGCAGGAGTAGAATCTACCTTGATATAATGTGCCCCTCAATTTAAATGACAAACTATTAAGAGTGCATACAAAATATATGCTTGGTAAAAAACTAGGAAACAAAACCTAAATATCTTTAGAATGATGACTTTACGATAAACTATAAAATGTGACACCTAAATGAAAAGCGGAACTAAAATACACGCACCGCCATTTTTAAGTGTTGTAAGAGTTCTTTGAAATACAAACGGTATTTTCATTTTTTTGTCTTACAGTAGGTATCAGTTGAAAAAGGCGAACATTAGGATGAGTGACTTACAACATATAAGGCAGCAAACAAAATCCGGATCAATATCAGTATCTGGGCAACTGCCCACCTACCCCTCCCCTAACCCAACATTAACCCTAACTTGTCATCAATTGACTATTGTTGGGTTAGGAGAGGGGTAGGTGGGCAGTTGGCCAGATACTGATATTGATCCCAAAAACGATTGCAAATCATTAATACAGCGGCATTAATCAATTATACAATATCTTAGCAATTTTAAAGTTAATGTAGAACTCACTACAACCAAAAATATTTTCAGGCGTATGTTCTCTGTACAGTTTTTATACTGCCAAAACTATACACACATTTTTTTTAAGTAAAAAAGTAAACCATCGTTTTCAATACAAATTAACTAGAGCTTCACACTATGGTCCAAACCATTATTATAATTATTAATTATTAATTTGACTGCAAGTCATAGACTATCTTTCCATTCGAACATACAGCCAGCTGATGCCCAAACCTGTTGAACAGGATTTCGAAGAGGGACGAATTCCTGTCCAACGTGTTATTTTGTGGTCTGAAGTGTAAGCCTTCTCCTCGCTCAAACCCCGAGGGTCGCCCCATGGGGGAGTGGGGAGAGAAGACAGCTGACAAATCTGGAAAAAGTTTGATTCAAAGAAACAAAATTCATCTGAGCTGACCAATAAAATTTCTGCCACTTTTTTTTTTTTAACTAGGCAAAGATCAAGGCTGAGAAGGAACATATCTTAAACCTCTACATAACGCGAATAAATTATATTATATAATAAATTAGATTTTGTTTTGTTTTTCTCACATTATCAGTTTAGAGGTTTATGTTACAAAAATACAGTCAGACCTTGCTTAATACTGATTGATTTGTTGAATTTAAACATTATCCCTTAAAGGATATTAAACCCACCTTACTTCATTTGACAGTTTTGAGAGCAAAATTTTTAAGATCGAGAGAAGCAACACAACCTGCTAACCCTTGCAGGGCAGAGTCGAATGATCCATTATCCTAGAGCTCAATCCTGTGGTGTCCTGCTCCCCCTCCCCTCCCCATTGACTCAAAGGGGATGGGTTAGAGACCAGGAAAGTAGCAAGAACGGTAACTCCTCTTTTAGTGCTCTCATAGGTCTGAATGTCTGGAACACAGCAGATACATAACGCACTGTAGGTTAATATCAAACTATATCTTCTTTTAATACCACAGGGCGTGTTTCGTCGTCATCATCCTCGTCATATTCTACGCTACCTTGTCCTTCCATATAGTTGACATTATGAAAATTTCTGTTCAAATTTCCCTTGAATATTGCTGGCCGTTTAGTATAAACACCATCCGGTTTTACGATTATAGCTTTGTCGTCCGGCACATCTTGATCAGCAGTGTAATGAATTCTACAAGTAGAAAATAACACTTAAAGACTGTTTAATTGTAACCAAGAGACTCCCAGTAACACGGAAAAGTCCCCCCCTCCCAGGAAATAATATCCCTGGGATTTAAATTCCTTGAGAGATAACTATAGATAGTGTTTCCAAGACATAACTATGGTACAGTTCACTCAAAAGTCGAAATAACAGCTGGGATTAAAAAGGTCGATAAAAACATTGATCTGACTGGTAATTTACTGGTATGAAAACTTAAACTTACTCTAGCTTCGGCGATCTTTTTCTCCTTGCAATAATTAACAGAATGATGATAAACACGATCGCAATGAACCCAACAACACCAAACACAGCTCCCAAAATAATTCCGTAGTTAGGTTTGCTGTCGTCGTGCCCAGATTGTTGTTTAACAACTGGTTCTTCAGTGCTGTAACTCACACTAGCGGGGGATAACACAGTTGACGATGAAGATGGCGATGGCGATGGTTTGGTAGTTGGTGGCATAGCTGAATAATAAACAAGTGAATGAAAAATCATAAGAACACGTCTTCTCAACACTTGAGCAGGTCTTTTTTTTTGTTTCGTGTTTATCCGTTCCAGGCGTAACAAGTCAAATTCCTTCTACAACTACCTATCACCCGCTCAGAGAGCGTGTGAACAAACAAAAAAATAAACGAAAACACTAACTTACTCGAGTTACACGTCCTTCCATCAGCTTGAAGATAAAGGCCGTTAGGACAGTTGCAAGTAAACTTCTTAGCACCCGACGATAAAAGGCAAAGATGCGAACAATTTCCGTTATCTTTTGAACAAGGCGTAACAGCTGAAAAGAAAGATCAAGAGAAGCATTTTCTAACTGCAATTAAAACCTTTCTACAGATCAGCAGAACCTCAATACATAATCGCTAAGGATAGGCTAAACGCATTGTAGGTGTTAAACGAGATACACAGGACGCGGCTACGGGGGCCTCTAAGGTGCCTCTGAGCCCGCCAATGAGACACCACCTTTCCTTAGTACCATCCAAGCCTCTTATTGCGTTAATGCATTTAGCTGCGATTCAGATAAACGCGTTTTGGTTGCAAAATCAAGTACGTGTTTTAACTCCAATAATACTAACGCGTTTTAGCTGCGACCAAAAGTAAGAGTTTTTTTTGCCTACCATGTGGTTGCCTCTGTGGATGGTATATGTGCAAATCTTTGGGCGATTCGGCTTGATTCAAAAGAACTGTTACATTTTTCCCAGTAAACTTGTTGGCTTTGACGATCTTTCTCTGATCAATCCAGTACATGTGATCCTCAAACACTGTGATGGCAGAGGGATCCTTAATGCCCTGGTTCACCACCTCACGCACATTGGAACCATCCATATCACAATGCTTAATAACCTTGAGTTTAGCGTCAATCCAGAACAATTTCTTAGTGGTGAAGTCAATAGCTATGTCGACTGGCCATTCAATATGGTTTCCACTTATAACGATTTTTCGATCGCTTCCGTCCATGTTTGCTCGTTCAATTTTGGCCGGGTCTCCCCAGTCTGTCCAATATAAAACCCTGAAAGACAAAGATAGAAGAATGTAAGAATTTCCACCGAAAAACTTAACACAAAGATTAAGACTTGCACTTTAATTGTTTGGTTCTGGTCGACGCTTACAGGTTTCCTCAATAATAGTATGGTTGTCACGCAACATATCTTCACAAGAGACGCGATAACGATTGTGTGACGAACATTAAAGGTGTAACTCTGGGGTTATTCATTGCACTGATTCTAGGTTTCTTTGGACTCCAATTTGAAAATATTAGTGGATTTTTCTTACCCTTCAACGGGGTCAACAGCTATAGCGCTAAGTTTCTCGATGCCTTCGTTGATCAAAGTGTGACGGAAGGAACCGTCCATCTCGGATACTTCAATAGAACCACCTTCATTGGCCCAGTAGATTTTCCTCCCGACCCAGTCCACCGCGATGTGGGATGAATCTTCCAATCCTTCTTGCATGACGTCTACGATTTTGGGAGCAGGATTCTTATCAATACGAGCCCGCCGGATTTTCCTCAGAGACTTTTCTGTCCAATAAATCATGCTTGTTTTAAAATCGAAGTCCAAAGAAAAGGCGTTTGTAAGTTGAGCGACTGCTTCTTTGTAATCGGAGCCGTCTGTCCTGATCTGACGAATATTCCTACGATTGCTGAAGATCAACGATGGACGAGGACCTGACAGAGACACCATACGATATTAACCCCTTGCACATTAACATTAGAATGCATATTCTCCATACTGTTCTCTAAACGTTTCCTATGGTACTACCAAGGAACCTAATTTAAAATATATTAAAGTTCACATGGCAACCAGGTGGACAACCAGACATGGTTCGATGCTACTCTGGTTTACAGATTTAATGAATGTAACCGAAGAAGTTACAATTCATAGACCCAACGTTTCGACACTCCTGTCTGGTGCCGAGTGTCAAAACGTTGGGTCTATGAATTGTAACTTCTTCGGTTACATTCATTAAATCTGTAAACCAGAGTAGCATCAAGCCATGTCTGAGACCTAATTTGTTTAACAATCCAGAGCTCCTTTCGCAGGTGATCCTTTCTTTTATTCTCATTACCTTAATGTTGTTCTCATGCTTGGGGGTTTTCCTCAATCATTGTATCTATCGAGGACAGACCTTTCCGCTGTATACTTTAACTAATTACGAAACAAAACTTGCTAGGGTACTGTTTTTCCTAAACCCTTCCCAATCTTCAAGGCAACTGATCTTGTCCTTGACAAACTGCCTTGTCTAATTGAAAACTAGCTAAGCAGCTTTTGGGTAAAAGGGCTTGTCAAAGAAAACCTCGTCGTATATTTCGAGAATTCGGAGACCTTCGGTTGCTTTCCAATTACAGCTTCGTCAGAGTTAACTAATGGCAGCGTAGCGCCAGGATATCAAACCTAACTCGCGGGTAGATAACTTTTTTTACGTACCTCGAGTGGCGCGACATTTCCTGCCGTCAGGATCCAATTGATAACTGTCAAGACATGAACATTTAAATCCTCCTTTCAAGTTGTAACAGATTTGGCTGCACATTCCCGGAATATTGCACTCATTTATGTCTGTAACAGACAATAAAATTTCCAAGTCAAAATTGTGAAAAAATTAGAAGTAGTAGTTAAAGTAGTCATTTAAAGACTTGCTCTCTTACCAATCTTCGCTGATTTTAGCTGAGAATGCAGCAATACAAAGTGCCTAGTACTGCTCAAGTACTGCTTTCCAAATTCAACTTTATATTCCAACCTATTGAATACTAGCTCTGATACATTTTGGCTTATAAAATACTCAGCGATTATTGTCACGTAAGAAATCTAATTGGCTCGCAGGTGTTTTCCTCTTTGGTTTCCAAGGTCTTACCTTGGCAACTCTTTTTGTCGTCCGCTAGTTCATATCCAGGTCTGCACGAACAGTAGAACCCAGTCTTCGTGTTGTGGCAATAGTGCAAGCAATGTCCATTGTGATCCTTGCACTCATTTATGTCTAAGAACAATAAAAAAGTATTAAGAATATTAACCCTATACACCCTAAAGTATAGGTGACCAAGTTACTATTCGTTTTAGTTTTTTTGTCTTTGAGTTATTTTCAAGCGAGTGTCTTATGTAATCCAGAATTATTTTGGTATCCGCTGCGTGATTGGTCCAAAAAAACTCGCGCCTTTTGTTAACCAATCAGATTCAAAACTGAAACCGATCGCGACTTGGTCACTCGCGTTTTCCCGCGCTTCAAGCAATCTGCTTGCTTTCACTCTGCGTTCTCATTGGCTTCTTGTGGTTAATTTCCTCTCCGCTGATTGGCTGTTGAGATTGGCTTTGGTTTTACTAGACTCTAGCGGAACACACTTTCGGTTCAGGGAGAAGCACTCGTTTTAAAGACAAGACACAGAACGTGATGATACAACATGCAAGCAATTCTGGATTTATTTGAGACACTCCATCAAATATTGCGTAAAACAGGCATCAAGTTTTCAAACTCACCGCAGTTATTTTCATCCTCTCCATGGGGGCAGTCGGGATGTCTGTCACAGACTTTACTATCATCAATGCAAATTAAGCTGCTGCCACAACGAAATTCGTTGGCTTTGCACACGGAAGTGGTTTCTGTACAAAATGAATAGTGACAACAAAATACCTTTTCAGTCTGGTACTTTCTTCACCAAGACAAACGTTTATACAAGAGGAATCGGGATTGAGACTTAGAGGGCCTTATGTTACAAGCGCAAGCTTTAGATGTACAGCGTAATGCCAAAAAATTCACTTAAATTGTCATTTCTTCTCGTTAAAAACGGACTTTTCTGTATACTAGAAAGCAAATCGTTAGAGCTTTGATTGTAAGCTTATCTTTTATTTATTGGGTCTTTATTTTACCGCGATAGTGTTGAGCGCAAAGCTTTTAGTCAGCATCGCATTTTTCAGCCAGTTTTTGTACTTACTATTAGAGTAACCTGTTACATCAACTGTAGGGCCTGGCCGCGGAGACGCATGTGTAGTTGTCGGAGGTTGGGTACTAGTAGTTACAGACGGGGTTGGAGAAGCTGGGAGTTAGAAGACAGTTGCCCAGGTCAATTAATACAAGTATTATAAAGAGAAAGAACAGTTATTTGTGGACTATGACAATGGGTCAACACAAAGTAAATACGCTATCATTATTCACACCACAACGCGACTGCGGAGATAAAAGTGCACCGGTACCTCATGCAAAATACTGTGACGTGGAGGTACTTAGCACTTTTGTATTCATCGATACTAGCCTAAGTATTGTATTTTGAGTAGTGTAAGTATTCTTAATGTTGTGATGTTCGTTGATGTGATGCGATGTGTTCTAATATGACGTAATGTGACGCAATGCGATGGAATGTGATGTCATGTCATATACAACATAAAGTCTGAGTGTTGTTATTAAGGTAATTAGTACAAATCATCAACAGCATTTAAGCATAAAAAGAAAAAAACTACATCCTTGTAAGGATTCTAACGAAAAAGCCAGCTAGATTCAAAGCAAAGTTCAGCGAGGTTTCGTTTTAAGCTACGTGGGCAGCATAGTACCCAGCTTACACAGCCATTGCATGCTCGCAGTGCATTAGTAGTGAGTGGATACAATAGTCCATATAAGGTTAGGTAAAGTTGAAGTATGTACGTGCACATGAAACAGTAAAAAGCGTTGGAATTAAAAGGTATGGCCAGAAAAGGGAAAAAACAAGAGAATAGATGACACAAACGTTATTTACGAGTTGGAAAAAACTGGAAAAGAAGGCAAGTGGTTTCTGTCAACAGATCGAAAGAAAAAGCATTCACTGCTATGTCATCACGAAATGAGTTTAAGGCAATATTTAAAAGAGTTTATTTTTAAGAGGTTATCTTACTGTTCAATAAATTATGAAAAAGCGATAGTTTACTTTCCAACAATGCATTTATATTTCGCGGGAACCATTTGCTCGCGGCGATAAAGAAGAATTTAAGGGACTTTATAAGCTTTAATGGTCATCACGACCTTTCAGTTTAAAGTTTATTTAAGTGACGCTTACGAGATCATAAATTCAAGCGCAGCTTAACTTTTAAGATAGGCGTTGCTCCAATTTTAACTAAAGGCAGAGCAATCTAGGTGGAGACTTGCGATAAGCGTTTCCTTGGATTTAAAATGGTAACGAAATAACGGTGCAATATTTCTCAAGTACTACGAGAGATTTTTAGGGGACACGACTGCATTGAATGCAGCAAATCATATCACAAGACTGATACTGGTCGAGTTCCATCAGTTTTGATACTTACGACAATTCCTCTCGTCACTTTCATCACCACAGTCATCGTTTCCATCACAACGCTGCACGGAGGGAATACACTGTTGATTGTCACATTGGAATTCCTGAGGCGTGCAACCGATGTTGCCTAAAATCAAAACCAACCAAAGGGTTAGAATTTTCTCTGTAAAATCAAAAACCTTGAAACCTGAAAAAACATAAACATTGATTTATCTTTTTCTTACCACAGCTTGATTCATCACTTCCATCGCTACACTCAGCTGTTCCGTCACAAATCCACTTCCTGTGGATGCACTGACTTCTGTCGCTACACAGCCATTCATTTATACGGCATTTGGGTGGGGGAGGGGTAGGTCGGGTTATAACTAATGGAATGAAGTAAAAAAGAATACGTTACAAACGGAATACAGGGGTTTTTGGAGCTGATCTCAGCTTATGTCCTATTTGTCTTTGTTACGAGGAAAACCTCTTTTTAAAAACAGTTCAAATAAAGCTTACCTGATGAATTACAACTGTGTTCGTCTGAGCCATCCACACATTCCTGCCTTCCATCACATCGGTACAAACCACGGATACATCGTCCACTCTCAACACAGCGAAACTGAGATGGATCACAAGAGGCCTTATCTGTTATAATATGACGAAAAGAAGGCTTCAGTAGTACTCAAACCAAAGGATATAGTTAGGCACTGCTCATTATTAATCCCCTGAGACGAGGGGAGGAAAGATTTTGTTTTGGGGAGGGTCACATGGTTTTCAGGGGGAACGGAAGGGCTTCAGTCGTCGCCAACGGAGTTGGTTAGAACGCTGACTACCAATTGACTGCCAATGGGGGTGGGGGGGGGGGTTCATAAGGATATTACAGAGCCCCTCCGACCCCCCCCCCTGGTGATAAATGATGACCGGTTTCCCATTCAAATAAAAGACTTGAACAGCACTTAAAAAAAAAATCACAAAGTAAAGGAAACAACTTACGGCAATTGCGTTCGTCACTCCGATCACCACAATCGTCTTCCATATCGCAGAGGAAGTCGTTGGACACGCATCGCAAACCATTGACGCAGCGGAACTCCGTAGATTTACACTTGACTGCAAAAAGAAATTATATAATAAGCTCAGTTATGCACGCATTCTGATTGGTTCTCACTTATGATCTATTGGAGGACAGACGTGTAGATGACGTCATCATTACAACTTTTTAAAATTCTTTATTATATAAAACAAATAGATTCCATGTTGCCGTGCGTCTGTTCGGTAATAGATCATAGAGGACGTCAAAATGTGGTAAGAACATCAGTGACACACTCGGCTGCGCCTCGTGTGCCACTTTTTTTGTTATCTGTGATCTATTACTGAACAGACGCACGGCAACTTGGAATCTATTTGTTAATTAGACAACGTTGGAGGTTAATGACCAAGTGACGAACAAGGTGCGACAAAAAAAACAAACAAAAACAGTTCACTCTTAGTTACAACAAGTTTCACTTACGAGAGCCGCAATTCAGCTCATCACTGTTATCACCACAGTCATTTTCCTGGTCACATTTCAGTTCAGCTCCAATACAGATTCCATTGGCACATGTAAAGTCACTAGAGCTACAAGTGTGGGAAACAGTGGCTAAAAAAAAAACAAAAAAAAAACGGTCATCCTGATCAGATCTTCTGCACGATTTGGCATCGAAAGGTGTTTTCATCCGACGTTAAAAACAAAATTTAAAGAAAAACAAAGCTAGTAAAGCAGCATTTTCAGGAAACTAGAAAATCGATTGTTCTGACGCCATGTAATCTCGGTTAAGTTACAGGCTCCTTACCCTTATAACTCTGAGAAAGGGATAGGGGCAGTGGGTATGTTATGGAAAAAAACTATCAGTCGATAACTGCGCATCTCTTGATTTGAGGAAGGCTGTTTCTACATAGTGGCTTTGGCTATCGCTCTTTATCAAGGTGACCACAAGAACTTGTCACACGAGATATACTTCCTAAGATATGTCGTGAGATGTTCTTCACCTTTGAAATCTACAATCGCATGCGCTAAAATCTCACACTGCTGCTTTCTCAACTAGGATAAATTTATCAAACCGCTATTATTTGCAGGGTTCTGACTAAGCTGTTAAGATGGTTTCAATGTCAGTTCGCGCGATCAAAACAAAGGAATGATATTATGTGCAGAATTTAGTAACGGATTGATCGCTGAAGGGGAACTGCCTCGTCATACGATGCGGAGAGAATTTCTCCCAAACGAATGCAATAAATTGTATATAGACGCGTGAGGAGAATTTGAAATACTTACGACAGCGAGGTCCACTATCAGTAGCTTCATCACTTCCATCTTTGCAATCTTTAGCACCATCACAAACCCAACTAGTGGGTATACAGGTACCATTCGCACAGGTGAACTCAGTTTTTGGGTCGCACAAGCGTAGACCTGCAAAAAAAATTGATATCTTACAGACGTATTGCGTAGCACAGACGAACAAGAAATTAAAAATCGTTGATCTAATTAGCATCAAAATCTAAACTTGACGTCAACTTTCCACCCTTTAATTATCTCCCTGGGCAGGCACGCACGTCAATGGTTAAGTAGCTACCTTGACGAATGAAGCAGACCCTACAGCACTTAACACACCATTCATGACGCGCGCGACAAGGCGTATCTCACGCGTGTTACGATTGCACACGCAGAGAAAGTTGCGTGTTTTAAAGTGAATTTTAGAAATACCGCTTGGATCATGGAAAATAAGACTTTAAATCATAAGCTCGAAAGGGCGGAAGGATCAATTGCCGTAGGTGTTTATTTTCAGATATATCCAATTAATGATGAATAGAGAGACACCCAAAATAAGGATAAACTTCTACAGCTGTGTTGGAAAAGATCGCTGACAGTTCAAGAAATGGGCGGTATTAAGGAGACAAAGTTAAAAAGGCCAGTTCAGTTCCGTTCTGATGAGAGTCGACTTCAGAAATAATTTGAGTTCAAAGAATATCACCCAAATTCCACAATAACACTAAAACAGCGAGGAGTCTGAAAGAATTCCAGATATCAAAGTGCAATTTAGTGGGGGCGTACTCTGCAAATTGGATTTACTATTCTTGTGATGAAAAACAACACCATCCTTTCCTCTCAACTTTCAAGGGAATGATTTCAATAATACACTTCCAGGGAGACATATCACCTGAAACGCACGTTATGTCTCAGTTAAGGTTTTTTTCCTATGGATCATATCAAGGGGGCAGACGTTAAGTGTAATAAACGCAGCATGTTAATTGATGATAAAATTGTATCTAAGCAGTGCTTACCATAAGGAAAAACAAAACTTTGAAAAAACAAGCCAAAAAGAGAGCAGCAGTTTATTTAATTTGCACCATCAAATATCTACGATAGGTGCTGTTTCTTTTTTTTCACTGTACCTTTTCAAAGATTATTTGGGGATCAGGTAAAATAAAGAGTTTTTTTTTCCAGAGGCAAAATACAAAAAAATGGATATATAAATGAAATGCCAAACACTATTAGATAACTCACTCAAAGTACATGACTTTAGTTCAAACGGCCATCAAAACAGCCTGTGATATAAAATTCCCAAGCTGGGAATGTGGATTGAAGGAGACTATCACAATATTGAAAATATCAGAGCATAATAGATTCTTAAGAGCTCTTTGAATTTTCTTTTTTTTAACCCTAGAAAAAACAGATAATTTTCCATGATATTGTGACTGTTTCAATTTTGCTTGAGAGCATTTTTGATTTAGAAATGAACTAGCATAAATTTCAAATAACAAGATAGAGTTGCACGTTCTTTCCAACTTTGGTTTTAGTATTAAGGTAGCTAAAAAACTAAAGTTAATGGAATTTCCACAACACATCGCTAAATGGAGATTTTAGAGCTCATAAATCTGGATCTAGATATTTGGGTTAAATCCCTTATATCAGAGTCATGTGTTGTGTTCCTAGATAAAAAATCCCTTAAAAAAAACAAGATATCTGTTTTCATGTCTTTGGTGCAATGACCGGTTGCAGATAATATAAATACATGTACACATCAATTGTTTGTTGAGTACAAGATAGATTGTTGAGAGTGACAGATTGGCATGGATAGATTATTTGCATGTTGTTTATCTTTACTATCTACTTCAGTCTAAAATTACACATTCATTGTTTGCAAAAAACAAAAGCCTACCCTTGTGGTCAACCTCTCCTATATGCCCCTTAAAACAAACAATTACACGAAAAAACAAACAGCTTTTACACTTTAATGCTAAAATCTGCAACATCCACAGTGAAATTTCCTCAAAATTTCAAGTCATTAATTCCTGACATCCAGACATGGTCACAGAAACAATGTGGTGTTGAAACCATGAAAACATTATGCAATATTGACTTAGCAGAAGTTAAGTTATGCAACAACAGAGCCTTTCTATGCCTCATAATTAAGTTGGATAAATCTATGAACTACTTGGGTTTTCTTTTGTTCCACCATAAGAATATGTCAGCCACTTAGCTTAATTTTTTTGGTGGTGCACTGAGCTAGTTATGTAAATGGTTGAAAACATTGTCTTGGACAAAAAACTGGATCACCTTGAACTTCAATAATTCTTGATTTAAAAAATAAATTCTTTTGGACAAAAGAATGAGATATTATCAAAGTGTCCAATGGTTAAACAATACAATTTTCTCCCACTCAACATGAGGTGGCTTATATAATTATTTAGGTTCATAACCACAAATAGTGATTATTAATAAATACAAGACAAAATGACTTAACCATCACTTCCTCTGCATAGAAGACATTCTAAAGTTAGAATTCTGGGTCTTTGAGGAATACTTATTTCCAACCGCATGTTAAGCACTAGAGAACAGCCAATTAAAAGCTTCTCAACTCCCCCTCCAAAAATACAATATTGAGACCAATTTTTGAAACCAACTGATCCTTTCAGTTCAAGCTAAAACATTAAACTGCATATCATTGGAATTTACAAATATGGTTTATTTTTCTAGTTGTGTCTTGTTTTGAAAAAGTTCACTCATGTTGGTAAAAAGTGAAAAAGCTCTCTGGCCATCTGTTCTAGATTATCTATAGTTGTATGTTAATAACAATATTAAAATGACTTTGGGCAGTTAGATTTTAATATGTTGAATTAAAGCAATTGTCTTGAAGAGAAAAGGACAATTTTGTCTTCCTTTAACAAAATGAAAGGGCTGAGAAGCGACATTCAAATTCCTTTTGAGCAGAAAGCAACCTTAAAAGGTTTATGCCCCAGTTGTTGCCATAAATATAGTGGTGACTCTCGAGTTTACTCCATTCTGAAGTCTCTAAAAAGGAATTTCCCACCAAACCAAAAATTTATTCTCCATCAACAACATTGTTTGTCACAAGAACAAAGGAAGTTTGAATAGCGTTCAGTATGTTAATTTCCCTCTTTAAACAGGCGAGACGCTGTGGCGCGTTTTAGAAGTATCGTAACCATTTGGCTCATTTTACTAAATGATCTAACGAAGCATCATCTTCAATGTTTAAAAACTGACTCTATAAACATCAACAACAAGAACATTCCAAGGGATTACTTTAGGCATTCAATTATTTTTTTTGCACTTAGCAACATATTTGAAAAAGAATCCCCTAGGAGACTACGATCATAATATTTTAACAACAATGACACTTTGTAAACAAAAACCTGAAAACCCAGATCGAAAGTGCTTACATTTTCCAAAAACTTTAAGACTTAGAAAGATTACCTGTTATATTGGTAAACTGACGTTTGCGTACGTTAATTTGGTGTTTTGTCTTCCCAAACAAATTAGTATAAAGCAATGTTTGGAATTTAAACTCGTAAAAAGTGGGATAAGATTAATACCTCGCTCAGGAGAGTTATCATGGAGACGAACCAAATAGGATTGTCAAATTATAAATAGAGTTTTTCGCTTGGACTACGAGGAAAAGACACAGAAAGACAGCGAAATCAGCGAACGCGTCATAGCGAAGAAACCTGTTGTCGCACAGTAGTTCCATGCAAATTTAACCAACATAAGCTTGACCAATCAACGACAGCCATATTGGCACACACCCACGAACGTCCCACAAACAAAGGCGGCGTACTGTTAGAACTTCAAAGTTAAGCGAGCGAATTTTTTTAGCGAAAATCACTCCATTTTCCAAAAATTATGTTCTTTAGATGGCTAATAACAAGCACTATGGCCAATAATATGGTTATATCGTATCAGATTTCAACGAAATCGCCACGAGAAAGATTAAACCAGGTCTAAGACGGAAGTTCAATTTCCCGAGAGAATACTACAATTTCGCCCGGGATTTCGTCAGCTATTTATTTCTTATCAAAAGATTCCTGCCAGGAACTCATTCAGGTCGACTTCAAGATGTTTTCTACCCCATCTTAAGCTCAAATGAACGTTCAATACTCGTACGACTGGCTACGTAAGGCGAGAAATTCCTATCTTAATATACGATTTTGAATTTCAAATTTCAGTTGCGTTGCTTTTCCACACAGGGAATTAGATGGAGTTAAAAAATAGATTGTGGCGATTTTCTTTATCCAAAGTTTTCCCTATCAGTTTACTGAATCTAATTCACTGAGGCAAAGTAAATTCCTAAACCAGTTTTCTTCACTGAGAGTAACCTCGTATTTCCGCCGAACGCGACAGATGTAGACATTAACCAGTTTACTCAACTCAAGTATCGTTTCAACTCAAATAAAAAACACAAGAGATAAAACTTACGGCAACCACTTTCATCTGAATTATCCCCACAATCATTTGCTCCGTCACATCGCCAATCCAAGGGAACACAGCGCTGGTTGTTGCATCTGAACTTCGATGAACTACAGTTAAAACCTAGCAACGTACGGCAGGTACACGTTTAGCAGTTATCGAGAAAGAATGTTGTGGACTTTCTTCTAATTTTTGATCCAAAGTCAAGGTCTAGGCTAGTAAGATAATCTAATTCGTCATAAACTAAAATAACATCGAACTTTAGAGCGATTGGAACGGGAATTCAGTTCACTGTTGAAAACCGGAGGGCGTGTTTGGGGGAGCGGTGAAACTCAACCTTCCCACTATCGTGAAATATTCATCGTACAGTTCGTTGTACAAACGCCGTCACGACTGTAAGTTTACTCAAAAATCTTACTCCAATACAATGGATAAATCTTTCGATAGTTGATGATAGCTTTCTCGAATCGAACTCACTGAAAGTTCGATAGAAGTTCCTGTCAAGAAGCGAAACCAAAAGTAGTTGAAAGGTGTAACTGCCAAGCGCATTATGAACGATAGTTCTCTCCCGTCGCTCGAAATTTGAAAGAGTTGGAGTACAAATCTGCCTAAAAGTCTTAGTATGTTTAGTCTTGATAGGAACTGACCTAAAACCGCTCTCTTTGCTGACAGAATAATCCAAACGACTACCAGATAGCGAAGTGAATCCGCTCCCATTTTTGATAAATCAAGTGTAGTCTTTCGTGTACAAGCGTGGATCACTGAAAGAGATTAATTTGCATAGCTCGGCTGCCATTTGTCCACAGCTCTGGCGAGTATCACGCCACTTGACGTCATAGCGCGCCACTAATCTACTCACAGACAGGTGGATGTGTGAATGTCGCGTGGTGCGTGGATGGGGGGTACGAACTCTCTAGCTCACAGCGGTACTGTCTGGGCTTGTAGTTAAACTTGTGAAGCAATTTCTCTTGTCTTCGGGTTAATTTTACCAGTGAAAAATCCTTTAAGGCCTATCACTACAATAGCTTAAGAAAATACTTATCTTTCAACAGATCAGTCATTTCCGAGTACTTGCGAGGGTAACACGTATGTATTTTGCCGTTCGTTCAAAAATGGCCATAACGAGATTATGAGAATGCTTCATCATAAATAGGAGCTAACTTTGAATTGCTCATATGGTTAAATGAATTTATATTCTCTAGTTCTCCCTTCTTTCTTTTTCAATGTGGACAACACGTGCAACTCCGTAAAAACACTGGGCAACGGAAGTGAAACACGTATAAGTCCGCGAGGCAGAGTAAAGGGTTCGCGCGAGGGAAAGTTTGGAAGACCAGCCGGAAAAAGGAAAGTCACCCTTTAAGAAGGGGCACAACATGCGTAGGACCTAAAATAGGCTAAGTAACTTGTCATTTATGTTAGTTTGAAAAAAAAAAGTCTTGAGCGCCAGCTTGAGTCCTTAAAATCCATCCCACTGTTTACGAAGACTGTGATAAGTACTTGAAGGAATTGGTAACATGTTTAGTCACCTGGATAACGCTCTCGGCAAATCATACTTCTTCAGTGCAACTTGTGTATTTCTTGAATCTTGATGAATCTTGTAACCTTAAAAACCAAGGGAAACGCTGTGTCAATAATTTTTTGTTTCAGAAATGTATGGAATGTTAAACACTTCAACCTATTCCCAAATAATGTATTTAATTTCACCATACCAAGAATTACTGTAGTTTTAGGTGACACTAAAGAAAGATGGTGTCTGCAGGAGTAAGAAAAAAGTCGATAGAAATTCCTCACTTTGTGTCTGTTTCCTTAAATTTGTACCTATTATTTTTGATGTAACAAAGGTCAGTAATATTCGGAGATTAGACTTTCAATATGCCATGTTTTGCCTAGGAAAAATTCAGAATGCTTCTCGAAACAGTCGACAACGTAAACACAAACATCAAGTTCAGGGTTATGTAAATTCACGAAAGGGTCAGAAACAATTGCGTCTCATTTAAACTTTGTATGAAGGTTTTCTTAATTCCAAACGGAGTATCTTTCATAGCTATATTCTTTGTAAAACTATTGTTAGGGAGTGAAAATCAATGAGATGAAACAGTGATCAAATTCCAATATGTTTGTAAAAATCTAAAGATTATCGAGTCATCTGTTTTTCTGATGATTTATATTAAGATTGTACCCGTCACCTTCGGTGACTTTTATCCCTAATATTTAATTATGTAACGTGACAGTCATGACAGTCATTTGTAGCTCAATTTCCAAATTGTAGATGTAAAATTTTAGTTCTTTTTGAACTTTAAAGCATTCAAAATATCCTAAGGCAAAAACAAACTGCTCAGAGGAAAGATGATTGCAGCGCTAGAAAATGTCCTCGCTTTCAATTTTTGTCTTTACAGTGATTGCAATGCAGAACGTTTTATCACAACTATAATTATTGTGGTCATCTTCATAAAAATATTAACATTTTTTTTTATATATTTATGTTTTTATTCATGGATGTATTTTTAAATTTATTTCTTTAAGTAAAATAAAACGATAGCCAGTTGGCTTTAGTCCAGCTCATAAAATGCATCAAAAAGACCTAAAAGCTTTCAATAAAGAGACATTCCATTTAACTTTTTTTGGTTTTATTATGACCTGAATTTGCGTAATATTTTGTTTTTAGGATTTCATGCAGAACTGAAAATTAAATTTACTTTCCTCACTCAGCCTGAAAGTCTGGCAAGTGTATTTACAAGTCGACGCAAACGGAAAACAAAAGTTCCTTTTAAAATATTATTTTATGTCAATTTTTTTGTTTACACGCTTTCTTATAATTCAAAAGCTTTCCAACAGCTGCACCCGCCCTTGTAGTTCCTAAAATATTCTGCGAGTCACGCGTACGATTGTCTTACGGTACGCGTGTAACTCGCACGATCGCGCCAGAAATATCACCTGACATGACACCATGGCCTGACATCGCGACCTGGGCACTAGCGTTTTTTTCGAATTTTGTAACGCCGTTGTGATGGACGAAACTATCTCCTTTGACTTTATTTTAACGAATGACCATTGATTGATTTTTGTACCTCACTTTTTCAACATGAATAAATTTAATATGATCTGATCATTGTGGCGGGCTTACGTTAGTTTCTTGTCGGCGGTAAGCGATAAGAAAGCTAGCTGACGGCAGTTGGGCGAGAATTTTTTGGACGTCCATTCTATATCTACTTCATTGACATTGATATTGAATTTGCTGATATTTTTTAAACAGACCGGCAAAAAGACAACACGGCCTCGATCGTTTATTGATTCTAAAAATTCCAAAAAGATACTTTGCCATGTTAAAATTTTAGACGATTTTCAGTGTGCGTGATTTGAATTTATTAGGATGTGAGACGTCAAAAGTGGTTACGAAACTTTCATTAACAACAAAAGAAAGGCAAACACACAGGAAAGGATACTACAAAAGATAAATGCTAAAAACTCAGTATTTTCTTGGCTCCTATTTGAAGGAGGTTATTTTCGGCGATGCTCTTGTGAAAATAGTAAAATATTTATGACAAATATCACTCGGCTGATGTTCATGTGATGAATAACTCAGTGACGCAGGCGGCGCATTAAGAATATCTGCTTTAGTCCCAATTCATTTACGAATTTTTTTCACAATTAATTATTTACAATCATCGTAGTTACTCAGTGTTTGGCAACTGAATGCATCATAAATGACAAAATGAAGCCTTAGCAACTGATATTCTTTTATGTTAAAGTCGCTTTCAGGGTACAACTTTAATTCTGAGAGAAGAGGTTGTATTTATAGGTTCGGTATAGTATTAGTGTCTTTTTCACGACCACCTTTTGAAGTGATTTTCCGGTATTGGATGCGAAATATCTCTTTCTTTTAATGTTTAAATATGCTAAATTATCAATTCCATGTAAGGTCCTAAAAGCCAACAGGAATTGCATCACTTGGTCGCTGCAAAATATTTCCCTCAAAATACAGAGGCTTACATAGACATGGCTATTAACGCGCACGAAGTGATATAGATATTACGTAACCAGACAGACAGAACGAGGGTAAAACTGCATGAGCTGTATTGTGCACTGTGATTATTATATTTTTTTCCTCTTTCTCTTCATAGATAAGAAGGCGTCGCTACATTCAATCACCTTAATTTACAGACGCTAATACAAGCTCCTCATTCTATCAATACCTTACTATATCCCTGGGAAACAAAAAAATTACAAATGCAAATTTTGAAATCTTTCGAATCTTTTTGACTGAATATTCAGAGCATTTAGCAGTTTCAGTGTTACTTGTATCTTAGTGTAATCTCAATAAAAATACCTCACCTTACTTCCACAGTACATCGCTTGTTATCTGACCGCTTGCTATGTTAAAAATTTTGGCGAGTTTTCCATTTCCAGGTTTACTACATAAGATAAACCCTTTTGCAGTAAACCTAGTAATGAATAACTCGCTAAAATGGGTTCTTTTCAACATACTAAGTGGTCAGATAACAAGCGATGCCCTATGGAAGTAAGGTGAGATATTTTTATTGGGAATTCGACTGTATTTTTTAATTCCTAAGAGCGGTGGTAAATATTCCCATTAACACGCGTTGAATTTCGGGCTGTGACTCTTATACGCAAGATGATCATCTCACAGCTAGAACTTGGGCCGCCTGCGTTTGAACATATTGATTTGACGACCTTCTCAGAGTCCATGGCGCCGATAGACTAGCTCGCATCAAACTCAGTAACAAATATTCAAGTTATAACTCTTGAGCTCATTTCACACTCTCATGGCAAGAAGCCTTGGAAATACCTGCATCTTTATGAAAAATTTCTGTACAGCTGGCAAAAATAGAAAATAAATTTGAAATTATGGATCATCATATGACCGTTTGTGATCGAGCCAACTTCCTTGCTGAAACCTTGACCCAAGTCCACCGATCTGGTCAGGATAACGTGTTTTGTGCAGAATCATGTCAGTTGAAACACATTTTGAGAAACTTTGATCTCTACCATAATCGAGTGACCACAATTTTTTTGGCAAAGCTGTTTCCACTGTATTGGGTTCACTTAATGTACTCGACACACGTTATCACACGCGTTCTGGTCAAAGAGGCATCATCAAAACTACCTCCCACGTTGAACCCGAGTTATACAAGGAGGACATGATGAAAATTTTGAAAGTGGTCTTCACAATCAGAAACACAAATTTGAGCAATACAAATTCTCTATTTCACGTTTTACAGCACAATCAAAATTGTTTGAAGGTAAAAAACAGAATGAAAATTCATCTATTACGTAGTACTCTTCCTTCCTTTCTCCCCGGCTTCTCCTGTCTCCTCTGTAATGTTGACAAAACACTTCCCATCTGACAGATGTTCATTTTTCATCATTCGAAGAAGGACTCTTTTACAAGGGCGTTGAGCAATATTTGTATCTCATACGGTCAGGATTTCTCGTCTTTACGAACAACACTTGCCGCTGAGTGTTAGGTATTTCTTGAGTACAAAAAAAGCACCAATATAAATGGCAACAAGCGAAAGCGAGGCGCACATTGAAAGTAGCCTGAGAACTTCAATCAAAGCCACATTTGCATATCAATATATCCATCAAAAGTTGTTCAATTACAAGGAAGTTGTCGAAGTTGTCAACAGAAGAGACACAGATAAAAGGAAGGTTCCTAAATATGCAAGGATCCTAAAGCTAGGAAGTAATTTCAGACTCGCCCACCTTTTTTGCAATTAACAGAACAAAGCATTTTTTTTTAATGAAAATTTATCTCTTCTCAAGAAATGCTTAAGTTATGGTCGAGTTTTAGATGCAACGAGTCTTCCTCTTCCGCTGGTTACTAATTTCAAATATTACAGGATAAAATTCCCTTAAAAAGGTTTTTTAAAGAGAACATCTTCGAAGAATGAGCATTCAAACAACACTACGATCAGACTTGCAAACGTCCACATGTATATTCACACTTCTTTAAAGAAATGGACACCATGTGCAGTTTAGATATATTCGAGAAAAAACGCCAATTGGTGCAAAACACATTTTGCCGTAGTACTCGTGTACAGAAATCTGTGCCACGACAGAAAGAAACTCTACTCAAGATCTTGAACCAGTCTTCGTCAGTTAGTTTCGCTTATTCATCTACCCCTTCCGTCTTCCACTTTCCGTCTTCTTAGAAATCTTTCGTTCATTTTGCCCCATCGCCTCCCCTTGCCTTGGCAATGTCAATATCTGATTGGGTAATTGTATGAAATACGTCATCTACATCATAAATGTCACGTGGAATATCTTGGTTGGCTTCCCGTCGATCCTCAAGAGCTTGCTTCGATTCCACGCGAGCTCGATACCGTTGAGCAGCTTGCTTGCGGATCATCCGACGATACTAAGATAAATAAGGGTGAGATTTAGAAAGTGTGGCGACCCTAGATAAAGAATTTGTGTAAAAATGACTCTTACAAAACTTACCTCATTAGGTGATCGGTAATGTGGGTTTTCATAAAGTGTTGCTCCTCCAAAGCTTCCTTCAAACACTCTTATAAGGTTTAATACAAATCGTGGGCCTGAAATATAAATTTACCACGTTAAAATCACAATTCAGAATTATGCCATATTTTAACTCTTACTAGTCTTATGTGAAAATAAAGAAATTAATCCTTTAACTCCCATGAGTGACCAATACAGAATTTCTCCTTAAAACATCATTACATTATCAAGCAAAAAAGTGATGAGAATAGAGAAAAATACCAATAAGGGGATTACCAGTTGATCTAATACCAAATTCTCTTAAGTAACATCATAAGAATTGTATAACAGACAGTAAGGAGAACTACTAAGAGATCTTTGGGGTGAAATTATTAAGAGAAAGGCATTTACCAATTTCCAGCAATGATCCATCTTCCTCAACAATCTATGGAACAATAAGAGTTTGCACAGGTCAGTTTTTTTCAAATTAAACTAAAAAAATTGATTGTTTTTGGACTCCATACCAACAAGTATTTAGTATTTTATTTACCTGGAAATTCCGGAACCAAATTCTGTTGTCTTCTACAGAGAAAGAGAACACATGATCTACAAAGGGTTTGCTCTTGGGATGATAACAAGGAGTACTAAAAATCTGCACAAAAAACAGAGAGAGAAGTAAGAGTGAGAACAGTATTATTGCAAAAATACTGTAAATATTATAAAAAGTCTGAACTTCAGCCCACCCAGCCAGAGCTTATTCCAGTGTCTGTCTTTAACATGAAGTGACTCAGAGTCATGGTACTATCCCCCGGATGGGATACCAGAACACTCCACCCCCTTCCCCAGAAATTCATCATAATTTCCCGAACATTTTCTTTTTATTCCTTTATTTTATGCTACATAATATAATATTGATATAAGAATTAGTCAAGTAAGTAGTGTCCATAAGTAACGTTAAGCATCACAAAAAGTGTTTGTAATATTCTACGCAATATCATTAGTGATGTAACATATTTGTATTATTAGTGATACAACATAATCAGTAGTATTGCAGCTAATGTATTGCAATTAGCAGTATTGTGAGCAAGGTTACTTAATTAGTAGCATAGCTGTGAGTATTGTATCCCAGATTATATAATTATTGTAGTGTCCACTTTGTTAATTTGTTAATATTGTTTCTGTAAAAAAAAAGTGTTGTTTAAATAAAACAACAAAAGCAAAATTATGAATATTGTTACCTACCTGAATGAACATTTCCTTCAAAAGTGAGTGCTGAGATGTTTTGTCAAAATGCTGTTATGGAATAAAACCAAAGTGTATGTTATTGTATCAGTAAGAACTGATCATACTCCTGGACACTGGCTCTATGCTGAATGTGTGCATACTTTTAGTACAATTGTATTTGACATGAAAGGTTATCATCCATGCAGAGAACATTTTGAGGGAATAAAATAACAAAAAGGGAATAAAAAGTGAAGCATGAAACCAGATGCAACAATTTCATGCAAAGTTGTAGAAAAAATATCTTAAAATGGTGAGAGAGGATCTTTCCACAAACCAGACGACACATCCCTCTGTCCATATTCTGGTTTTGATAAGGCTTGGAAGTAGATTAAAATACATTGCTTCACATGGTAGATGCCAATCCTCTTCCTTGTAAATTTAAAACTATTCTACAGTAGACATTTGCTCTAACCTGATCAAATGATAATATTGGTCTTGATCCTTTCAATGAATTTCCAGTTAATTTAAGTTCATCCATTGTGTGCACTAAACAACCAGTAAAAAAAAAAATAGTCAGTTTACTTATTTCAATATAATATTATGTTTGATTTGTTCAGTAGCCCAAATTGTTGATTCCTAAATACTTTAGACAATAACTCAGCATGTATGCTGGTAACTTATATGTTAAAAAATCAAGACAGAGTATGGAAATAAATTTTTCCATTTTTAGAGCTAAGTTATGGAATTGCCTGAAGCCTGACTTGTGTAAACATAAAAAAAACCTTTCAAAAACATAATTCACTAATCATAATTTTCAGTGCTTTGTGATGAGGATGGTTACTGTATGTTGACGTCTGAATGTTAATCTCAAAAATTACTTATTATCATTAATCAAACTCTAACAATTATCATTACTTCCTTACTTTTTAAGTTTTCTTATGGGCTCTTGCTGTACTCATGAAAATGCCAGCTATCAGTGAAAGTATGTGTATACCTATTTATTTTATTTCATCCTATATATTTATTTTACCTGATTGACTATTAATCTACTTTGCTAAATTTGATTGTCAGTTACACAACCAACCTGCCTTGATTTTGATTGTCAGTTACACAACCAACCTGCCTTGATTAGCTTTGTATGTATATGCAGTTTGCATATTTCTCTAATTTGTTAAATTTAAATTATTGAAAAAAACAATGAAATGATGAAAATACCATAACATCACGAATGGCCCCTGTTAGCACTTACCATTTTCAACCAAAAACTTGGCAGATGGCCCATGTGGTGTGCAAGAAAACCTTTAATAACAACAAACAAAACAGGCTCAGGGGTGTCCTTCATTTCTAATATTTTACACACAAAAATGAATTTTAAGTGCAGGGGAAACAAATTACAAAACCCACCACATATAAAGGTCTTGTCCTTTTCTCATCTCAAAAAAGACACATTTATTACAGTTTTTCATCTCACAGACCTACAAGTCAAGTTAAAGTGTAATTTGTTACTGTAATAATATACATTATTGCCACTTGGCACCTTTAATCTCTTGTTAACAATTACTAATGGTTTATTTCTAAAATGCTCAAGGATGACAGGGGCTTCTACACTATTTTGGTCAAAGTTAAATTCCTGTTTACGAAAGGTGAAATAAGTACTTTGTAAAAGAGAATGAAACTACAATTTGTACCTGGATTAAGATGGGAAATATGGAGGTTAAATCTTCATCACGGAAGAGCTTTATGCTTAATTACTTTACAGAGAAATATTACAAAAACTCCAACATTAATCTGATTGGTTAATGACTGCATATCAATGAGTAAGTGCATGTAATGCCCATAGGTAATAAATATCACTCAATGTGATGACAATGATATGTCACAGAAATATTGTTTACTAACCTCATTGACAATAAATAGTTTGTCTTTGCGATCAAGTTTGGTTTCTAGAAGAGATCAACAAAGAGAAAACATAATTGTAGTGTTTCAAGGTCTGATTTTGTTTAACTTCTGGTATTAACCTTGACTTTTCATTCCTGTCTCTTAATAAAAGAGACCTTATAACACTCAACCAGCTTTTTGAGAAGCCACCTGAGGTAGTACCTAAAGTAGTCTCATGGGATTTTTTGACGATTCATTATTTAGCTTTCCTTTGACCTTGATGTTGTTAATTCAGAGTGGTAACCTATCCCTTTACACCTCAGCATCAGTATGCATATTCTCCATACATTTCCTAAAGTGCTGGCTAGGAATAATAATGAGGATTGAAATGCACTAATAGCAGCATACTAACATGCTACAAGTAGTGAAATGTAATCAATCAACCTCATCACCTGATGAAGACTCGCAATCAACATCCAAAGTGACTCCATCGTGAGACAAACGAACAAAGTTCATCTCCTATCTTACACCACAATGAACAATAAGTACATATTTTATTACAAAGAGTATTTGTTTAACATTCAAGGGCTTCTTTAGTTGGTGATCATTTCCCTAATTCTTGTGACCTCAACATTTGATTCTGGGATGATATTGTAAGGAGAAATTAGATGCTAGTCACTCATAGGGATCAAAGAGTTAAATCAGGGCTGCATTTCAAGGATTTCAAGCTGTACAAATGCAAGAGGAATCATGTTTTCTGGGCTGATTGATCTGTGGTCAGCATGCATGCACCTGAACACAAAATAATCATCAAAATAAGTATGTATAGGAATTTATCATAAAATCATAAAGATCATATGCATATACCAGATTTTGAGTGGGGTAACAATGTCTGTATATCCAGCATAAGATGCCTTGCTCTGCAAAAATTTAAAGAAGATATACATGGTACATGTAGATATCAGGAATTTGTTACAATACAGAATGAACTTAAAGTAAAAGTAATTATCACATCACTTTTGATATAACTGGAATAAAGTGAAATACATATGAAACAAGTTTACGGAAGTCAACAAAGATATTTAGGCAGACTAGAAATACATTTAATTCAACCATAAAACATTCAGTAAAACACAGATACATCCATGCCATATATAGCCTATCTTCGACAAATGGAACACCATGCTACTCATATAGGCGATAAAGAATATGAAATCAAAGAAAAGAACAACGATAATATTCTCCTGCTTTAAAGTCTCGTTATCTTGGCGTCTTCGATCTCACCTGTGTGATATACCACGTGAGCAAAACACCAACACGCGTTGTTTGTTTGTCCATTTTCCCTGTAAATAAACGGCCAAAAGTTTGATTTTATCATACATTAGCAAAGAATAGCTAAATGAGGGTTGGACCTAACCTTTTTCGTTTTCTTTTTCTTCGGTTGTACTCCATTAGAACTATTAGAAGTTTCCACTTCTTTGATGGACCTTTTCTTCGCCATTTTGAATTATCGACTTAAGCTTGGTAACCAGGCTTTTGCGACAACTGCTGATTTAGCACTGCTGACCCATAAAGAATGTTATTGACTTTCGAAGAAAGGCACGGAAGGAGGGAAAGATTTTTAAAACGAGGTAAATATCCCTGAACTTTAACTTCTCCTCCGAAAATGAAGCCTTCTGAGACTAAACTAAGAGGTTAATTTTGTAGTTTGCAGATTAAGTGCTTAAGATACAAGATAAGGACCTGAGAAACTTTGCAAGATTCGAATTCTGTCAGTCGCGGGTTTGTTGATAGCTTCAGTGATTAACCCCAGTTCGCTGAAAATGTAAGATCTGACATTTGAAAATAGTTAATCGTTATTATTCTATTAACCAATATCAACATATTGGGTCAGCAGAAAATAGTAATGATTATTTAAAACTCAATTTGAAAGCAGGGTCCTCTGATGTAGCTCAAAATGTAGTTTTGTGCCCTATCAAATGATTTTTTAATCGTACCTTTAGTTTTCATTATTTTGTTCATGAGAGGAAATTATTTTTCATTCAAATCTCCCTCCATTCTTAGGCAGATTTTGGATTAAGGAGGAAAAGTAAACACAATGGGTTCTATTCTTGGAGGAGCTATGAAAGAGACCATGGATGAAAACATGAAGAAGAATCAGGAATTTATGTTGAAAACTCAACAAATACAGGTAATTTAGCTGCAGAGGGTAGCTCTGTGTGAGACTGAAACTTGGAAATGAAATTGAATTTGAAACCATCACCAGTGATATCATGGTTGAATATAAGAGCCAGAAGCTTTTACAAATTACTGTTAAAACCAGGGTATAAGCCACACCTTTTTCCCAAATTTGAGTTGTCAAACAGAAGGTGAAGCTTATCTGCAAATGCTGCTTATACACCAATGTTTATGATTCTTTGCAGGATTTCGCTGGTTATTTAAGTCATCAAATGAAGATGTACAATGACTGAGATTTTGAATAACAGTAGGACTGTTACAGATACTCAACCCTTTAACCCCTAAGAGTGACTAGCATCTAATTTCTCCCAACAATATCACCCCTAAATCATGCAGTAAGGTCATGAGAATAAAGAAAATTATCAGCAGCTAAAGAAGTTATTGATTGTGACACAAATTCTCCTTGTCAGCACCCTAGGGAATGTATAGAGAACAGTATGGAGAATAACTTTACTGATGTTAGGGTGTAAAGGGTTAAAAGTTTCTTGTTTTGGTAACACTTCTATTTTTTTCAGCTGGGAAGGCAGCTTCAAATGCAGAATGCTATGAGAGAAAGACAAATGTCCATGCAACTGGCTGGAGCAAGAGAAATGTTTAACTGGTTAGCTACATTCTATGGAATTGCAACAATTGGCATGTTTGCTGGGTAAGTGTTCCATAATGCACAGCTGTTCATACAAAGTTTTCCTACTAGAAAGGTTGTGGAACAACAAAAAAACTTGAACTTGGATCAAGAAGATGTAAAAAAAGAAAAAGTCCTTAATCATTGTGTGTTTATTATGGTGTCATTTTCATATGATCACATTTGTCCTCTTTTACTTTTTTTGCATAGGTTTATGAAATCCAAAAAGCCAGCTGTTTTAATTCCCTTTCTTCCACTATCCTTTGTTGTTGGTTATCAGGCTGATTATGTTCATGGAAGCAAAGTCAGCAGAATCAGAGGTTAGTGCAAAGGTTTGGTTGAAAGTAAGAATAGTTACCATCAAAAGATCTGGTTTATAATAAAGTAGCCTTGAGGCAGTCTTGTCCATTTTCTTTAGTTGAGTGGTAGTCATGCAAATATATATGCCCTCCATGTCTCTTACCTTACTCATGCTCTCCTCTCCTAATGTCAAAAGATCTGCCTTATTATAAAGTAGCCTGCGTAGTAGAGTCTCATTATTTTAGTTACTAGAGTTATGTGAATGTGAGGGATGGTCACACTATTAGCCTAAGGGAACAGTGTCAATTTATTGTAATTGAGCTCCCTAAGGGCATAAAAAAACCTTGTGGTTTTGGTTGACAGTATTTTTGAAAAGAAACTGTGTTGTACAAACCTGAGGAGTTAGTGGAGCCAACCCATGCTCATCTGTGGAATAGAGGCTTTGAAATCTGGTTGAATCTGCTTTCTGTGGTTTCCTACAAGACCCACTGTTACACCTACTTAGCAGTCTTGTCCATTTCCTTTAGCTGGGCAGTAGTCAGGTATTTCAGGTGTATGCCCTTGCTTAACCCAATTGTTGGGGAGACTCATTCCTTTGTCATGCTCTCCTCACTTAGCCGAAAGAAAATGAAGCACTGTACCATGTATTTGCAGGTTGGAAACTCAGTTGAGTAACTGAATGTCATAGGGACTTAACATAAAGAGAAATGTTTTTAGAGATGGCTTGTTTCATCCCTGGAAGGTGGCCTCATTTCATTTTATAGCTGGTGAAGATACATTGCATAGTGCAGAGACCTAGAAGTGTTTTAGTCTCTGGTTTATTCATATGAACTTACTTGTCAGGATTTATTGATTTTTTTTTTTACTTTTCGCTTTTGCTTTTTTGCAGAGGAGGCAGAACGTATCATGAAAGAAGAATATTCAATTCTTCAACTTCCTGCTGGGATGCCTGATTTCAAATCAATTGAAGAAGCTCGTCTAAAGGCTGAAGGAAAGTCATCTTGAACTTTTCTAGTCATCTGGAACTTTTCTAGTCATCTGAGAAGCTTGTATTACATAAAAGACACACCTATGCAATCTATAATCTCTACTATACCTAAGTTAACATCATTATAAAACCCATACGCTTTCATAAACATTTTGAATTTATTATTTTGAGAGTATATTGCTTCAAGGGCTAATGCTTGAAATGTCAGCCTTTAAACTCTTTACTGTGGCCAATTTACATCGTCAACTGAGTTGATAACACTACATTACCCTGTTACACTCTCCCACTGACACAGCACCATAGTTTCTTTAGAAACTCACCCCCTTTATTGTTGTTTTATAGTCTCCAAAAAGCTGTATATTGCATGCTTCTCATTACTCTGTAGGGTTTGAGTAATGAAAGGATTACTCTCTGTGACATTTCCCACGAACTTTTAGATGTTTCCCATGAGTAACCATTGAGAGAAAATGAAAAAGGAAAAGATCATGTGCTGCAGGCATATGTTTATTTTCTGGTCTCTAAAATATTGTTTACTCATCTCTATGACTTTCTATGGCACCCCACTCAAAGTCCATGATTTGTCAGGTCTGGAAAATAACGTTTTGGAATTTTATGACTTTCCAAGTGTTCCATGACCTATGCAAACCCAGTAACTGTGAACAAATTACTTACCAAAAGAGGTGAGGCTTTTTTAGCATGATTATTTTGTTCTGAAAGTATACATGTATGTAAGGCTCATATGTGTCAAAATTTTACTAATATTAGACAACTTAGGCCCAGAATTTTGTCAGTGGTGTACATGTACCTTGATCTTAGGGCCATAATATATAGCACTCTTCCCTTAAATCAACTGAAAATCATATATAAAAGAAAAAAATTCAGAAATCATTTGTTTTGTTGATTGTATTTTAATGACAAAAAGGGGGTCATGGTTCTAATTATAGGCTTTGAGCAAAAAGAGCAAAACCGGTGATGTTAAATGCAAATTTTAATTGGTTATACTGCTGCTGTCAAACCTGTTATTACAAGATAGTAATTTCATGCTTATAAGTAGAATTTATTTCATGAAATTTTATATTATTAACTGTTACAGGGTAGTAGAGATTCATCAGGGCACCAAACTGTATACAGTCATGACAGAGCCACCTTAAACTTTTTTCCTGGTCCTCCTTACAATAAGATGGTATATGAGATGATATTAGATCCGAGTTTTTGTATCTGTGGAGTCATAAAAGTCCACTTTTCTTATCAGTAAAGCAGTTACTGCATTATTAATTCTAAAAGACAGTCCATATCCAAATTTGAAAGTTCAAGTTATTCTGCTGCACTGAAAATTAACGTAACATACTGCAGCAAAAGTAAACACAACTTGATTATGTGGTGTAAAATACTTTCTAAAATAGCTTTGTTACTGGAACATTTTTTTAAACATCCTTCCCTTGTGTCTTACTCTGCCTGGCCTGTGAAAATAAGTCGTATAAATTTTAATAGAACACCTTGAAACATGCAACACTACATAAAAAAATACCGTACCAGAGAGATATATAATAGACGTTACTATTTCGTTGATCGTCTACAACCAGAAAGGAGCATGTTCAAAAAGAAAGGACCCCATAAAAGCAGACTTTAAGAAAAATAAATAAAATTAGGCTGACCTTCTAACACATTCCACAAGTGTGTGGGCACTCTTCTTCAACAAAACTGACAAAACTCCGGTATGTTATGAACCACCGACTGCTGAAGCACTGATGTTTTCTCAACCGACATATAGTTGGATGTACATCCAAGCAATAGGCTGTAAAATTATGTAAAATAGAGTTAGTAAGCAATTCTTAACGCTTCTTCCTTTTTTTTAAATTAAAATAAGTATATTAACATTAAGTTATAGTAGTTTTTGGTGCCTTTGCTCAGTCTACAAATGATCCTCTGTCGCATTGATGTCTCTGTAATGTGATATTAGTGTCCTCGCACAGTGTAATTTTTTTTTTAAATTTTGGCTTGAATTATTCCTATTTCTCCTAAGTAGACTTAAGTTATAGATATCATGCGTGTTTCTGTTTGTACTGAGGCTTTTATTACCATAATGTGGCGTCTTAGTTTTTTTTAACTCTAGTTATTTAAGGAAGTCAGTACCTCTTTTTGCTATTTAGTCTAATTGATGAAAAATCCCTTCTTTTATTTTTATTGGGATAGATCAAATAACGTTGTTGTCACCAAAAAGTAGTTATCTGGGATTGCTTCATTTTGTTTTGTGACTGGTTCATTATTCATTTGAATTTTTTTCTGATATTTCCATTGGTCAGTTAAGTGTCACCTTGTCAAGTGGTTAGTCTCCAATTTAGGGATATCTTTTTTTAGTCATTTAAAAGAGACGGATATCGTTGATCAATTTTTCACAATTAACTTAGTTTAAACACTCTGGATATCTTCTACTGTGGAAGACTAGATATATAGGATTGACGACTGATGACATGATACTGAAAAATTACATGTTAGACTATGCAACACATTTACAAGCCGAGAACAGCCTTTGATCTTTTTTGAAGACTATATGTCTGCATATCAGTTGAATCTTACGGCCGGGATGTGACCCTCTACGTCAAAATGAGTCCCATTTCTCGGCAAAGCAAAGCATGCGTGACCTGGTGAAGATCAACCGGGAATCCGTTGAGCGAACCACAACTTGAACTTAAAGCGTTGTTTTTAAAAAGCGTCGTGTTTTCTCGGCAACAAAGATGAAATTTTTAAAAATTCCTGGATTCAGCACAATTTTCTTTTAGCTCTCTGAAAAATCTCTAGATAGCCAAACGTCTACTTTTTCAAATACTTATCTCTGAAGTGGACTGAAAAAGGTACACTTTGACCAAGACCTGTTTGCTGGATGTTTAGATATTACGGGGATAAGTTACATGTTGATCACTTCTACGAAGGTACCGTTGCGTTGTTCAATTATTCTGTACTCAGACTTAAAAGTTATCAAGCATAGAATGGGCACTTAAGTCTATTACGGCGGATATGTGGCAAAAAGGGGTACACTTTGTGTTACTATTGGTTATTTCACTTAAAAAAAAAATTCACCTTTCTTTTTCGTCAACCAACCATCGTCAAATTCTATTGCATCTCCGATATGACGAGGAGTCAGTTCTTCTCCAAACGGTTTGGCCTTTGAAACTGATAAAACTGTAATTAGTCCAAGAGAAAGGATCAAAACCCAAGAGCTCTTCATTTCAATGGAATACTTCTTGATTGGGAAGTCAGTTAACACTTGAAGTACGAGAATTGGCTGTTTTCCGCTCATAGGCTGATAGTGAATTGTGGCTCTGTAAGGCTGCCTTTTTATACCAAATCTTGGCGTCCATATTACGTAACACAAGTTTCAAATATACAGATGAAACGATGACTCCGAGACGAAACCGTTGGAAATTTCAAAAGCTAAGTCACTCAATTGTTTGTTGGTTGAAAGCGTCGTTGATATTAACGCTGATAGATAGGTCACAGATGACAGGGATTCGAGTTTCGCGTCTCAATGCACTTGTTCTTATCATTTACGTGTCAAAGTTCTTTTTGCATTAACAAGCCACCCTTGACAAAAAACGTGCTCTCCTCAGTTAAGTAGGGTGGTAAAAAATCAATCCAAATTAACTCTATATTGTTCTCCTTTTAAAAGCTGAAGGTAAAACACTTAATAACAAAGTGCTTAGTAACACACAATTTCAGCACGATGAATGTAATGTCACAGAATTCAGTTTGACATTTTGATCTGGGCTGACCAGCAAAGCTATGAAATCTTCGATATTTTTGTCTGCAATCGCGCATGGCTTTTTTCAAAATGTTTTAAATGCTATCAAAACTTGAGAGCTTGTTTAACGTATCTCGAACAGACGACGTTCTGTTTTTAAACTTAATCCATGTAGTTACCTTGTACCCTTGTTATACGGGTCTGTCTAAGAAATGTTTTAAAAAAGACATGATGTACCGATTTCCCAAACACGCAATCCTAGCTAACGTAAGAACTTCTAACGGACAACTGATCATCAAAATACTCTTCAATTATGACCGGGTGCAGTTTTCAGTCAACGAATATCGTAACAGTCGTAACACGCAGCAAACAAGCAGGCAAGGTCACAGTCATATATAAGAGATGTCAACAAATCGTCTATTTTGACAACCTTCTTAAGCTGCGAGTCGTCAACTTCGCACATCGAACTCCAACGGGTAGAGTGTCTGCGGGTTAAGGAACGCTTGAAAACAGCGGGTCCGTTCATAAACAGTCTAAAGCGCATGTGTCACTACTATAAGCCTTTCCTGTCGCTCTTGAGAAGAGTTTTGACGGGGGAGGTGTGGGGGTCAGGGAGGGTATGGAGAGGGGAGGGTGGGTGGGAGAGAATGTTTCTCACAATCCTTGCTAAATAAGCAGAATCAATTTGTGTTCCTTTGTATGTCCGTCCCTCAAGTTGGAATAACAGATATTAAAAGCAAATGGAGGCGAAACAGCATAGTACACTTAAGGATGGCGGCACCCAAGAAAATTTATTTTGTTTCCTGTATTTAGACGGATAACAGACCACACACTGGCAAAGAACTGAAAATAAAAACATGAAAACAAGCAAAGAAGTGCAGAAAAATAAGGGGTTGAGTAAATCTATAATCAGCATATACCCTTAATGCTTTTAGAATTCTGCTATGTATTAACGCTAATGGAGATATCGCCTTCCAAAGCCAAGTAGAATTTGATGATAATAAAAGCTATGGGAAATGATAAACGCTTCGATTTGAATGACGTCCACAGCTTTAAGAGTCGATACTGTTAACCAATGCTTAGACAGGTGCAATCTGGGTCTCCAACGGTTTTTAACTAAAGTGCCTTAGTGATTAACTTTTTAGCCTTCGACGAAAATGTGATTTATGTGAGAAAGATGACTTATACTTTGAGCTGTAATTATAAACATTAATTTCCGCGGCAATGCGAGCCGTCATTTCTTAATTGTTTGCAATGTGTTAACACTGATATCTTGATTCAAAGAATAACTGGAACATTACATTAAAAGCAGGTGGTTTTCTTTATGCATTACTGAATAAATCATTATGAGGAATTGTTTGAATTTTCATTTCAGTCAACACATTTCAGTGGTCGGCCAACTCAATGCAGTTCAAAGTTGATGATTCATGTACAAGCCGAGATTGAGTGGCTCTACTCACTCACCCCTTTCAGTCGAGGAAAATGTCAAAAAGTTTAATTTCTGTGGCGTTTTTAATACTTCAAGCATCTTTTTCGTTTGCTGCTAGCGATGAAGTCAAGGAAAGCAGGTGAGATGTCCCACGGTATGTCAAACGCAACTGAATCAAAGTTGTTTTCTCAAAATCTACTTTTCGAGTCGCAGGAAAGTTTTTTTTTCAAAGATTTAACTAGAAGTGTTTGAAAAGGAATGATGCAATAACATTAGACTCATATGTGAACCAAGTGTCTTAAACTTAAGCAAAAAATTGAAAATTTGACGCTATGTTTATTGGGAAATCTGGAAGAGAATTAATTCCAAATGAACCTCTCCAGTATGACTCAGAGACCAGCATCTTATATAAACCCTAAATGCCTCGAGTTCTAACAGTTTAATCGTGATCACAAATTATTTCGAGAAAAAGTTGTTTTTCTGGAGAACGAAATGTAATTTCATTTTTTAAAGCCACTCATTTGTCATGTTCTTTCCTGATATTAGCGCTTCCTCTCCCTTTAAACACCACTTATCATGTTAATCGCCACCTTTATCAAATTCACGAACAACAGCGTGTTGGATGATTTCTGAAATTTAGAACGCAAGTCATTTACACCTCAACATAAAAATACACTTTGTTTTGATGATATCAGCACGATTGTTGATGTTTCGAAGCAAACATGGCCTCTGTCTTTAGTGAAATAAGATAATTTGGTTTGATCAACTGAGTTGATAATGTGAATTGGCCATCGCAGAGAGTTTTAGAGCTGAGGTTTCGAGTATTAGCCCCTCGTTTTGGGGGGGGGGGGGGGAAATGCAGGCCTACTATAACGTACGGCTTTTTAAACCACCATTCCTTTTTCAAATTGTGCGTTTAAATTATAGATCAAGCGAAGCAGAAGAGCTTTTTAGCCACAGGATTGAGGCGCCCAACAAAACAGACATATTTGCTAAACTCTTCAAAGGATATGACAATAGAGTTAGGCCCAACTACAGAGGTGGGTGTATAAATATTGACGGAGGACTTATGTCGCAGATGCAAAGATCAATAAAGACCAATAACAAGAAAAAAATTACATTAATTACTAACCGGTGATAAGTGCCCGTTTTTGATATAGTTTCGTTTTTCCCTCTCTCTTACGTCGGATCTCGCAGCTCATTCAGTTGCAACGCGTCAGAATTTTGTCACATGAGATCTAATTCTTCCTCAACGCGAGAATCTTCTTGAGCTTTTGTTTTCAGTTTTATCTAACTCAGTGTAACCGTTTTAAGGACAGGATTTTGAGAATTTGATGTGCATACATAATTGTCTTGATTTGCAAAATTTGAAGCCAAACTGAGTAAATCAAGAGGATACCTAGATTTTTAGTTTTCTAAGTTTGACAGTCCCTTTTTACTGATATTGTTTAGTGAACGTCTTCCCTTTCTTTTGGCATTTTTTATTTCAGAGAAACCAGTCCAAGTTTTACTCTATGCTGTCATTGACTCGTTTCACGATATCAGAGAAGATCAAATGGTATCCATATAAAAATATATATTTATTTCTTTAGAAAAATTTAATAAGTATGGCAAAAGTACAACTGACAGATATATTTTTCAATAGCATTTTTTAATTTACTTTCATAAAATGTGCTGTAATTGAAGATATTTCTTAGATAAACAAAAGCAGAGTATTTTGGATCGGAAGTCCTGAGAGGGGATTTTGTTTTAGAGAAAGCACGTTTCGAATGAAATTAGAGAAATTACAACAGCCAATCAGAACTTAAGTGAATATGAAAGGGATTCAAAGCAAGCAAACTGCTTGAGGCGCGGGAAAACGCACGTAACCAAGTTGTTATTAGCTTAGACCAGTTTCCAATCGAGTGTCAGAAAAACCAAAACCAATGTAATCATCACCATTAGCCAATGAAAACTGAAAGTGAAAACGAGCAAACTGCTTGAAGCGCGGGAAAACGCTGATGATCATGTCGCGATTGTTCGTAGTCTTCATCTTCAGAGGATGGCGCGAGTTTTTTTAACCAATCACAGAGCAAAGTTAAGTAAAACTAAAGCAATCACGTATTACTTTCGACACTCAATTGAAAATTGCTCTGAGTGTTGCATCTGATTGGTTGATATGCTGGATCGAACTTTATTTCTAACCATCACTGAGCAAAGTAACAAAAAAGAAATGCAGTGCACCAAGAGATTTTTATATTCTCTTGAGTCCACGTTGTGAGCAACTTTCGGCTCTTTATTGAAAATAGTTCTTAAGTTAGATCAGTACTGTGTAGAGGGAAAACATCAGTTATCACTGTAAGGCAATGAAAAGGACTCCAGTATTTTCCATTCTTAACTTATTACCTTATGACACTCAAAAGGAATACAAAGTTGAGTTAATATTAAAAGAAACGTGGAAGGACCCAAGACTTGCATATGGCAACGCAACGTGGTTCGTCAGACTTAAAAATGAGTTATTAAAGAAAATTTGGTATCCTGATACAATGATTGAGAACGCCAGAAAACACGATGTTGACGATAAAACAAGGACAGCATACCTGTTTGGTGATGGGACGATATTTTTCTCGGAATGGTTTGTATGATTGAGTTATCATTGAATTGTATTTCACAGAGTTCAGTATGCTGATGATGGTATACTTATGAAGATGATGGTCGTAGGAACGATGAAAATTCTGGTTGTGACTTTTCACCCTTTATACCCTTTACATCAGTATGCATATCCTAAATACTGTCTGACGTATCCTCCACACTATTCCCCATACGTTTCCTTTCATTTGCTTCCTTATAGATTTTTAGATGGCCACAAGCTGAGGGAGTAGAAAAAAACTTTGTTTTACTCTTGGAGCTCAGTAACTCGCCCAAATACGTAAGAAGCTAAGTTCCTCGTACTGCATTCTTTGTGTCACAAAAGACAATCCATTCTGTTTCGTGTTTCATTTTTTCTAATTTTCAAGGATTAAGGCAACTTTAACAAGTCACATGGATTTTAAGAGCTACCCAATGGATGTTCAGACGTTGAGAGTACAGTTTGCTGCTTGTATGTATGAAAACATTTTGTTCAATAATGCAACCAAGAGGTGATTTTCTAACTTTAATTTTTAGTTTAGAAAAATTTGAAAGACAGATTAAGCCCCTTGGAATGACGTATGATTTTAAAGAAAAGTTTATTCAAATTTTCTTTTAACTTAAATTGAACCATAAGTTTTATGTTGCACCATGGCGTTATGCACTTTGCATGTGAATGACTTAAACAATGCATCTGATGCATTTCATTGGCTCCATTTTAGATATCACTAATCTATAACCAACAAGAACAAGTAATTCCTAAGGAAACCTTTTAGGTGATCACTTCGCCTCTCGCTCTAAAACAATGTTGTTTTCCATAAAATATGACGATTTGTGTTTCTTGGTGAATTTATCTCTTTCAGACAGTTACGATGATAGTCAAGTTCTGTATGAATGGATAAAAGTATCTCTGAAGGAACATGACATGACAGAGTTTTACGTGGAAAAACAAATCCTCAGATTTGAATCAACGTCATTTATTACAGGTAGTTCAGGTATTTATTTCTTAATCATCATATTAGACAAGATGAGACTGGAAATTGTGCAAGGTATTTATAAAGTGTGATGATTTTGATACTGATTTTGACAAGAACAGTGACGAAGGCAATGGTAGTGATAATTGTTATGATCATGGCCTAGGTAACGATAACGATGACGATAACGATAACCGTTTCTGTAACGATAAGGTTAACGGTTACTATAACGATGACGATAATGATAACGGTTACTGTAACGATGACGATAACGATAACGGTTACTTTAAAGGTGACGATAACGATTATTATAACGATGACGATGATAGTGACGATGATGATGATAATGACAATGATGATGACGATGATGGTGATGATGAGAATAACGATGATAATGATGTTAATGGTAATGAAATTGAAAATGATAATGATGATGATGCTGGTAATAGCGATGGTAATGGCAATTGTGGTGATAATTTTATCTTTTAATGAAGATACGAAAACATCTCAGAATGGCCAAAGAAATTAAGTTAATCTCTGATACACAGATTGTTGAAGCACTCAACAGACAACTGTGTGAAGTAGAAAGTAAACTGAAAAGCATACATTACTGATAATTTTGTCAGATGGATTAACGAACTGGGTTGTTTGAACTTTCTAGGAACACATACAGCAGCTGTGGTCGAGTTTAAGATAAAACGTCGCTTACAGCACTTTATCGTTGGCTTTTACGTCCCTTGCATCGCATGCACAGTAGCCTCTTGGATTCAGTTTTGGATGGATGAAATGGCCGTCGGTGACAGAGCAAGTCTGGGAATAACATCAGTGTTGACGGAGATCTTTCTACTGGAGTTTAGTAATCAGGGGATGCCTAAAGTCAGTTATATGAAAGTTGCTGAACTATACCTTATTGTGTCTTTCGTGTTCATCTTCTTGGCCCTGATTGAGTCTGCAGTGGTGTACAAGGTCAGTCAGTGGTCACTCCTAAAAAAGAACAGTGGAAAGATGACGGAAAAACAGGCTATTAGAGATAAGGTAATTATTTGTCCCAGTGGTCGATCCAGGGTCTGCAGGGTTTGGCTTACCCCAGGGGTCGGTGGGTCTCGAACTGATTCATATTTTGGTCGTTCACTTTTCAATTCGTACCCATTCTCTTCTTTCATTCGCTCGTTTGTCGCATCATCATCCACTCAAATACTTTGTAATATAAATTTATTTTTTGATCTTTTTTCATCTATCTATAAACAGGGATACCAGCCTCTGGAAATCTGAATTTTGAAGACATTTGATTTCAATTGGATCTCCCTTCTCATCTAAATGTCTTCTTCTAATCGACTCTCTTGCCCCAGTCTTCCTTAGAACCCGGTAATCGCTAAAATCACACGATGTAATCCAAAATCGAAAAATGATTGAAAAAAGGCACATAAACACAACCAAGTCCTTGTACAGACAATCCAATGATCTTTTGTGATGAAGTAGATATTTCTTGATTTGCCATCTTAAAAGAGAACGTATGCAAATAATTTCATGGTCTCTCACATTAGGTTAACATCTCTCATAACTCTTTTTTTCAGACTCATACTTCACAGACACCGACAGGAAAAGAATTTTATAAAGAAACCGAAACCCCCAAACCCGAAACACTGACGTCTTGTAGATCACCAATGATGTTAAGATACAGCACTCTCAACTTTGAACAAACAGTGAATAAATCATCGGAGCACATCCTTTCTGAAGAAGAGAGATACGAAGGGACAGACTCCCCTAAAATCTCGACGACTTCAGCGGGAACTGAAGCCAAGGAAAGCTGGGGCCATGCGATAGACCGGGGGGCGCGTGCCTTATTTCCGCTCTCTTACCTCATCTTCTCAGTCATGTATTTTGGTGTCATGTTTACTTCTGATGAGGGATCCAAATGACATCTCCATTCGTTTGACTTTCCAGTCACTCGAATAGGAAAACACTGGAAAACGACTTATCAAGTGAATCTTTAGATTATTTTATAGCTAAAACTACTTCGAGCCAATTCAGCCCTCTTAAATTTCAATCTTACCGGATGTTAAAAGTTTCAGCTAACATGTGTTAGTTAAGTAAGGTTGAAAGCAACACTATAATTTTTAATGATTTTTATTTGCCGTCACATCAAGAATATCAGATATTTTAAAATGATGTTTTTGGAGGTTGTCTGACAAGAACTGAAGGTTTGAGTCAAGTGAATTCCAGGAGAAAGTTGAATATTTGCTATAGATCTTTCGACCCTTTGACTAGCATCTAATTTCTCCTTACAATATCAACCTAGAATCACACAATAAGGTAACGAGAATAGGAACATGATCACCACCTTGAGTAGTTATCGATTGTTTTATAAATTCTCCTTGTCAGCACCCTAGGGATTGTATGGAGAAAAGTATGGAGAATGCGCATACTAATGTAACGGTGTTAAATTTAATTCTCCTGATGGTAAACATTTGCCATTTTAGTAAGCATTGATTTTATTTTTAAAAAAATTTAAGAAAACTAAAAAATTAAAAAAAAAACCACAGTAAGTTGGGAAAGCGAAAAGTTTGTCAGACCAGTGAATGATTATAAAGAAACAAAGATCTGCAAGCTTAGCTGTGATGACGACTTCATTTGACGCTTAACTTGCGTAGTTGTCTCCAATCGCTCAGCTTGTTTGCAGTAGCTCAGCATATGCTCGTGCTGAAACTTCAATTCTTCCCTTAAACTACCGCAAACACTTTAAATTCGACGAATGATCATTTTATACTCTCTTCAGATTGTTTTTTTTAAGTAAAACTGCAAATTATCGACCAGACAATCACACATAAGGTGTTACTTCCATCCATAGTTAGTCTCCTCTACTAACTATGTTTCATCCAGTCAGCACAATTTGAAAGGTCACCTGGGATGAAGATGATTCCTTCTAATGCACTGCATATCCTTACGGCGCATAATGTGCAAAAATACACAAGTGACAAAATGGCGCGTTTCAAAATGGCCGAAGGCGCGTCGGTCAACTCTTCAACACTTAAGAGTGACTAACATCTAACTTCTCCCAACAACATCACCCTTGAATCAAACATTAAGGTAAGGAGAATAAAGGAGATGATCATCTTCTAGAGAAGCTCTCCATAGTTGAACAAATTCTCCTTGTCAGAACCCTAGGAAATGTCTAAGGAGTAGTATGGAGAATATGCATACTGATGTTAGGGAGTAAAGGGTTAAGTATATTGCAACATTTTTCCTAAACGTGCATGCTTAGAGTCCGTGTAAACGCGGGAAATTTGGAGAACACAGGAAAAGCGTAGGAGCTGCTCGAAGCACAGCAGGGCTTAGGATTGGGGATTATGGATTCGAGACTCGGGACACAGGATGTGAGATATGGCATAGGGGATTTGGAATAGGGGATATGAACGCGTGTTACGGGATTCGGGATTTTGGATTCGGGATTCGGGACTCGGCAGTCGGAAGTCAAGTCTAAATCAATTCAATGCTATTTTATTTAATCACACAAGCTGTTATACTTCACTAGCACCAGACTGTAGAAATTGGAAGATGCTTCAAATACAAATGTACAAAAATCCGTGCTGCCTCATGGCCAATTATTGAAATAATATTGATTATGTACACCTAAACAAACGTAAGAAAAAGGTTTTAAATGGTTTTCCCCCAAACCACTTCCAGAGAATCATAAGTTTTCCAAATAACACAGTACAATCAATTATTAATATGATTCATAACTTAAGGGAGTTAAGAGATTTATGTATGTTTTTACTGTGCTTTGCATGATCCAAGACTTGGTCTTTTCAGGATGGATTTTCTTCTGCTAGGAGTGGCAGGTGATCTGACACTATCTAATGAATCATCTGTTAGGAAAAAAATTATGAATAACACATAATTAATTACTCTCAGTGTGTACGTTCCTAAAATCGACAGATACATCACAAATCATTTATTTCATGTGACTCTGATAATTCTTTTCTCCTTTTAAAAAATTCTTTAATGGTGTAATGCAAGAAGGTCCATGATCTTGACGGATCAATATCAGTATCTGAGCAACTGCAAACCTACCCCTCCCCTAACCCAACATTAAACCTCAACTTGTAATCAGTGGACTGTTGTTGGGTTAGGGGAGGGGTAAGTGGAGTTGCTCAGATACTGAAATTGATCCTTTTTGACAATATTGTTCATGATGACAGACATGTAAGGCAAGTTGTAACATTCATCATCCAAAGAAGGCAGGGGAAGCACTCACATCAGATTTTATAGGAGTACATTTACTTAAAGGAAAATCGATTAAGGATTTACCTATTTAATAATATACCACTTGATACTTGTTCACTAACCTGCCGAGTAAGATTCCTCAATGTGACTGTATTCTTGAGGACCTTCCTCGTCTAGAGTTGGATTGTGTAGATCATCAAGGTAAGGAACTACACTCATGCTGCGCAACATGTCACCTTCCTCAGTGGGTGGAATGGGTACCCTGTAGTTTGTCTTCCAGTGGTTTTTACAAACCCATCTGATTTTAATAATAATAATGATAATAATGAAAAATGGACTAAAATTAGGTAGGTTGTTGCCAGTATCTGCATGAACCAGTTACATATGAAGGAAATAATTCCTCACAGAAGAAAAACAAGTTTTGGGCAAACAGAATTATCAGTAAATTAGTTGAGAGGGTGGTGTTAATTTTCTGAATAAATCAAAAGGAAAAGAAAAACAATGAAAGTGCAGATTACTCTTGACACTCAATTGCAAATTGCACAAATTAGAAAAGCATTTGCAAATCAAACCAAAATCTCCATGTCAGTGCAATTCCTTGGTAGATGAAATATTCTATCCTTTTAACAGCCACAGTCAGCTCTTTAAAAACTTATTAATGAAAATGTGTCTTAATTCTACACCATTTCTCCTCAATGAAAAAATAATGTGCTACTTCCTTTAATCTACTATTACCTGTGTTTTCGTATCTCCTGAATAGTAAATCTGTTGCAAGGATTTGCATTCAGCATCCCTAAGAGAAAAAAAAAAGGACAACATAATTGTGATATTATAATCATATTGTATATCTGGTGTAAGTGAACTTATATTTCTCTGGCTTATAGTCTGCAGTGCAGTCATATCATTAAGACAAGTTAATGTTACAAGATTACAATCATTTATTCCACTGGCCATGTTTGATTTAAAATTAGAGTGGATGGTGGGGGGGAGAGAGGTGGGAAAAGGCTTAATTTCTATTTCCCTGCACCCTCCCCTCTCCTTCCACTTTTCTTCACGAGGAAACTACTGTGAACCACCTTGCCAAAATTATACCAAGTACATGGGCTAACTACATGTACATTGTAGCTCAAGGTAAAATAATTTTATGTAGAATAGTTCAATCTACTATGCCCCTGACAAGATCAAAAATTATCTTATTTTATCTTATGACACTGTGCTTGCCTAACAGCCAAAGGCTTGTTATATTGATCCTCATCAAATCTGTAAGATAACCATGAATTGTTAACTTTCCAAGTTTTACCTCTCAGAAGTTCAGCTAACAAATCATCCACTCCTTCAGGAACTGTAAATTCTCCTTTGCCAATATTTTCAAACAATTTATAAATATTTTCCCCTTCAAATGGGTATTTTCCAGTGGTAATGTTGAACCTGAGTAATACAGAAATCATGTTATGGTCACAATTTGTTACAATAACATCTCTAGGTACTAAAACAATGAAAACTCAACAAGGAAATATATCTTTACATAAATACACTCATAGGAGATTTCTTCATTGCAAACTAAACTCCACTTAAGCATTTAATCAAAGCTACACCAATACATAATGCTTCAACATGATATACAAGTACTTTAATTAATAACAAAGCTAAATGTTGCTAAACCAAATGCAATTCCAGATTATAATCAACAAATAATTGAAGGTTCCACTTACAGTGTTACTCCAGCTGCCCATATATCTACTTTAAAACCAGAGAATGTCTCCAATCCATTGGCAATCTCTGGTGGCTGAAAAGCTGGAGATCCTTGGCTTGTCCTGCAAGTGTCATCAACTGCAAATGGTCCTAACCTCTACAAGAACAGAAAGCAAATTCAAATCTAGAGCAACTGTTCTCAGAAGACAAATCTACAATTGTTCATAAATGTTAGAAATACCTTTGTACCACATAAATGGTCAGATTACATGTTAAGTAAGGTAGTGTGGAGGTAAATGAATAAAGGGGGTAAGTTTCTAAAGAAACTGTGGCGCTGCATTGGTGAGAGGGTATAACAGGGTAATTTAGTCTTATCAACTGTATTTGATAATAAAAATTGGCCACCGTAAAGAGTTTAAGAGCTGACATTTTGAGCATTAGCCCTATGTCAGAGTGATTGTGTAGAGGTAGTGTGGCTGAGTGGTTAGGGCCCTGGGATTGTAATCTGGTGGTCCCAATTCAAGCCCTACACCCTAATGGTCACTGGATTTTTTTCACAGTTGTCCCAAATTCAACTCTTTTGCTCTGCCTTGTATGTGGCCAACTGGTCTGCCTCCTGCCAGTTGGGATTTTTGAAAAACACTACATTTCTTAACAAATGTTTCAATTTGTGGTCAATTAAGTATATATGCACTCACATACACATTCAAATAATCCCCCCCTCAGTAAAAAGGACTTTATTTTTAAAGCAATTTACAAACCTCTGCAACTCCAAAGTCTGATATCTTTAAAGTCCCATCAGTTGCTAAGAGTAAATTACCAGGCTTGATATTTAATACAAAATTAAGGTTAATGACTCAGCTAGTAAGGAAGTGATGAGCAAGCATTATTCACCTTTGAGCAGCCAAACAGACAGAGTACCAGTAATACGTCACAGAAAGAGACTAATTTTCAGTTTCTAATCGGTATATACTGAAACAGTTGTTCACCACAGAGCCTGTGAAAGTGGTGGATATCTTCCTTGTTGTTTTGTGGTTGGTAAATATCCACTGCTGGCCACCTCCACTTCAGTGAATAATTTTTAAATATTGTGCAAAATTTCCTTTTCCCTTTTTTCAACGTTTTATTTGGTGACTACAATTTCATATCAGGGACCATCTTATGAACTAGCAATACCAAATGAGGGATCTGAAAAAAAGTTGAGCTCCTGGCACTGATCATAACTTTGAATATAAACAACTTAGTAATCAGTAAAAATGAAAGGTCTGTCAAAGGATATCTTTATGAATAATTCCTTGACTGTGTAAATACTCAAGACCATTCAACAACTGAGTGAAATACCTACAAAAAATATAAAAAGGAAGTCAAATCTAGTTTCCTAACAGAAAACTGAGGAATCAATTTTAACAATGTGTGGATAAAAGCATCAACATGGTTTTCTTAAGTTCCACAACAGTCCATGTTGTTGCCTACTTCTGTTGCAGCTTATTGTTTACTTACCCATGGGCCTGCCATATGGGAAATTTATGTCCTTCAACACTTTCCAACATCTCTTGGAGTTCTCCTACACAATATTCCATAATCATATACCTTCACAAAAAGTCTGTCAAGGTTTTAACCAGAGCATTGCTCAGTTCTTTCATGATATTTAATCAACAGTAACAAGTGTGTTAGTTGCAGGTATCAGACAAGCTCATGTTTTCTTATTTGTTGGAAGATCATAGTTTTATAATGCTATGTGGGATAAAGAAATACAAAATTCAAAACAATGCATGGAAGCAAATTAATTTTAAGCACAGCTACATGACATCATTTGGTTAACCCTAGAGATTTGAGTAAAAAAGAAAAAAGCTACAGTGTTCCAGGTTACATTTAAACAAATATTACTGTCAAATCTGCTTGAAGGTCTACCAAAACCAATTCACATTTAGGAGAAAATGAGGGCTATATAGACCCTACCCCCCCTCTATAAAAAAAAAAAAAAAGAAAGAAAAAAAACATTTTTTTCAAAAAGTGTTGATCAACATATATTGTTTTTAGGGTTTCATAAAACATGTACATGTAAAGAAATTTCTACCATTATCATGTATTTCAAATAAAGAAATAATTTGCAACTGATTTCCTATTCTATTTCACTACATTCTTGGAGGTCTTACATTGTATAATTTTCATGTTCACATACTCTCACTACAGAAGCGACAAAAAATAACAACAACAGGTAGAAATAAGATTTAAGGTACTGTATCAAAGTATTGTATCGTTGTCAATGTAAGTAAATAGCGTAAAACAATGAATGGTATATTAGATTTCTGCAGAAATGCCGGTCAAAAAATGTGCGGAATGCAATGCTTCTGTTTTGACATAAAGGATACATTTTTTGTTTTTGTTCGTCGTACATCACATCGTACAGTTTAATGACATTTGGGTGGCACAGCCGTTTCAGCAACTGAATTTCTCTGTCGATTAATAAAGTTTCAAAGATATACAAGGTTACAATCTTGTCTGTTAAAATTGAATCTATCAATTAGGATATGATCCCATACTTAAAATCAGTGACACACACTCTATTGACAAACTTCCTTCGGTAAATAAAAAAAAAAAGAACGAAGAACACGCTATCACCTCTGAACATTTTGCTCTCCATTTGGAATTCTTCTCAGTTTTCGTCGTTTCATGATTTTCACAGCACAACGTCGAAGATTTTCGCTGTCGAGCATTTCCTTAACTTTGCCGTAAGATCCCTCACCAAGCGCATCTCCCATTAAATATTTCCCAATAAACTTAGCTCTCTTCCTTCGAGGTTGATATATAATCTGATCGGAGTCAACCCGATGAAAGAAAATGTTTGGATCTTCATCACCAAGAAACGCAGGACTGTCGATGTTTTCGTAAAATCCATCCTCGCTTCCGACCACAAACAGTCGCTGGACACCATTCTCTACAACCATACTTTCCACCATTTGAATGCATTGGTCAGCACGACCAAAATAACAGCTATTTCATGATGCTCGTCTAAAAATTTCTAAGACTTTACGGTACACATCGTCCTCGACGTCCGCCATTTTGTTTGCATCGTGACATCAGAGGAAATGTGACGTCACTCGTTCCTAACGACAGAACTTCCGGGAGGCTAATAACCCAAACTTGCCTGAGTGAGGAAAACAATTTAACATTTTCAAGCATCTGTTATCTAACTTTTGAGGAGCAAAACCCTATATCAGTGATCCCGATCCCTTCTGAAAGGAGTACCCCCAAAAGACTAATGTGAGCAAATTCTACGAGATTAGGGCTATCACACAGAATCTTTCTTAAACTTACTTGCTCTGAATAACAAGGAGAAATGTGTTTTTCTCAAGACAGTAATTTTTTAAATTAAGGTCATCTATGTGGTTTTTATCTCTTTTCGAAGACCAACTATGACTCGACTTATTAAAAGATATCTGTGTTTCTATCATCACCCGTAATTATAAATTGCAAATAGTTTATTTCTCACTGTTTCCCTTGTCAACTTTTCCGTCATTTCTGCCATAAAACTCACTTTGCTTCCACACGTTAAAGAATGTGGAAACTTGATGACATGCCAGCCACAAAGATAACAAAGAAAATTTTCTCGTACATCATTTTAAAAAACGTCAAAACGTCAATCACTGTCACTGAAAAAATTCCTTTTTAACTCCTTAAACTCCTAAGAGTAACTAGCATCTAATTTCTCGCCTCGATGTCACGCCTGAATCAAACATCAAGGTCGCGAGAATAAAGGAAATATCATTATCTAAAGAATGTCTTGATTGTTAAACAAATTCTCCTTGTTTGCACTTCAGGAAATGTGCAGAGAACGGTATGGAGAATATGTATACTAGTGTTAAGGTGCCAAGGGTTATTATTCTACCATTCCATATACAAATTGTGATAAGGTATCTTCAAAGTAAACAAGTACGAAGTTTTTTATTTCGTTATAACAGACACCTTCAAAGGCAGTAAAATGTACTTGTTAAAGCAGAACGCGAACAATCAAATAAACTGTGTTAGGACTTAGCTAATTCCACAATTGTTCACCTTGAAAATTTGGGTTTAGCTGCGAGGTCAGAGTTACACATTAAAAAAAAAAGGACTGACTATGTCGAAAACGTGAAAGAATGTACCACGCTTCCTTATTAAGTCACGGTTTATTCACTTGATTTAGCGATTCTATTACAACGCTTCGGTTGACTCCCACTTACAACTCTCGTTTTATTAAAAAACGTCCCGTTGTAAGCACGTGGAACAGTGCCATATATGGGGGGATAAAGCACGTGCTGCATACATGTTAGTTTGGTTATGTAGAGATAAACGAAATCACTTATGCCAGTCAAATTAAGAATAATTAATGCATCGTGCGGTTTCCAACAACTGGACTTTCAATTGTGTCCATGCGTGGTCCTAAGGCAGATAGGAAATGGGAATTCTAAAGGTTCAACGTCCAGCGTAGAATCGCATCAAGGGGCGCTTTCCATCAGGCGCTTCTCTCAAAAGCTTCCGGATCGTTTAAACTTATAACATGTGACTAAGTCTACGTTTGAATCAGGCACTGACAACTTCTCATGCTTGGTGTAAATCAAATATTTCTATAGGTGAAACTGATTGGAAAATAAATGTCATCTCTCCCGTGATTATACATTTAAATCTAGTTGAAAAGTCCTCTCATCAGTCATCTTTTTAGTTGGCCACCTGACGATCAGTTTGCCGCGGAGGAGACCTAAATATTCAGACAAGCACAAAATCCTACCGATCAAGATAAAGATGCAAAGGAAAATCAGACATGCACGACTTTCATAATGGCGCACGTAGCGCGAGGCCTGGTGACAATAGCATGAAAACGAGGTCACAAAGGCCTAGAGTCTACAGGGTACTTAGGCGTTGTGACGAGGGAGCCTTTGGTGGATAAATTTAACATGTACACAAATAAAAGTCTTTCAAGGCTTGAGCGGTTTGAGTCCAAGCTTGGCTCTGAGTTCGTTTGCTTCTTTGATTTCTAACTCTTCTTTGCTCATCCCTGCTCCCTCATTATCTTTATCCTTTTTCTTGTCCGATTTGTCAGATTTCTCTGATTTCTTTGACTTCTTGGATGACGACTTCTCCGGTGATTTTGATCGAGACTTGGATCGGTGACGCCGACGATGTGGCGATCGTGAGCGAGAGCGTGACCTTGAATGGCGACGATGAGGTGATCGACTACGACTTCTGTGTCCACGTCTTCTATGAGGTGAAGCACTGGGGACAAAAAGAGAAGACAAAAACTCTTAACTGACTTTCTCCACAACTTAAAAAACCCACAGATCAAAATACACTCACGCACAACTAATGTTCAACGCCGATTCGCTTAGTGAAAGACTGCTGCTGAATGTGAGTTACTTTAGTCTAAGATCAAATTTTCTAAAGAAGTCCACGAAAGGCTTAGTATTTGACTCTCGCAGTAAAATGACAACAGCAATAGCAGGGACGGATATAATTCGAAATAGAAATTTCAGTCCGCAGTAACATTCAAATTGTAAATAGCTTACCTCCGGCGCCGACGGCGAGGGGATCTGGATCGACTTCGTCTGAAAGAAAGACAAAGACACAATCATAGTAACCTTTCTTCCTATTTGTTTCATTCTGACTGTTCTTATGTTTGTCTATCTTAGGAAAATAGTGTATTGAGGTTTTCCCCTAAATAAAAAGGAAATTTTCGTCGTCGCAAAAATCCGTTTGAAACCTGTCAAAGTATCTTCTATAACAAAGGTTCTTTGTTCTCCAAGATTGGCCAAAGATAATTATCAATGTTTGCAACACGTACCTGTGATGTGCGGGTGATCGGCTGCGTTTTCGGTTCCTGTCGTGATCGCGATGCGAACGCCTTGGCGAATGACTCCGACTTCTGCTTCGGCGACGCGGAGACTAATTAAAGAATAAGAGTTGAGCTCCCAAGGTAAAGCAAAGTTGTAAAAGCACTGTAAGGTTATAGAAGCCGCTTATTATCTACCAATGGTTGGCCCCAGGTTAGGGGACGGGGCGGGCTGTCCTCCGAAAATGACTGAGAGGAACCCTCGTAAGTAGAGATTTTGACATTTAAGGAATTTCTACCTCAGGGTCGGGAATTTGAACTGACCGCCATCTTGATGGACGGAAAGAAACTGGAAATGAGCTGGGGGACAGCCCTGCACCTCTGAGAAAAATATGGCCATGTCCTATACAAAGGGTATATTCATTTTTGGGCATACAGTTTATGTGGTCAAAGAATTCTTATAGATAAGCATAGTGGAGAAAGAAATAAGTAAAACAACAGAATAATGTGGCATAAAGCAGTGGCTTATTGCATCAGTAAAAATGCACGGCCAAACATACCTGTCTTTCTTCTTCCTCATCTGACTCTGATTCAACATCTTCCAAATCATCATCAAGAAGGCTGCGCTGTAAATTTAAAAGCAAAACCCAAATATCAAACCACTAACGAGAGGACTTTTTGATATGATAAAATTATTTTCACTAAATTGCTGAATGTCTGATTCAAAATGGGAACTAAATTCTTCCTAAACAAAATTTTTGTTTATCAGCAATGTATAATGGACTGTTGTGTTTTCTTACCCTTGGTTCAAGTTGATTGGTGTTTTCTAACACTTGGCGTTTCTGAAAATGGATCAAAATCATAAAATTATTATAACTTAACTGCCTATAAAACAAAGGAAAAAATCAAGCTAAAACTGACACTAAAATAAAAGGCCTTGAGAAGAAACATCCCCTCATTTTTTTTAAAGTCACTTTTAACAAAGCTCCAAAGTTACTGAATTTTAGCACAATGCTTAGTTTAAGTTGGCAAACAATGTGAAAACCTTTGTTTGCCAATTGTAAACTGTCTTTAGTTTCATAAACATGAGAAACATTTTTTGTTTCTTATGAATCAAAGACAGTCACTTAGAGAGCAGAGATTTCTGTCCCTGACAAAAAAGAATGCAAGCCTAGCAAAATAAAGTTCAGAACCATGTTTGTTCATTGAAACAAGAGGTCGTAACAATATTCAGTAAATTTGGAATGTTTTTTAAATTACAAGAAAAAAACAAATGACTCTTTTGCCTTAAGCTGTTCAATTATTTCCTTAAAAAATGCTCAAGATTCCAGCATACACATTTGAGTTAACAATGAGATGTCAATCATTAAATAAATTTCTGTCATCTATTTGTCAGATATAATTTACATGGCTGTATATTCATATTTCTTCACAAGAAAATGATCTCACCTGAATGCGAGGCAGAATAACATCACATGCCCTGTCCTCTCTGAGTAATTCATCAATGAACTCATCCATGTGGGAAAGCTCCATTTCTGCACAAAGAGAATATCATTCCACATAATGTTAGAAAAATTCAAACAAACGTCCCTTTTTAATCCTGGATCGTTGCCAATTGTCTTTACAACAAATGGCCTCTCTTTCACCTCCTCACCCAAGATTTCATTAGCAATTCTCCTTACTGTCTGCCACACAATTCTTATCATGTTAGTTTGGAGACTTTGGTATTGGATCAACTAATGATCCCCTAATTGCTATTTTTCATCACTGGTCACCCTACATTGTATTGATATTGTAAGGGGGAATTCCTTTTTGGTCACTCACAGGGGGTTAAAAGGTTAATATCCTTCATTTTCAGCTCATAAAAATATTAAATGGTTAGCACATGGACAAGTATACCTAAAATTTTATGGTGCAATGCATTGACAGGTTTGTTTAAGTACATGTACATACCAGTCTTGAGAAAAGTATTTATTAGTATTTCTATAAAAAAAAAACTTATTCAAATACAAAACCAATGAAAGCAACAAGCCAGAAAACTTACTGCCCATCTTATTTTTCCTTCTGATCTTTCTGTAGTCATTGTACAAAGGTTCCAGGTAATTGTAGCAATCAAGTGACGTCCCTACAAGTCTCATGTATATGGCCCCTAGTGCTCGTACATACCTAGATGTTGTTGGTATAAATATAACTTGAATGCCTCCAAAATAAAAATTTTAAAACAATAACTTACTAATTTTTTTTTTTTTTTTTTAAATGCCTTTACAAAATTCACTAAGGGTTGTTACTTCTTGGGTCTCATCCATGCTAATTCCCATTTTCATAAATTTGTAAAATGTATAATTCGTCATGTTTTTTCACCAATCAAGCACTCCACACCCACCAAAAGTGACAATTAAAAATAAGATAATTTAGTTTTATAAACTGAGTTGAAAACATTCATTGGCCACAATAAAAAGTTTCTAAAGCTGACATCTCCAGTGTTAGCCCTTTGTCAGTAAGTGCAAATGACTAAGGACTGATGATCAAAACAACTGCTTTAACCCTTTAACTCCCAAGATCTCTTTAGTAATTCTCCTTACTGTCTGCCATTTAGTTCTTGTGATGTTAATCTGAAGCATTTGGTATTGGATCAACTTATAATCCCCTAATTAATATTTTTCTTTATTCTCATCACTCTTCTGCTTGATATTGTATCGACACTGTAGGGAGAAATTCTGTCATGGTCACTTATGGGAGTTAAAAAGTTAAAAACTACCTATAGGGGCCAACTCATATCATTGACTTATCTGATCAAACTATATTTTCTTTTAAAACACACACAAAACCAGTTTCTTAAGAAACTGACCCCCTTAAATCAAACATGAGGCCTTAGTGCAGATGATGGGCAAAAATTGCATCACAAAATATCCAAATGAACTTTTACACTGGTGAAGACAGAACCAAAAACACTACTGTGGACAAGAATATTTACTTTAGTTTTAGTTGAGATGAGAACAGATACTTTGAAAAGGTAACTTGTGGTTAAGGCCTTTGTCATCAATTCATCTTGAATTCTGACTTACTTGTAATCTTCATTTTTGATAAACTCCACAACAATTTCCTTTTCTGGCTGAATTTGTAGCATTTTTAACACCAAACACAGAAATGGCGTTGGTTTAATATTCCCACCAAATGTACCACCAACATGATCCAACTCCATAGCCTTGTCCACCAACAATTCAGCTGATGAAAAGAAGGGAAAGTAACCACTGAGTTCATTAGGGACTGGAGATTAGAATATTCCAACTGTTTCACCAAGTTCTCAACTTCAATTTCAAAGGCCTGAGGTACATGTGGGTTTTAACCAGACATTCAGGACCTTAAATGGTCAGAGTGACAACCCCAAATAGAAAAACATTGATCATAATACGATTTTATACTTTCTTTTTCAATGTTGCAAAGAGTTGGATTTGTTTAGCAAAGTGCTTTCAATAAGATTTGGGGTAAGTGGCTAAGTACTAAAGTAAGCGTTTTTTGTGATCCAAGAGTTTATCCTCATTGCTGTCATCTCTGTGATTCATTATTAAAAATTTACTCCTCTAAAACATTTCTGCACAAAAAGGCTGATAACAAGAAAATTTACAATGGAAAACATCGATATCTCATGGTAAAGTATTCAAACTGTGCGATAAAATTCTGTTAGATTAATAGATTCAGCTTGGATCAATGTCTCATTAAAGTCCTGACCTGTCTTTGCTTTTCTCGAACGTGGGCTTGATACAGAATTAGAAAACAAAGCATGACCAAATGATGGATGGTTTCAGTCTTTTAAAACATACATGTAAGTCCACTAGCATTCAGGGATCGATTGTCCAATTTCTCATCTCATATTAGCCAATTTTCTATCCGATTTTAGGAAGAATTTCAACACTGTAGTGCTCCTATATATTATCACGGTACCTTTCTATACATAGATATTGACCATTCTGGTAAACTTGCATGGATATGGATTCAAATAAATGAAGTTTACACTGCTACAAACTCTAACAAATTTGGATATCAGAGATTAATATCTGGGTCAAATCTGTTCATGTTAGAGACAAGAAGACTTACCTGAAAGCGCAAAACATTGCTCCTTCCAATATTTATTCTCATAAATACGTGAACGAACTATTTTCTCGATAAGATACTGTGGATTAGTTCCTTTGACGGTTTTCGCATCAGACACCGTGCGGTTCGCCATTTTGGATTTGATTGCTATTTCCAGACTCCTCGCGTGTAACTGAGCATCCCACGATTCCTAGTGAATTTCCCTTTCGCTGATAGTGGGCAGTATTTGCTGACTGTTCTGACAGAATTTTGCCAATCTTTTTGGCTGTGATCACAGTTAAGAGTCAATCGGCTCTATAATGGAATATCTAGCGCCAGAACACCAAGATATTGCCGAAGAAGGACTTGATGAATTACGACTAAAGTTACCGTCAGCTGAAAAAGATGTCCTTGAGAAAGTAAAAGCGGAAGAAACGCCATTTCCTCGTCTGTTTAAAATAGCACAGGATTTCACGAGTAAAAATCTGCCGACCGCATCAATCATATGGGAATACTTGCTAGAGAAAGCCACGAGCAAGCAACAAAAATTTGATGTTATGAACAAACTCTTTCATGTTCAGATCGCAACAGGTCCTTGGAGAGTCGCTGTAGAGACAGCAAAGAAATTATATCAAGACACCGCTCTAGAGTTCTCATCTGATGGTTTGAAGGGACTCACGGGAAATAAAAACCGTCTCGGTGCGTTTAATGCAATTAATTCAAATAATACTTAGTATCATTAATAGTAGAATGTCCGATCACGTCGTATCGAATGTTTAATTTTTTCGCTTTATAGTTTTGATTGTCGCGCTAACTTCCTTGCGTGACTGCTCAAGGTATAGTCACGCTTTCCACATTTTAGTTATCGAAGGGGGCATTGATAAACAAGTATCAACAAATTTAAGTAGTATTTAAGAAGTTCCAAAAACGGATCCCCTGTCAAAGTTTCTTAATGTATCCCAAATAACTGGAGGCGAAATAACCCTTTTTTTTCGATTAGAATCATATCTGAGTTTGGAGTGACGGAGTTGAACTTAGATCGAAAAGGTAGGAAAGACTAAAGTTGGCAGAATGAAGATTTACCGAAGGTAACAATATGCCTGTCAAAATATCCGCAAAAAGAATGACTCTCGAAATACTACTGATGAATATTGTGGTTTTTGTCTTGTTATTTCTGCCGTTCTTTGTATTTTAAATAATTATTGTTATATCTTCATTAGAACCCCTTATAGCAGTACCACTCTTATTTGAAGCTGCTCTGAATCTCGGAACAATACATCGCCTTCTTAAAGAACTAAACGAAGCTGAGGAATTTTGTCGGAAGGCGTGGAACATTGCTACATCTGTGAAAGATATTGACAGAGAATCCTTAGCTAAAATACATCTAGCAATTTGTTTGCTCGATCGCGGAGAACTAAGACAGGCCATAGACACCTATTTCAAGCCACTGATGGTTTCCAAAGCAACATTGAAACCTCGCACAAGAGCTCTTTACCTTCAATATTATGGTAATGCCTGTAGATCTGCGGCAGACTGGGGCAGAGCTAAAGAGTATCTCCGAGAAGCCCTGGACCTTGCCAAGGAAGTGAGAGACGTTGGTCTTGTGTCCAGTTGCTGCGGGGACCTGGGTAACGTTTTCAGATCGGAAGGAAGGTATTAAGGTTTGTATGTAATTCAGAAATTTCATCCTGTTACTTTTGTGAGGTGTTTGAAAGAAGACACATGCTTTGTAGAGTTTCAGCTTAACAATTTGTTAGATACAAGGGTGTAGCCAGGGGTGCACGGTGACCCCCACATTCAACTTCTTCAAGAAAAAAACATAGTTGATGATCAACCTTGTTAGATGTTAGAGGGTAGGTACAGTATGCTTAGAAGATCTTGGGAGCTGAAGGATTATGTTCATCTTTTCAGTGTGTCTCCTCTAACCGCCCTATTCCTAACATAAAAATCATCATCAAGCACTCATTCGTTCCAGGTTTAAAGATGCAGAGCAGCTCTTCTCACTTCACCACAAGTTCGCATTGAGCAGAGGAGACATCCATGGCCTGGCTATTGCTTGTGGCAATATCGGATTCTTGAAGTTTTACAACCCCGAAGAGTTTGATGATTCCGTGGTGTACCAGTTCGTTGAATACTCGCTTGCTGAGCAAGTGGGCGATTTTGCACGAATGGGAATTGCATTTAACAAAATTGGCAAACTATATACTGCACTGGGTTTCAATGAAGAAGCCGAAGAGATGTTCAAAATCGCCATCGATGGTGCACGCAGGGCGGACAACATTGCTGGCGAAGGGATGGCGTGGGGAAATTTAGGCACGGTCTACAGAGCTTTAGAAAGGTTTGAAGATGCGATTGATTGCCATGTAAAGTATCGAGATAATGCTGAAAGGCGAATGGATATCGGTGGGGTAGCCATTATGCAGCATCAGTTAGCCATGGACTACATCCTTTCTGGAAAGCTACCGGAAGCAGAGAGGTCGGTTCTCGATGCGTTTCAAACACTGGATAGAATCCGCTCACAAGTCGGTGGAGAAGACAAATCGAAACTGTCTAACTTTGAGAAGAACCAAGCCGAGGCATATAATCTGTTACAAGTTGTACTTGTCGCGCAGGGGAAGTTTAAAGAGGCTCTTGTTTTAGCTGATGCAAGCAGAGGACGAGCATTGGCGGAAATTGTTCGGAAACGATTATCAGGCTGTAGCGATATCTCTAGTGGAGAAGAAACGGTAACTCTTAATGAAGAGTTTATCGCCGAATCCTTCAACAATCTTGTGGAAATCAGTCGTAAGCGTTCCACAACACTTGTGTTTTACTCGGTGGTGAAAGAGTTTGACCAATCAGGGGCATATTTCACGTGGGTGTACACCTGGGTGTTATGTCCTTCCGGGAGCCTTAATTTCAACAAAACTCGTCTGCAGCACGATTTGGAGACGAAAGTTGAGGTTAATGACGAGTTTCTAGTGTCCCTGAGACGATCTATGGGCCAGCAATCTCAAATGGGAGCAGTGGGCGAGATTCTGAGATCATGTGGAGAGCAAAACAAGGTTTCCAGGGAGGCTAAGATACCTGTTGCTACACTTAAAGGCGAGGACGTCTTGAGTTCTCTGAAAGGATTTGAACACGAGTTTACAACCGGTTGGCAGAGTATTGGTATTTCGCTCAAAACTAAGGATCAAGGAACACAAGAACACATGATGGTACTGAAAGAGTCCTCAATATCTAATGAGGAAAGAACCTTTGACGAGTCAACGTGTAACCAAGAGGGCTGGTTAGTGAAAAAAACAGTTGCAGAGATATCAACCGCCTCCAAAACCGAGCTATGCAGTGTAGAAAGTTCAGAATCGTACGAAGTGTCGAGTAAAGAGGAAGTCCATTCAAGTGGATCCATGAAGCTAAGCAGTGTCACAAAGCAAAGTGTAACTTTCGATGAACCTGACAATTTTTCTGGTAAGTCTTCCCTCATAGTTGAATGCCCAGAGGAAGACCTCCAAGACAACGTGAAGACGCAAAGCAAATTGGAGAAAGATAAATCATCTTTTGAAGCAAGTGAGGAAAGCCTTCATCATCCGATAAGTGATTCCGTGTATGCACACTCGTGCACACATTTGGAGTCCAATACAGCTAAATCTGAGGTATTGATTGCCTCAAAAGCGGGTGACAATCCTATTAAAGAAGAATGTCTAATGACAACAAGTCAAAACGGTCCTGGCGTTCCCGCACCAGGCCTTGAACATGATATCACCATCAAGCCTTCACCTGAGGAATCTAATTCTTCTCTGCAAAGTGACAACAACATTGAAAAAGAATATGGAGATCAGTCCCCTGCAAAAGTAGATGGTGACGTTTCTTTGGGCACATTGTCAGGTCCCTTAAATGATGTTATAACTAAGCCCTTAGGCGCACATTCAAAGGTACACAAAAAGGAACCTAAGAGTGACCCAGAACTGGATCCTTGGATACCAATGCTGAGCCAACTTCACAAGATTCTTATTGAGCCCATTATGGATTTCCTGCCCAAAAAGGATGAATCTCAAAGGGTGACTTTCATACCCCAAGATTTTTTGCTCAAAGTTCCCTTCGCTGCTTTGCAAAGTGACGTTAGTGGTCACTATTTCATTGAGGACTTCATAATTTCAACCAGTCCAGCGATCCACTTTCTCGATTTAGCCTGCGCTTCTTGTGAAACCGCTGAAAAGAACACAGCGCCTCCGGAGCTAAGTCTCCTTGCAGTTGGAAACCCCATCATGCCTTTCGAAGAACTTCCACAGCTCCCCTCTGCAGAGCGTGAAGTGCACATGATTACAAAGACTATCAACTCGCCAATGTCTGAAATTCTTATAGGATCTCAGGCTAAAAAGGCGGTAGTGATGGAGGCCATGCCAAAATACAAGATCCTACATTTTGCAACGCACGCTATTATCGACAACGAAGACTCTCATGGGGATTTTAGCATGAGAGGACTTATTGTTCTCGCAAAGTCTGGGCTCGAATGTAATGGTATTCTCACGGCTGAAGAAGTGAGGGGCTTGGAACTGAATGCTGAACTTGTTGTGCTGAGCTGTTGTGAAACCGGACTGGGTAAAGTGACAGGCGATGGAATACTGGGTGAGTTGGTGACTTTTTTTGTAGATTTTTTTACGCCTATGTTTATATTTTCGATATTCCTATCTTGTTCTTAGCCTTTCCAAATTTCGAAGACACAAACAAATCCATCTGATAGGAATATCTATTGGAAGTCATTTTCACAACGTTTAGGGTAGGTCTCGATGGCCCAAAGAGTCTAGACGGGTAGGAGTTGGGAACAAGTTTAAGCTGAGACTGGACGCAAGCAGGGGCTGATGGAAGTGATAAGTGTAAAGCTTTTAATTTATGTCGTTAATTCACTCGTTATGGGTTTTTGGATTCTCCCCATTCTTTCCAGCGTTTTAGTTTGCTGAAAACAAAAAATTCTAAGGCGTCGCGCCCTTTTCACTCCAAACAACGGACAACGGACAACGGATTGTTCCATATGTGTATTTATACATCCTTACTACCCAAAATATTCAATGCGTCGGTGAATCGCATAAGTTCATGAAGAGAACCTTCATTTACTAGGAAGAGTAATTTGAATGTGAATAATGCAGATAGCAAGTGACTCGATTGTCTGAAGTAGCCCTTCATTAAATCTGTTGGACAATATCTTGTTCAACCTTAACAATTGCTTTCCTTCTGATAGGCTTGTCACGGGCGTTTCTGGCAGCTGGTGCAGCTTGCGTGATTGTCACGCTATGGAAGATTGATGACAATTCTGCTTCTGAATTGATGACGTCATTCTATCGTGAATACAAATCTTCCCGTGATGCTGCGGTATCGTTACAGAAGGCCATGAAAACTGTTCAAACTAAAGAGGACACTCGAAGTCCACAACATTGGGCTGCGTTTTCCATTGTCGGTGTTCCCGCTGTCAAATGACTCTTTTCCAACGAACTAAATACGTTGTTTAGTTAAAAATTTCAAAATAGTGCAAACTTTAGCTGAGCATCGATAGTCATTCAGGATACGTCATCCTCCAAATTTTTTTATTCACTTTTAGCACATGGTGTGTTAATGAGCCTAAGATTTGTTACCAAAAGTTTTGGGAACAGCTATGAGCGATAGAAACCACAGCTACAGCTTTCTCATTTTGCAACAAAATTTTACATACTACCAGATAATAACAACAATATTCAGTTAATTCTAAAATTATACAATGTCAGTGGACTCTCCAACCGGTTGTTGGTTTGTTTTTCAACTAAAGTTTTTCTGCTCACAGTCTAATACTGACTCTAAATCTAAACAAAGTTTGAAGTAATCCCACTAAAATCAACTACTATGTTATTGAATTTCGTATGTTAACATTTTTAAGCCACAAAAATTGTGGAGGCTGCTATTTACATTTGTTTAAGTAGGAAATGCAAAACGAAGCACAGTTGGCAAAAGGTACCAACAAATGTAATGTAACATACACCAGATGAAAGTTTGGTTGACTCGTCTATCTCTAAGCTGTTTGAAACAAACAAGTTTTCTTTGTATTATTGAATAGCAAGGAATGTGGTAAACAATAAACACAAAACCCTTTTTATACTTATTTCAACTTATTGACCGGCCAGCCAAATAAAGGAATGCAAAATTGACAGTGAATTTTTAACTTCTTTTCCTTCACCTCCGTTTTATATTTTTGAGGTAGTTTTGTCATAAAGAATTGATTAAATTAAACACGAGTAACACAAGGCTGAGGCCTCTTAATTATCATTTTACATTAGTTTCCACGAGCACTCAACTCGATCAACCAACTTCTGATCTCATATCAGCTCATGTTTGATCTAATTTTAGGGAGAGTTTCGACACTGTAGTGCTCCCATATATTATCACGGTACTGTCATATACATAAAAATACACCCTTCTGTTCAATTTACATACATCTATATTTAAATAAATGCAACAAACTGCAACAAATTTGGATACCAAAGGGTTGATTATATCCCAGTCAAATCTAGTCATATTAGGGATAATAAGACTTTAATACCTGAAAGTGCAAAATATTGCTCGTTCCAGTATTTATTGTCATAAACACGTAAGCGAACTACTTCTCGACAAGATACTGTGGATTTGTTCCTTTGATGGTTTTAGCATCAGCCACGTTTAAAATTTAGCTATTTCCAGACTCCTCTCATTTAAACTGTTCCTCCCACAATTCCCAGGGAGTTCCCCTTCACTTAAACAGAGCGGCGAACTTGATAGTTTTCGCTGACTGTTCTGAAAGGATCTTTACAGCCTTTTTGGCTTTGATCGTCGTTAAAACTCAATCGGCTCTGTTATGGAATACCTAGCGCCAGAACACCAAGATCTTGTCAAAGTTGGACTCGACAATTTACGACAAAAGTTGCCCTCAGCTGATGAAGATGTCTTTGAGAAAGTGAAAGCGGAAGAAACGCCATTTCTTTGTTTATTTGAAATGGCGCAGGATTTAACGAGTAGAGATCTGCCAACAGCATTAATATTATGGGAATATATACTAAAGAGAGCCATGAGCAAGCAACAGAAATTTGCTGCAATGAACGAAATATTTAAAGTTCAAATCGCAACAGGTCCTTGGAGAGTGGCTGTTGAGACAGCAAAGAAATTGTATCAAGACGCTGCTCAGGAGTACTCATCTGATAAATTGGTTCGTCTAAAAGAGAAGGAGAGCGATTTAGGTAAGTTAGACTCATTTTTTTGGAATGAAACATTGTTTTGGAAGCAGTAGAAAGCACGATGACTTGTCGAAAATTTTTTGCACTTCCGCTCTATAGTTTTGATCGTCACGCTAGTTTACTTTCGTGATTGCTGAGCTTGAAAGGTCACGCTTTCCACATTTTAGCTATCAAGGAAGCTATGATGAACAAGCTTCACAGAATTCAGTTGGAGTTTAAAAAAAAAAGATCTAAAAGTAGATCACTGGTCAAAGTTTCACACTCAGTGCATCCCAATGACTCTTCTTTTCAATCAGAGCCATAACTCAGTTCAGGTTGAGTGAGTCGAGAAGGTAGATAATTTTAAACACGGCTGAGTGAAAGTCCACAGAAGATAACAATATTCCAGTCATTGCATTCACAAAAGAAATGACTCGATTTGTGATCATTTGTCTGGTTATTTCTGCCATTCTTTGGTTTTGAATTGATGTCATGTTTTTTCATATTACAGAACCATTCTTATTTGAAGCTGTTCTCAATCTTGGAACAATACATCGCCTTCTTAGAGAACTAAACGAGGCCGAGGAGTTTTATCGGAAGGCGTGGAACATTGCTTCATCTATGAAAGATTTTGATAGAGAATCTTTAGCTAAAATACATCTTGCAATCTGTTTGCTCGATCGCGGTGAACTAAAACAGGCCATAAACACCTATTTCAAGCAACTGATGGTTTTCAAAGCCACTTTGAAACCTCACACAAGAGCTCTTTTCCTGCAGCATTACGGTAATGCCTGTAGATCTGCGGCAGACTGGGGCAAAGCTAAAGAGTATCTCCGAGAAGCCCTGGACCTTGCCAAGGAAGTGAGAGACGTTGGTCTTGTGTCCAGTTGCTGCGGGGACCTGGGTAACGTTTTCAGATCGGAAGGAAGGTATTAAGGTTTGTATGTAATTCAGAAATTTCATCCTGTTACTTTTGTGAGGTGTTTGAAAGAAGACACATGCTTTTAAAAATCTTTGGAGCTAAAGGATTCAATTTATCTTTTAATTCTGTGTTCTCTAACAGCCCTATTTCCATCGACATAAACTAGTTATCGCTTACTCTCAGGCACTCATTCGTTCCAGGTACAAAGATGCAGAGCAACTCTTCTCATTTCACTACAAGTTCGCATTGAGCAGAGGAGACATCCATGGCCTAGCTATTGCATGCAACAATATTGGATATTTGAAGTTTTACAACCCCAAAGAGTTTGATGATTCTGTGGTGTACCAGTACATTGCATACTCCCTTGCTGGGGAAGTAGGTGATTTTGCAAGGATGGGAATGGCATTTAACAAAATTGGCAAACTTTATACCGCACTAGGTTACAATGAAGAAGCCAAAGAGATGTTCAAGTTCGCCATCGATCGTGCGCATAAGGCGGACAATGTTGCTCGCGAAGGAATGGCGTGGGGAAATTTAGGCACGGTTTACAGAGCTTTAGAAAGGTTTGAAGATGCGATTGATTGCCATGTCAAGTATAGAGATAATGCTGAAAGGCGAATGGATATCGGTGGGGTAGCCATTATGCAGCATCAGTTAGCCATGGATTACCTCCTTTTGGGAAAGCTACCGGAAGCAGAGAGGTCGGTTCTCGATGCGTTTCAAACACTGGAGAGAATCCGCTCACAAGTCGGTGGAGAAGACAAATCGAAACTGTCTAACTTTGAGAAGAACCAAGCTGAGGCATATAATCTGTTACAAGTTGTACTCGTCGCGCAGGGGAAGTTTAAAGAGGCTCTTGTTTTAGCTGATGCAAGCAGAGGACGAGCATTGGCGGAAATTGTTCGGAAACGATTATCAGGCTGTAGCGATATCTCCAGTGGAGAAGAAACGGTAACTCTCAATGAAGAGTTTATCGCCGAATCCTTCAATAATCTTGTGGAAATCAGTCGTAAGCGTTCCACAACACTTGTGTTTTACTCGGTGGTGAAAGAGTTTGACCAATCAGGGGCATGTTTCACGTGGGTGTACACCTGGGTGTTATGTCCTTCCGGGAGCCTTAATTTCAACAAGACTCGTCTGCAGCACGATTTGGAGACGAAAGTTGAGATCAACGACGAATTTATAGCGTCTCTTAGACGATCTATGGGCCAGGAATCTCAAATGGGAAAAGTAAGCAAGATTCTGAGATCATGTGGAGAGCAAAAAAAGGTTTCCAGGGAGGCTAAGGTACACGTTGCGGCAATTAAAGTCGAGGACATCTTGAGTTCGCTAGGAGGTTTTGAACACGATTTTATTACCGGTTGGAAGGGTTTTGGTATTCCGCTCAAAACTAAGGATCTCAGAAAACAAGAACTGTTATCTAAAGAAGCTTCAATACCTAAACACGAAACCTTTGACGAGTCAACAGGCAGCCAAGAGAGCTGGAACGAGACAGTTGCAGAGAAGCCAACCGCCTCTAAAACCGAGCTTTGTAGTTCAGAAAGTCAAGAAGCTTACGTAGTTTCGAGTAAGGAGGAGCTTGCCTATTCAACTGAAGCCCATTCAACTGAATCTGTAAAGCCAAGTAATGTGATGACTTTTGATAAAGTTGATGTTATTTCTGGCGAGTCACCCCTCGTAGTTGAATGCCTAGTAGAAGATCCTCAAGATGACTCAAGTATGGAACGCGAGAATCCCGCTAAAGTCGAGGAAAATGAATCATTTCCTTTGGCAACAAGCGAAGAAAGCCTTCAACATTCACTAAGTGGTTCAGAGCCCTCGCACTCGTGCACACATTTAGAGTCTGGCCAAGCTGAATCTGAAATATTGGCAGCTTCAAAACCCAGTGACAATCCCTTTGAAGAAGAAGCAGATAAGCCCTCTCTGATAGTAACAAGTCATGACGGCTCTGGGGCTACCGCAGAAGGTCTTGAACATGGTATCGCCTCTACGCCTTCATGTGAGGAATCTAATTTTTCTTTGCAAAGTGACAACAACATTGAAGGGAAATATGGAGATCAGCTCCATGAGTTCCCTAAGAAAGATGATGATCACGTTTCTGTGGGCAATTCATTAGGTCCTTTTTACGAAGTTGAAACTGAGCCCCTAGGCGCACATTCAAAGGTACACAAAAATGAACCTCAGAGTGACCCAGAATTGGATCCTTGGACGCCGATGCTGAGCCAGCTCCACAAGATTCTTATTGAACCCATTATGGATTTTCTGCCCAAAAATGATGAATCTCAAAGGGTGACTTTCATACCTCAAGATTTTTTGCTCAAAGTTCCCTTCGCTGCTTTACAAAATGAGGCAAGGGGTCACTATTTCATGGAGGACTTCATAATCTCTACCAGTCCAGCGATCCACTTCCTCGATTTAGCTTGCACCTCTCGTGAAACTTCTTTAAAGACCACAACGCCTCTGGAGCTTAGTCTCCTTGCAGTTGGAAACCCCATCATGCCTTTCGAAGAACTTCCACAGCTCCCCTCTGCAGAGTACGAAGTACGCATGATCAGAGAGATTCTTAAATCGCCGATGTCTGAAATTCTTATAGGATCTCAGGCCCAAAAGGCGGTGGTGATAGAGGCCATGCCAAAGTACAGGGTTCTACATTTTGCGACGCACGCTATTATAGATGATTCAGACTCCCACGGGGATTTTAGCATGAGAGGACTCATTGTACTTACAAAGTCTGGGCTCGAATGTGATGGTATTCTCACAGCTGAGGAAGTGAGGGGCTTGGAACTGAATGCTGAACTTGTTGTGCTAAGCTGTTGCGAATCCGGACTGGGTAAAGTGACAGGCGATGGAATGCTGGGTGAGTTGAAAACGTTTTTGTAGGATTTTTACGCCTATGCTTAAGTTTGTGGTAGTATTCTCCTCAGCCTTCCAGAATTTTGAAGACGCAATCAAGGCTACCTTCTACCATAAGTGGCCTCAGCGTTTTAAGAATAGAGGGGGTAAGTTTCAAAAGAAACAGTGGTGCTGCGTCTGTAGGAGAGTATAACAAGGTAATTTAATATTATCAACTAAGTTGATAACATAAGAATTTAAAATCTGACGTTTTGGGCGTCAGGGCGATTGGACGAATTGTTGATCGTGTGTGAGTTTATATGCGGAAAATGGAACAACGCTGTTGTTTCTCGTCACCATATTTCCATCAGTGGTGTGGCTCCATTTTCTGCATAGCTACTGAGCAATGCCGTGTACTCAATGGAAATACACTGTAATTATTACTCACTTTCTTATAGGCTTGTCACGGGCGTTTCTAGCAGCTGGTGCAGCTTGCGTGATTGTCACGTTATGGAAGATTGATGACAAACCTGCTTCTGAGTTGATGACGTCATTCTATCGCGAATACAAAGCTTCCCGTGACGCTGCAGTATCGTTACAGAAGTCCATGAAGACTCTTCAAACTAAAGAGGACACTCGAAGTCCTCAACATTGGGCCGCGTTTTCAATTGTAGGTGCTACCGGTCTCAAATAACTCCTTTCCCAGGGGCTAACTGCGTTGTATAGTTAAACAATTTCAAAATAGTACAAACTCTAATTGAGCATCAAAGTTATTTGGGATTACCTTTGCTTCTTGTAAAGTATCCGTCTTTCTTTTTTAAGTCAGAGTAAGCAAAGGATGCACTGTCAATGAGCCTAAGATCTCTCATCAAGAATTTTGGGAACAATCATATACAATAGAAACCACAGCTACTGCTTTTGCATCAAAATTTTACATACTTCCAGATGAAAACAACAATATAAGGCTATAAACTCTAAAATCAAACAATGTCAGTGGACTCCTCAGCGATAATGGTTTGTTTATAAACTCAAGTTCTTGAGCTCACTTTCTAATACTTATTCTTATTCTAAACAAAGTGTGAGCTAAAATAAACTACCATGTGCTTGAATCTTGCAGATAAACTACACATTTTCAAGCGTAAAATGAACTACTTTATACAAAAGTATCAGCAAATGAACAGTGGCCTATCTATCTCTAAGGTTGCAAAAAAGTGAACACATTTTCAAGCCTAAAATGAACTACTTTAAGCAAAAGTACCAGCAAATGAACAGTGGCCCATCAATCCCTAAGGTTGCAAAAAAGTGAATAAGTTTACTATATATAATTAGATAGCAAAGAATGTTTCAGTAAACACAAAACCCCTGTTAACTTATTAGCAGGCCAGGAAAATAAAGGAATATATCCCTTTCCTTTCTGTTTTGGACTCTTCCTAACTTATTTCTCAAAAGTTTATTTAAAATGAGTACCACCAGGATGAAGTCAGCTAAGGGTCCTTTCACCAATTTAACGGCATCCGCACTCAGAGGCTGAAAAATTCAACCACTGTTTCTGCACTGGCTGGCCTGTTTCAGGGTCACTCTGGATTACAGTTTGAGCACTTAACTTAGATGGTACACACATAGGTCTTTTGGGTGCAATTGTTGTGGGGTTTTGCCTTTTCCAAATCAATGCCCATGTTATGGCATGCATAGTAGGAGTTAAGTGATTTTGAATAGGGAAGTAACAATAGCCATCACAGTAGTTTATATATACAGTCTTTGGTATAACTATGTTTTGGTAAATGTCTTGCATTCTTACTGAGAATGAAACCTTGTAGCAAGTGAGACTTGGGTTCCTAGGAGATCTCCTGGTGTTTTTCCCAGAAAGTTGTGTATAACTGCCATTTCTATAACCCTTTTGAGCAGTGGTACTATTGAGCACAGGTGAAAGTGCAAGCCAATTGATTGTCAACAGCTTCCAGATGTCATTATTGTTTTGTCCCTGTTTAGATTGTGTGTACAGTACAAGGAAGGGTCCATGCAAGTGGTCATGCTCGAGGTATCTCAACACACTTAAAGAAGCTTTAGAGTCATCGAGTGGTTCTATTTTTACCTATAAGAAAGTAAAATGAACAAAGGAATAGATTATGGTGTCAAAGCACATTTGTCTAAACAGGGGAGAGAAAAAAAGGAAAACTCAAAGATTTTCAGGTGTGAAGAAAGGCCATGTGATGTAAGAGGACCAACATTTCTGTTAATACTGTTTTACGAAACTGTTTGGTAGAAGAAAAAATCAAGTGAAAAAATAAAACGACATTAAAGACTTTAGCAAATCTGTATGGCGCAAATATGGTAAACGAACGTCATTAGTGTACAACAGAAAATCGAGATATGAAGTTCACAGTCCTACCAATAGTGTGTAAGTCCTAGCCAAAATTGAACTCCACATTCTAACAGCTTGTGTCACGTTAAGACCAAACTCAACATTTGCCCTCTTTGGAAAAGTGCGGTAATCGGAAAGCCTTGTATTATTTGGCGCCGACATGTTCGATGTGGATTGTTCATAGTACACGCTGACATTATATCGTCGCCTCAAATTTCTAGTGGACAGTTTGGAGGTCAAAACAAGCTCAGCTTCCACTACGAAATCGTCCTTGAAGCTGTTCCCCATGTGAAATTTCATCTCGATAATAGACCCTTGCCACGTGGTTTCTAAGAAATGTTAGCACGACAAAATTATCACGGAATAAAACATCAAAGAGGGTGTAAATGGATTACGAGCACGTCTACTTTTAAGTGAACTTCGAAAAAAAATTATAAAAGCAGTAAACCAGAATTCACCATAAGATCAAGGTAGTTGAGCAAGTCATCCGCACCTGTCAATTTAAAACCTCTACTTTCATCTTTTTCAAAGGAGATTTTCAATTACACTCGTTCGTGATCGCAGCCGGCCGAGGGCGGGGTGGTTTCAAACGATCTGCTCCTTTTAAACATTAAAATCTTCAGCAATGCACTATTATGCAAAATAAATTATACACATTCTAACCTTACTCAGTATAAAATGGATAAGGAAAACTAACAGTTACTTTTAATTAATCAGCGCTGGTTACGTCTCTTTTGTAAGTCAATGCACACTCTGAGTGCATCGAACGTGATGTGGATTACGCTTTCACACGCAGTGCAGCATTCTCGTGGAATTTATCCGCGATGGAAGGTTCCTCTCAACGTTACTCAGTATCTCTAAATGACAGCTGAGGTACTTTTCAAAAAAGTTTATTAGAAATTGATGAGAAAAATTCCTCACCTCAAGAAAGATTGAGCTTCATCGACGGTTACGTATATTCACTGTTCAGCTAGAGTATTGAAATTTTAATAAATCTAGTCGAATTGGTGATCCTTTAAGAAAGCTTAATGTTCCCACTAAGAAAGGTATGTGTTCATACTGTGCTCAGACGGTACTCACCGCTTTTCTCCAGCTGGAAACCTCGAATGGAGTCAGCAAGAATCTTCTGGTTTCGGCGCAGCAAGATTGTAAAGCTACCATTTTCATTTCCTCGCGCACGCGTGTTGTATATCTTTAGCATGTAAGAATGTAGGATCTCTGGCTTTGTCTCTCGCTTATGCGAAATAGCAAAGTGAAAAGTTACAAATATGACGCATAGGAACAACACATGAGGACCCTTCATCTTCGTTAAAGGCGGGGGAAGAATGTCAGAGCATATACTCTTCAAACACAAGATACACACTCGCAGAGTAAACAAAAAGTCACGCAGCAGTGAGTTTTTATCTGATTCATATAATTAAATTTTTCTTAAAAAGGGTTCAGTCACGTAAAGAGGAGTAGAGGAAGAACGGCATCACGGGAAAAAATGCACACGCTGCGGAAAAACCAAGAGTGAAAAACTAATGCGGGGGATTCTCTTGAAAATACCAGATTTAAAAAACATGAATGGTTACACAGCTTAAAAATTTATCACCTGGATTCATCTACGATGAAAATCAATCAGCGGGAAATTCGAAATTTTTAAATCAAATGTCCGAAAAAGGAAAAGAACGAATCAAAACTTGTTGACTGGCTGGTGATTGCTACACGACATCGTACAGTGTTGGTGGGAGCCAAATTCAAATCATTCATCTCGCAGTATCAATTCGTGCGTAACAGCACGAGGTGAAATATACGCTTTATTCAGACCTCTTCAGTTACTCTTAGGTCGTTGGTTAGGGTATAATAGAAAATTCAAGAAAAAAAATGGAACAAAAAGGGTAATTCACAAATTTATATCAGTATAGAGGTCTGGGGTTTAGAATGAAGCCTACGAAAGCTAGTCTCGGTAAGAGTTCTTTTAGTAGGCGGCTCCGCTTTCAGTTGGCCCGCGTGAAGTCAGCAGAATTTCGCGCCAAAAGTAACGCGGCTGCACAAGCCGCACCCGGTTGCACAGTATTTCAGTTCAATTCAACTCATCCATAAGCGTGGTCAACAAAAAATCCAAAACACGATGAAAATAGGAAATTTGTCCAAGGGGAATCAAAGAGAAGCGTTCAGGTAATATTTTAGTTATTAACTAACAATAAGAGTTCTTTTTCAGTGCATACAAAATAAGCAAACTTGCCTTAAAACGAATTTAAGTTGTATCGAATTCTTGATCGATGCAAAATTGTTTCCGTAGTTCTCCCTAATAGAAAATGTCAAAATTCCTCGGGTTTTTCGTGATGAATTTAAAGTTTGCTGAATGATTGAATCACTTACTTTCTGAAAGCGACAACATTTTGGTTTTACCTACAAAATTTGTGATATAAATTGGCCACCAAAAAGAGTTTTATAGAGATTGCGGGTCAAGCGTTAGCCCTTCGTCGTTTGATCGGAGGAGGATGAATAGGAGGCCAATTTACACTGAAAACTCAATTTATCTTGTAAAACCCACCAAAAAAGCACCACAAATTGTGGGAAAAGTCCAACAATTTTAGTCCAACATTTTTATGCCATAAGTTCCTTTATTCAGTGCCTTAACTCAAATATGCGCACCCAATCCCCACAGCACAGCTATTATTCAGTTTTTAGTAAGCAGGTCGGGTTCGTTTTTCTTCTCTACGTTTATTTCTCTTCTAGCATCAACTTTCTTTTTAGTGTTTCTAGTTGCTTTGACTATGTCAACCTGATCTGTGGACAAAAAGAAGAACGTCAGTGTCAACTTGTTTTCAGATCTGAACATTTATTTTTTCCTAACTTTTAATCGCTCTCCTGTTGCTCAGTGCCGCATTGTTGTAAGCTGAAGGGTAGCGGCCCAATTCCATTCTTCATATCTTCAATCTCTCTGAGCCTATTTCCCCATCTACTTCTCAGGGAGTGAGCCCATTTTTAACCCATCTTAAGTTGTTTTTAGCCGTAATTTTCTTGGTATTGTTAGATAACAATAGTTTACTTTACCAGCAGATGTCGAGAAAATCATGTTACTGTTTGAAACCATGAATTTACTATAATAGTTTCCTTTTAGTTGTTTTTAGGAGAGTTGGTAATAAGGACTGTTTTGCTATATTTTTTGTACTTTTTGCTACAGCTCAGCTGTTACTGCCATGTATTTAACATTTCGTGGTTTTTATCGTTATAACTTTAGTTTTAACTAATATCCTTACCAGCTCAGTGAGCTTTCTCAGCATCCTCAATGGCAACTTTCCTTTTAGGGGCACTCCTCTGGTATCGATCTAAAACAGGACACAAAGACTCTTTATCTAGTCCTAAACGAATGATTTTTTTTCATCTTGTTATGAGTTGCCCAAGGAGTGTTACCCACCTTCTTTGATTTGCAGTTGCTTTATTAGATCGTCAGCCTTCTTTTCCAACTGGCTAATCATCTTCACACTACTAACGTCACGCTTCTGCCTTCCTTCAGCCCGTAGAGCATGGTGGACATCAGTAATCGCTCTCTTGACTCGAGCTGTCGGTTAAAAAACAAGAAAACTTGACGTAGTAATTTGAACCATGGTTTTAGGGGTGAAGCCGGGGTGCATCTTACCACGTTTTGGTTTTCACGCAATCATCCATTTTTAGGGAAGTTTATGGTGGCACAGATAGAGGTCCGCTGAACGGCTCAACAAAACTAAACCAAATTTTTTAACATTTATTCATTTATTCGTTGCTTCATTTGTTCATTCATTTATTCTATTGTTTGCTCGTTGGTTTGTTCGTCCGTTCGTCCATTGTTTGGTTTTCAATAGTTCGTTCGTTGGCTTGTGTGATTGGTCGTTCGTCCATTCTCGTTCGCTCGTTTCGTCGTTCCTTGGTCCTCATTGGCTCATTCGTTTGGTCGTCCGTTCTTTCATTCTCAGGTTGTCATTCTTTGGTTCTTTCGTTTTTTATGTTAGCAGGCTTATTAGTTTCTTCAGTTTGGTCGTTTGTTCGTTCATTGTTCTTCGATTCGTTCGTTTGTTTCATTACTGGTGCTCATTCTTTATTCGTTCGTCCATTGATTTTTTTTTGAGACGGCTGCTGTTTGTTTTCACAGAAAGTACATCTGCTCAAACAAGATGCAATTTTAATCGTAGGCTTGTAAGGTTTTTAATAACATTCTGAATGTACATTAATGCTTGATTAAACGGCCTACCTTCATAATCCCTGACAGACACACTGAAAACCTCATTGTTCACTACATACTCCATCTGGGGAAGGAAAATTGTAAAGATTTAGCGCCTTAATGGAGCCACATAACGATATCTTTAGTTTCTCTCAGTTTAGTGGGTCGTTGGAAAACCGATAGTTGTGAATTGCGCATGTACCACTTCAAAAATTTAGGCTAAATTTTTCAGTTTGGAGAAACTTTGAAAGACAGACAGGAACTTATCCAATGCCTTTGCTTGATGACTTGGTTGGGTGGTTTGAAATAAAGTGTAATCAATATCATATTCATTATCATCGTTATCATATTCTTCATCATCATCGTCATAAACTGAATGTTATGTGCTTCTGTTATAATACAGTTCTAAACACATATAGCCTACGTCACACGAGGTGGTTTTCATTTGCCATTATATTAAAACTTGAATTTCGAATTAGGGGAATTAGATCAAATAAAAATGCAAGGAAAAAACGCCACTTCAATATTTCTCAATCTGGGCTTTCTTCATCAACCCATATTTCCAGGCTACATTTTTCTATAGGCGACATAGGAGTAGTCTTTCATTTCTGTAGAGAGGTTTTCTGGTCGAACAAGGCATCAATTAGGGACTTCTGCAGTCCCCAAATACAAATAGGAGACTTCCATCGTTAATATTCCTGACGGATCTCGGTAACTTTTATTTCATTCAATGCTATTACCTGATTTAGGAGGTATCGCACGATGGCAATGAGGTACTGGAGTTCCCTGAAAATAAAAACGACAAAAAACTCCTCTATTAGCAAGCAATGAATAGAATCATTAGCTTATCCGTTACTCCAAAATCAAGTATGCAAGGTCTGGTTATTTATGACTTAAAAGTGTAACTTAATGCGGCAATTTCTGCTGAAAAGCAACCTTAATATTTGGTATTTTGGTGGCTGTTACTCGGTAATAGGAACTACATGGAAAAATTAAAACTCAGATTTCGCTATTTACCTCTTTGCATCGGGAGATGGTCCAACAGATGGAAACATAGCTGGTAAAAAAGGTCCAGAAAAGGATAGAAACTTTACACAACATCATTTTCTCGCATCTTAGATTAAACTTACATCACTGTAAATGATGCGTGAAGCTTGAATTGGTATTTTCACTTTCTCGTGAAACTTAAGTTAAATTTGTATTGAGCTTTGCGTGATTCGTGATCCGCCACAAACATAATAAAATATTTTACCGTGTACATTATCCAATTTAGTTCGAGTCGAGATTTATCGAAGCTTCGTGGAAAACATATCTCTAAATTCTGGCGTTTAAATGAATTTACGTTGTTGTTTTCAGCGTTATGGATAGTTTCTGAAGAAATGAAACATAATTTCACTTTTCATACATATTGAGGACAAACTGAAGGCGAATTTCGTGACCTTGTTGTTGAATTTGAGTTAAAGCGTGAAACTTGGTAACAGTTATAAAGTTCTATCCAGAAGAAGAGCGCTAACGAAATCCTAAAATACTCACGGCTGGCTGTTGGATAAGCTGTGTTTGGTATTGGTGTGGTGAACTCTATTTTTAATTTTATAGTTTCAAGTAAAATTTTTATGTTTATGTTATATTCCTTTTAAAAGAAAAACAACATTAGCGAAAACATTATAGTTGAAACTATAGAAGCGGAGACCGATGAAACTTAGAATTTGTCTCATCTCTTAATTACACATTACTCCGATTAGTTCACCTTTTAAACATGGTTTGAAACATAATGTGATCTACGAAACCCGTGGAGGACACGTGGGCGTATACGGGATACGAGTTCCGCAAGGGGTGAAAACAAACTACACCACTTTAATACATTATGGTTATGAAGTTGCTTAATGCTGTAACTGATGACTTCTTGTAATGAGCTATTATAACTGCTATGAGCCATTCCATCTTGTAGGGAATTACTGGAGTTGATGGATACAAGATGAACCAAATTGATTATTTTATCTTCTAAGGAAGGGTCAGGGTTTGGTGAATTATTCGTGACCTTAATTTTATGGTTTTTCTTTGAATATACATCAATCTTTTAAATTGATCCTCTCCACTGCGTTCTTTTTTTTTCCCTTTCAAGCACAATTACGTCACCAGGGTTTGTCTTCCTCATAATGTGTTTTATTTCCAAATTTTGTTTTGAATATTTCGTAAAAGGCTGCCATTTGAAATTGATATATAACTCGGTATTACTTACTTGCAGGGGTTCGTTTTGGAGTGTAAGTGGGCGGAGGCTGGGTACCATTTGCTGCAAAAGTGAAATGAGATCACTGCATCAAGGTCCACCAATGGAATCGTAATGGGTTTAGAGTACCCAATACTTCCATAACTCACACCGAACTGTGGAAACTCGGTGGAGTTCAGTGATACGAGAACAACCAAAGAAGGGGCTTAGTCAGCATACACTTTTGTGCATCTTGAAAATGACAGCCTCGATTTTTTGGAGTTCCTTATTTTACAATTCGACTTGATCTGTAAAAAAATGTTACAGTACTTACAGCCAGTAGGGATTAACGTGAATGTCAAGTTGTATCCTCTACGTGAGAAGATGCCGTCTGAATGAAATGTTAACACAGCGTATTGACCAGTGACACTGACGCTTCCATATTGAACACCACAGTACTTTCCATTGCGCCCACCAAATGTCTCATTTTTTTCGTTTGCAATCCTCAAATAGTCATAGCTGTTATGAAAAAGATTAAACCAAATTCCTCTATAAATTAAACCTGAGCAGAGGCTCCTGACTTGAGAAACGGTCACGTGATTGTCAAAATGGTTATAAAATTATTATAGACGTGTTACCTTCATCAGCAAATATTGCAGTTAAAGTGAAGTGGTGGACAATATTTATACGCAAATATATATGGATAATCACATGACTTCGGTCAAGGGTGTGCTAACCAATGAAATAAAGATATCTAACGGCTACGGTATTTATCCAAATATAGGAACAAACACTACACTATTCATCAATTATTTTTATTTCCTTTTCGTTTTAATCTACTTGCGTTCTTTCACAGATGCTGCAACCTGATTGGCTGTGCTATTCGCTTTCTATTCTGAGATAGATATTTTCCTATTTGGTGATAGACAGTGAATTGAGTGAAAGACCTTTCAGTGAACAGTTCTAAACTAGACAGAAAAATAACATGAACCTATCTTGTTAAGGATTAAATTACTTGCAGATTTTAAACCAAACTGATTACATTATTCTCTCTCGATTGCCAAAAGTAGTAGTTGATTTGGGCTTTTCCCTTACCAGCAACTATGCGATAGAAATCTCGAGCCCATAATCTAATAGTTAAAGATAGAATCGCAGTAGAGCTTGGTACTGGATTTGATCATAAAATGCACCAGCGAGTATGCTTTGTATGGTAATCATTTCTCTAAGTATTCCATTGGGACCGTCATAAACCATACTCTATTCTAACAGCCTTCGGTCAGGGTGCAGTACATCTTCCTTGCTTTCTAATTCCCACCAGCCACAACCCCCACCCCACCTCCCTCCCCACCTCCCTCCCCATCCAAGTCAAGTATCACTTGACATGTTCCTACAGAAGATCAGTATATGTAGTACTGATGCATTACGCGGTAATTTTGAAACCTGTTTGCTTCACAACTCATTTACCTGCAACTTGAATGGTACTCAACTTGAAATTCATTGAAGTAAATTCTTAACGCCTTGCCATAAGGAATGTAGATCCAGTACTCACAGTCCATCCCATTCGGATAATTGTTTGGATATCCGGGACTTGTGAGCTGATAACCTTGCACGTAACCACAACCAACTGTATAATAAAAGTAGAAGGATTATTTAAAGAAAAATATCGACACAAATGAAGTTTACAACATCCAAGAAATTAAATTAAGTTCTTTAATACTTTGGTCTTCTTACCGTTTGGTGGTGCTGTGGTATACCATGGAGGATTTGTTGGGTACACTGTTTGTGGACCCTGGGTACCTGTGGAATTGAAAGCAAACACAACAGTGGAAAGCAATGATAATATTACAAGAGGCCAACTGTTATAAAGGGAAAGAGAAAATACTGACTCAATGGAATTTTACATTATTCAACAAACTAATTCAAATATTGTAGTACTTTGGTCTTCTTACCGTTTGGTGGTGCTGTGGTATACCAAGGAGGATTTGTTGGGTACACTGTTTGTGGACCTTGGGTACCTACTGAATTGAAAACGAATGCAACTATGGAAAACAATGATAATATTACAAGAGGCCAACGGTGAATTAAATAGAAGTTACAAAGGAAAGAGAAAAATTCCATAAGTTAAGTTATTATTGGTTTAGCGGTTAAGGGGGTAGTGTGACTGTTCTTAACCAATCACAGAGTGAAGTAAAGCAAACCCAATGCAATCTTAAATAACATTTCACTCTCAGTTGAAATCTACTTCACAGTGTAGATTGACTCATTAGATTGTGTTTTGTTAAAATCAATGTTACAATTTACTTAAAAAAGTTGTTCTTGATATTTGAAAGATATCAACTGAGATTGATGGATAAGTCAGTGCTACTTACATGGATGGTTTGCTGATGTTGGAGGGTATGTGGGAGTATAAGGGGTACGAGTCCCGGAAGAGGTGAAAACAAACCACACCACTTTAATACATTACATTCATGAAGTTGCTTAATGCTGTAATGACGTCTTGTAATGAGCTATTATAACTGCTAAGCCACTACATGCTGTGGGAAATCACCGGAGTTGATTGATACAAGATGAACCAAATTGAATCACTTTTCTTCTAAGGAAGAGACAGGGTTTGATGAATTATCGGTGAACTTTATTTCATGGTTTTTCTGGGAATATACATAAATCTTCTAAATTGATCCTCTCCACTATATTCCTTCTTTTTTCCCTTTCAAGCACAATTACCTCACTAGGGTTTGTCTACCACATAATGTGTTTTATTTTCAAAATTTTGATTTTGAATAATCAGTAACATAATGCCATTTGAAATTGATGTATAACACAGTACTACTTACTTGGAGGGTCAGTAGGCGGAGACTGGGTACCATTTGCTGCAAAGTGAAATGAGATCACTACATTAAGGTCCACCCATGGAATCGTTATAGATTGAGAGTACCCAGTACTCCTATAACTCACGCCGAGTAGTGGAAACTCACTGGAGTTCAGTGATACGAGAACAGCCAAAGAAAGGGCTTAGTCAGCACACACTTTTTTTGCATCTGGAAAAAGACAGCCTCGATTTTTTGGAGTTCCTTAATTTACAATTCAACTTGATCTCCATCATCCTTAACCATATTTCTTTTCTTTTTGCAATATCTTATCTCTAAGAAGGTTGAAGTAAAGACCCATATGAAAACAAAATTTCACCGTACTTACAGCCGACAGGGACAAAAGTGAATGTCAAGTTGTATCCTCTACGTGAGAAGATGCCGTCTGAATGAAATGTTAACACAGCGTATTGACCAGTGACACTGACGTTTCCATATTGAACACCACAGTACTTTCCATTGCGCCCACCAAATGTCTCATCTTTTTCGTTTGCAATCTTCAAATAGTCATAGCTGTTATGTAAAAGATTAAATCAAATTTCTCTGTCACGTTTGACCTGAGCAAAGTGGACTATTATGAGATCCTGACCTGAGTAATAATAGTCAAGTAATTTTCAAAATGGATGAACAATTATTATAGACATGTTACCTCCATTAGCAAATATTGTGGTAGACAATATTTACATGCAAATAGGACTTGTTCATGGGGTTTTCGTTAAAAAAGTAGGAAATTTTATCTGTATTTTCAATCATCCTTTACCCTTTCCACCTTACAGTCATTTTGCCATACTTTTCTCCATACATTTCCTGAGGTACTGAAAAGGAGAGTTTTTAAAATCATCAAGGGCTTCTTGAGTTGGTCATCGTTTCTTTTATTCTTGTGACCTTAATGTATATAGGGGTGAAATTTTTAGGAAAAATAGATGTTAAATCAATAAACATCTCCATGAGATAGATTTCTTTCTTAACACCTTTCAGCTGGGAAAAGTGTTTATATCAAAGAGAAATACCTTTTTGGTCACTCCTAGGAATGGAATAGGACTGAATATAGAGATGGAAATAAATGAGGTAACGATTGTCAAGTTTGTATGGGAGCTTTATAGGAAGTTCTAATGAAATACTTTATTTTTGCATCGTTTTACTTTCACATCCCACTTACCTACATATGGAGTTATATTCGAGAGAGAAGTCATTAAAGTAGATGTTCATTGTCTTGCCAGCAGGAATGACGACCCAGTAAACGCAATCTATGCTATTTGGGTAGTTACTCGGGTACCTGGGACTTTTCAGTTCATTATTCGTCACATTCCCGCATTCTGTAGAAACACAATTATCAATGTTAAATAGTCTTTTAATAACGCAAGCTTAGGATTGCACGTTAAGTCATACGGAGCAAGTTTATGCAATTCGTCTTGAACATGTTTGCCACAGTATTTTTTAGATAAAAGCTTCACTGAACATCTCACCTGACTGCCTTTTTTGTACTTCATCCACTTTGACTTCAGAAACAGGCTTTCCAATATGCCGAGGTCCTATGGACGTATTTTTCAAAAGTTAGGTTCCGTAGAAAATGAGAAATTGTCTAACTTCATATTTAATAATAATAATATTAATAGTTATAATAATGGTAATGATATTAATAATGTTAATTATAATCATATTCAAAACATATTGTCCATAGATCAAAGCTTCTAAGAATCTTTTTTTAAAAATATTTTTTACAGTATTTCAAATATTATCGAGAGGTATTTAAACTGGATAGCAATTTGTCAATTGCGTAAGGAAAGTAATCCTGAATCTCTTTGGTTTCGCTTAACTTTCCTCTTTGATTGTTCTAAACAACTAGTGCCAGTCACGTATATCCCTGCACTTTCGCTTTTTTTACCCTGAGTTCCTATTAGCTACTGACGATGTTAACCTTGGCTCTAATTTGCCGTTTTGATCATATTTATTTTGGTGTTTCGACATCTTTTAACTGAAAGCGGCTTTACGTAGTGATTGTAAATGAATGAAAAGTAAACATATGAACAGACTCATAACTTACTGCTAAATGCTGTTGGAACATTAGCAAAGAGAGCAATCACACACCACAAGATCTGAAAAATGAATCAATTTGGAATAACTCCGCTCAGTTCTTTTAATCATTTTACCTCTTTAAGCTACATTCCAATTTTCCAACGTGAATGGAAAATAATTTCGTGGGGCTTAGCTGCAGAGCAATTTAAAGGCACGGGGTTTTTCGGCTTCCAATTTTGGTCATATTCATTGCCGCTTTCTTTCCACTTCCCTGCTCTCCTTTTTGCCGCTTTCGACATTCGTTAAAAGCGGTGTCACGGTCTTGTTACTGACTTGTCCAACTCCGTGCCCTCACTGTTTCATTCTAGATTGAAATCATGATTTCCGGTGGTTTTTTAGGGTTTGATCGATTATTAACTCTTTAACTCTCATGAGTGACCAAGACAGAATTTCTCCTTACGGTATCAATACAATATCAAATTAATAGATAAGTGATGAGAACAAAGAAAAATATCTATTTGAGGATAATAAGTTGATCCAATACTAAATTCTCTGAACTAACATTATAAAAATTGTATAGTTGACAGTAAGGAGAGTTACAAATTTGATCTGGGAGTTAAAGGGTTAAACCGCCTTTTCTGAAAATTTTAGGCGGTTTTCAGTTTCTAGTATGCTCCTTTTCGTTAGTTACCAGACTTCCAGTGGCCAAAGCGTGTATTTAGAAGCCAAAGTAAAAAAGGGTTGGTGATCATTTACTTACCAAAGGTGCTGACATCTTCTGAAGCGTGCTTAATTCCGAGGACTAATTTGCTTCAGAGTAGAGACTCAAATGATGTTTAAGTTAGAATAGGTCAATTTATATTGTGATTGTTGTTTTTTTTCCTTTTTGGAATGTAATTGCAAAATGCAAAGCTATTTTTAATTAATTACGCTCCTTCTCGTCAGTTAATTTGTCGAAGTTAAAGAAAATTCCGACGCAAACAAAGTGTTTCTATGCGGGAAAATAACTGAAGAAATGAGAATTTTTTATTACTTTGATAATAAAACAGAAAACTTTAAATCCTAGTTAGATGCTTTTTTTATACGTTTGCAAGCATTGACATTGAAGCTTCATGTGAGCGAAAAAAGGTGCCTAGCGATGCTTCATGAATGCTTTAATTGCTACAACGAAAGATAAACTTAATTTTCACGGCATTAATTAAAATATAATTTGTTTACGTTCTCGGCACGTACAGTGAGTAAATTGTTGAGGGAAGTAAGAAGACAATTTTAATCTCGGACAGAGAGTAAATAAGCAGAATGGTTCCTGATTCGATGTAACATCAGTCAAACAGAAAAGAAAAAAGTTTAATTAAGCGATGCGCATAATATTTGAAGGACACTACAAAACTCTGGATTTGAACCTTTTCCTCAGTGAGTCTCTGTTCTCTTTTAGAATATATACTTCATTGATTTGATAAAAAACCATAATAACTTTTCAACTTTAGAGGCAAGATTTCCGAAGCTTTTAAAAAGAATAGGAATTCTCTTTGACTTAGATTAGAGCTGAGCATACAAATGTGACCGATTATTTGCCCTGCCCGTTGTACCATGTTAAATTAAAATTGAACATGTTTATGACAACACCCACCAATTGTGAAATTTTGGCTATTTTTATAACACTTAATAAGACTTGAAAGTGGCATTTTGTGATGACGAGTAAATACACATTTTCTTCTAAGGTCGACGTTCCATCAGTTATACTTAATCAATTATATTTATTATTACTATTATTATACTTATTCCAGTACCTGACAAGGAAAGTCCATCATTTCAAATTAGGTTTTTTTCTCCTTTTTTCCGTCTCTGTTAATACATGTTTTGCTGTGGACCCACATATTTCATATACGAATTTGGACATCTCTTTGCATTTCCAAAAAAAGTATGGGAGAATGCACGGAAGCGAGTGCAGGTTTATATGGAATTGATGATGTTTCGGGAACTGTCTTTCTTCACGTTACTTGAAACAGCTGCCGACGGTTTAAAAAATTATGTGAATGCTTTCTTTGAATTGATAATTTCCAGAGATTTAAATCTTGTAGAAATAAATATTTCATTGATCTTATGAGCTTAAACTTCAAAAGAGGATATTCCACGCTATGACGCATTTATTGATACGGCGATGAATAATCAGGAACGTGATTTGCCCAAAATGCCAACATAGGTTTTGTATTGCAAATCTGTCCCCAGTTGTTCAAAGGGCAGATAACGCTATCCAACGGGTAATTGCCATCCAGTGGAGAAGTGCTAGCAAAACATGCTGCACTATACACTGGATAGAGATTTATCCAGTGGATAGCATTATCCACTTTTCGTACATTGGGAGCCAGGAGTATCACTTTGTTATGAACTAGATTCTCTTTGTCTCAGAGCTCATTTCGATTAATTGTTGTAAAACAATTACAAAGGCCAATCAAAACGAAGGAAGTATAACAATGAGCCACTGAAAACCCTTAGTAAAAAAAAAAAAAAGTTCCTGAGGCGTTGGAAAAACTACACATCATTTGGGTTCAGCATAACATCTTGTTGGTTGATAAAGTCGAGCACGTGTTCTAAATCAATCGTAAAGTGATGTGAAGTAAAGTTGATGCACCCCAGGTAGCTTATATTGCGTTTTTATAGCTATTTCATTTTCTATTTGAAAGGTACAACGGAGACAAGGGCACTATTTGATAGAGAGTAGGATTGGGGCAGTTTAAGTTCGGATCAATCTTTGGAAAGGAGCTGTTTATTTAGTGTATTGTCTAACACTACTGAGGCACGATGATAGACTATTTTTAAGCTTGTTTTAGATACATAAATGCATCGACTAAAACTACAAAACATGAGATTTCCCACACTTTATTCATTCTGCTTCATTGAACATTATACTATCCCGTACTAAATAAATGAATTATTCCAGTAAATCATTATTTTTCTGCCTGCATCATTTCCACATTTGCAGATATGGGCGTTCTTTATCTTGTTTTCTGGTTGAAAAGAAAGAACATGAATCATTTGCTTCTAAATTTGCCCGTGGGTAGTGAACAAGGAGTATCAGAACAATTTCAGTTTCTTTTACACCTTTACATCAACATGTGTATTCTCCATACAGCCCCTTAAACATTTCCTTTGGTACTGACAAGGAGAATTTGTTTAATAATCAATTCCTTTTCCTCCTTATCCTCATGACCATAAATATTTGACTCAGCATGTTGTGCTGTACGCATCCTTACAGCTTATGAGTTCGCCCTAAGTTATGGTGGATACATCTATAAAATAGTGCATAGTATAAATTTTTTCCCATCCTCTTTGAATTGAGCAAAAACTCTCTTTCTGCAAAGAGAAAAATGTGACTAATACTCTGTGCTTAGTTGTCGTCTATTTCTTTCCTCTTCTCCTTTTTTTTTTTTTTTTTTTTTTTTCTGTCTTTGTGTTTCTGTTCGTGAGCTCTACTACTCACCCATTTAGCGATTTTTCGCAGACAACCTTGAAAATGTTTCTTGGATAGTTTTCATGGCTTCATTCAGAAATTGGTTTCTTTTGGCTTTTCGTTTCTGTTGCGGCAGTTTCATCTCAGCACGTCTTTTGAATCGATCTGAAATTTAATTTTATCGTACCAGAAAAAAAAAAAGAATGAAAACTTGGATCAAATTAGGAAATATCTTTCGAGACAGAGGAGCCCATGCTTGGAACTCGTCACTAGTGGACGTATACATTCCCTAGCACGTGTAGCTGGCTGTGTTGTGAGACTTTTGAGCGCTGGATCCACAAGAAGAATAAGAGGAAAAAACTATAATTGCAACCCCTGTTGTTATCGGTACTTTCAAAGGCTTCAGTGCCTTCATTATCACCCGGCCCCTTTAAAACAACCAGATAGAAAGCCATTGATTGAATACCTTGCTTAGCTTGGAGTGTTCTCATGGCCACTGCAGCATTGTTTTTCAGCTGATTAACGAAAGCGTCGAGCTTTCCTCCTTCACTATCCAATGCCGGTTGCACATCTGTGAGAGATCTTCGCATACGTTCTGTAGGTTAACGAAACTATTCTTTAGGCAGACATTTTGGAATAAAGGAAAAGATTTTTTAAATAGATTTTTGAAACGAGATATAGAGAATTGCATAGATTATAGGATCTTACCTAAGGGGATTTCAAGAGACTTAAGATTATTGCAAACCTTAAATTTCAAATTAGTACCTTTGAATTCCCTTTTTAGCCTATTGCCTCCGACTTCGTTCTCCACGATACTTTCCATCTAAAACAACAGACGAACAAACAGAATGAATTGTTATGTGTATCTCTTGGGGATAATCAACTCATTTGCTTCTATTTCATGTTCTGAACTGTATTGTCTCAAATAGCCAAACTTTAAGAAGGAAGTCGAAATGCTTAAAGAAGTGGTATAGAATGCATTAAGCCATCCTCTATCCCCAGCATTTTGTCAAGACTCTTCCCCACCATAATTTTCTTATTGAAATATACGAAGGCGTTGTTTTAGGTCCTCAAGACTGATTCATACCTGATCTAGCATGGCGCGTATGGTTTTAATGTAGTACTGTAAACGACTGAAATGAAAACGACGATTACAAGTTTAATATAACGTTGATAACCATAGACTTCTCTATACGTTCGCCACTTGAAAATGTATTGAAATAACTTGCCCAAGAATTTTCAATTTTATCTTGACCGCTTTACTCATTCATTTAATTTAAATAGATGGGTGTTTCGCGGAGTAGCGTGGTCACTGTTTTGAAAACAGCATGGAGAAATGGAATCTTTGGTTTGTGAGAAGTAAAGAGAGCCTGTAGAGACCCTACAGATTAGGTGAAAACTGTTTAAAAATATTCATACTGTAAGCAGTACAAAGACAACGACTCAAACTAAGAAAAATATGTTTTTTGTGAGTCAAGTAGTTCCATAAAAAATAAGACAAATAAAAGCCGCATAGCTTAGGAACAGGGTTAGTTTAAGGAAAAGGTTATTATCCAGCCAGATCCTTCTGTCTCAGCATATTTTTGCTACTCTATGAAGATCCAAGATGTTTAGAGACAGGGTACCCAGCAAAATACCTCTTAGTGTCTGGTCCAGGAGCGGGAGGCTCTGGCCCAACTGTTGGTTCTGGTCCTGGTCCGGCTGTGGAAGAAGTTATTCCAGGTCATAAACTGGGCAGTTAATAGTTTTTGCCTTTTTTTTCATCAAATTTTTAAAACAGTCGATGTTTCGAGTTCTCATTCAATCACGGCAGTTTAAAAGGTTCCTTTATTTGATTCAAGTATTATTTGAAGCATCAATACAATTGCAATTTTCCATGTGATATCGTTCAAATTTCTTATCATCATCATAGAATTGCAGTTGGATAATCAAGATTCATTTTGTTACCTATCCTGAAAAAAAACCTTTGTACAGCATGTTCAGTGTTTCTGTGACGAGAAATTATGTGTTACCGGGAAAGTATGAAATTAGACCAATGGTCAGTCCTACGAATCGACTACTGGTATTTTTCAGCGTAAAAACGCTTTACCTCACCCTAAAAACGAGGCCCTGGTATCCTTCAAGGCTCTTTGAAATCACCTTTAATGTTATCGTGGGAGTCTCCACCTCAAACCCCCTCCACCCGTCCCCATCCCCCTGAGTAAATACCTGGCCCATTGCACAGATCGTCCTGGCAACAGCTCACTGAACACTCAGTCAGGATTCCATCAGGGGCCACTGAACTGTTCACGAGACTGCAAATGTAACTCTCATTGCAGGCACCGTAATCAACCATGGAACAGTTTTTAGCTATCGTTGTGAAGTTGAAGCCTGAGTAGTCAAAGCCCATCACCATTGTAGCACAGGAGTCATAATATGATGGACAGGTCAGCACGGTAGCGTCGTCACCACATGGGGTGGGTGAATTTGGGTAATCTGCGCATGCGTAGCACTCGATTCCAACAGCTGTTGGGAGATTGGCTAGAAAACCATAAAGAAGGCACAATCCCTGTTGGATAATATCATGATACTATATATTACTGAAAGAGTTAAATAGATAATTTAGTATTTTGCGAAGGGTTAACACTCGAAACGTCAGCTTTTTCATTCTTTACGCTGGCCAATCTACATTTCCAACTGAAATAGGTATGCTTCAGTCAGCATACCAATTTCGCTTTAGGGCTTGGTTATACCTCACACTTAACAAGATCAAACGTTCGATAAACAATGTCATGCATGAAACTCACTTTTAGAACGAGCTGGGAAACTATAAGGAAAAGTATTCCCAGAAAGCAGGAGGTGGCAAGGGCTGGAAGGAATTATAGACGAGGCTTTAAGGGTTCCTAATTATACTGAAGCCGGGCTTTTCCTTCTTGACTTAATGATCAATCAATAAATTTGGTCAAAATTATCAGGCAACTGTAGGTTGGAAACTACAATTTGAAAGAAAAGAACAATTGATAAGCAATACAGAAGTTGTTACTCACCAACGCGAACGACATTTCCGGAATCTTTACAGAAATCTGTCTCATCCACTTGATACAAACGCAATAAGTCACGCCTAAAATGCGAAAACGTCAATTTATAGAAATGTATAGACTAAGAGTCAATATGCGTTTTATTAATTTTTTTCTCTTGAGCACACTTCAGCTTCAGGCGATGTAATTAACTGGCATGAGTTATGAACTCGAAAATTGTTACTTGACCAAACAATATGTACAGTTCCTTCAAATAATTATAGAGCTGTTTTTCGCCGAGCAAACTAATCTAAAACTTAATGAGAAACTCTAAGAAGTGGCTCTAAATATAAAGCGCGGTCTCATAATTAAAAATTAATACTATTTTCCAAAAAAGTGGGCTTTTACACATACTTTTGAAAACTGTGTTGCCATAGTAGCAAGTTTTGCTTAACGTAATTTAGTTATTAAGACAGCAAGCTGATTGGTGAGCCCGTTGCAGGGAGTTGTTCTGGGAAGAAGAGAAAACGGATTTTCAAAACAGAACACTGAGAATCATTTTGAGATCTAACATAGAAGATACCTGAACAGTGTCTCTCTTTAGGAAACACTTTCCCCTATCATTTATTTCTTAATTTTTTATAGTTAGGCCCAACGACATAACAATTGTAAAGCTGTATAAATAAATAAACTTCTGCTTGAATTGTTAAATTTTTTATTAAATTGTAAAATTAATTGTGAAATTTCACAGAATATGTCAATCACGCGATCAGGAAAAAATTGAACTTGAGTTAATAAGGAAAAGTTAAATAGACATAGGATTTCTTATGGTGCCTTTCAAGACAATGTGTTTATGTAGATAGTTTCCCCACAATTCAGTGCGCGCAACTAATTTTTTCGCCAGGTAGTACGTTCATAGACAGGTATAGCTTGCATTGAGAAGGTCGCTTCGGGGTCCACTTCTTGAAAAGACTCACTAACTTTATGAGCTTGAATAGTTTAACTCTTTTTTCTTGTTTGGTTTAAGATCGAGAAACTGACTCAGGGCAATTCTTGACCATTATGACACAATCTCATTCGAGTCACTCAGAGTCAAAGCGAAAGTTACTTGAGTCACTAGACATTATTCAAGAAACCTGGAGTTGCTCTTAAAGAGCTACTCGCAAACGTCAGAGTGTGCGCCATTCAAATTTTTCTTGTTTTGATTTATGCAAAAGGAAGTGTTTCTTTTGTAACGACAGCGGCTTTTCCAACCTGTGTGCTTCAAAGGTATCCAAGAAAGGGTAGATCCTGGAACTTTTGAAAAGGGGGCTCAAAATTATTTCTCAATCAACTCGTGCTCTCTGGGTCCGCCACAGAAAAAACATTCGCCGGCATCATGATCTCTTTGCTTCCTACTTCCCTTCCCCTCCAAGATAACCTATTACAGTTTTCTAACTTACGGCCCTCAATTAACTTACGGCCCTTATTTGCACAGAAACATCTTAATCATGAGACGACTTTTTAAGTATTTATTCATATCATTTTTACATGACTACTGATTGAACAGGACATTTATTTTCATCTTCATCTTAATTTTGTCTTGAGAATGCTGTCGTTCATCCATCCCCTAAGAAAGAGCAAAATGTGATATCAACTCAGAGATTCAGAAGCGCATTGGCTCTAAGCAGTAGCAGGACAGAAGCGATAAACCCAACAAATTTCATCTCATTATGAAATGCAAGAAAATCTTAAGAAAAGTACACACCTAGCCATTAGTTACAAAGATCTCCAGAGCAACAGCTCAGGGAACAACTCTTTAAGCTCCCACCAGAGCCAGACACTGAAGTTTGCACGTAGCCACACATGACCGACTCATCACAACCGTAAATAGACGAGGAACAGTTTTTAGCAGTCGTTGTGTATTGCATGCCATAGTACTCGGCCGAGGCGACCATTGTCATGCAAGAGTCGAAGAAAGATGGACATTGGACGACGGATGCACCGGCGCAAGAATCCTGTGAACCCGGGTATTCTAAGCAGGCGTAGCACTGCAGCGTGAGAGCTGGTGGAAGATTGATGAGGACGCCATAAAGAAGGCACAACACCTGTAACCGAGCAAAAGAAAAACTGTTAATATGTTTAAACTGAAAAAGTTTTATTAAGATTCGATATTTCGTTATCATGCGAAAACTTTATTTTCTGTTCTATTTTGTTGTATGCTAAACCCATTCAAACGAATAAAAGCTGATTTTCCTCATAGAATCTTACTCACCACGATGTACGAAATATTTGAAGACATTTCAAACACACTCGCTGACTTGCTCGATGCAAACTCGGACTATGATGAAAATTTCAAACGGAGCAATTTATAGTACATTGAGTTTAATTCAATCACCTTATGATAAGAGATATCTTGAGTGGAAAGTAAAAATGGCTTAATTTAAGTATGCAGCTGTTTTTAATTGCTATTATGAAGAAAAGGTGGTTGATTGAGAAGTGATAAAGTTACTGCAATGTGCCGGGAAAGGCCATTAGTGTAAGAATTTGATAAAAAAAATCCAGATCATGTTACAGAATGTGTTGTTGTTCATCGTGTTTTTATAGATAGATGAACTTTTAATCGTTTGTCTCACGATGTAAGAGTTATGCTAATCAATAGTGTATTTATCGTAACATTTCGATTGCTATATTGCTGGACTTCGTCAGGCGATGAGGTCGAAAGTTTACGTGTCGCCATTTGTAGCACTTTTAAGTTGTTGTTATGGCGCGAGGTCAGGGGTACATTTTAAATCCTCATTAGATCATCCAGATCAGTGGGTATGGGCTTTTGTGGGTCTTTAAACCTTCAACTCGCAGAAGTGATTAACATTTAATTTCTCCTTAAAAATTCCATACATTATCCAGCAAACAGGTAGTGAGAAGACTCAAACTTATCAGGTGGAAGTTGCTATCTTGATCCAACACCAAATTCTCGAAACAATTTTATGAGGAAATATGTAGCAGCTAGAAGGGAGAATTAAGAATCAGAACTTGGGAATTTAAGGGTTAAGCAGCTTTGCTGACTGTTTAATTTTTGGTCCTTTGCTCTTGTCGATCGCTTATTTTCTGTTCTCTCTTTTTTACTTTTTATATCTAACCAATACATTCATGAAAATCAGGGAAAATTTCTTAAAAACACCTATTCCATATAAGATAAACAAAGCAAAGGTAAGTTTTTTTAGTCAACGCTTTTGCAGACTTAACTCGATACTAAAGGTTTTATTGTTTACTGTGCTAATTAAACCTGCTCAAGATTTTATAATTACTGGATAGACTTGCTCTTACAAGTGTGTATAGCAACTTTATTATTATTTAAGTTATCCATCAAATGCAATTAGCTTATCCAAATTTTAATATTTGTCTTCACTTACTGCCCATTTGGTTCTTAACAGCGATCGCAAATTAAAGACTAGCGTAATATTTTTATGCATGACCCTACTTCACAATAGAACCAGACTGTTGAGTTGATAAATGAAGATAATTACATAGATCTTCTCCCTTGATCTCAGCAACTTAATGGGAAGCATGTGCCCTTTACAGGGAGGCACATGCCTTTTACAGGTAGGCATGTGCCTTTTACAGGGAGGCACATGCCTTTTACAGGTAGGCATGTCCATTTTACAGGGAGGCATGTGCCTTTTACAGGGAGACATGCACATTTTACAGGGAGGCACGCGCATTTTACTTTGACAGGAAGGTATGTGCAATGCGAAATAGCTTGAAAGTGAAAGGTTAGGAATATCCTTGCGAAAATATGTTCCATGTGATGGTCTACCAGACTCGTTTAAGGGAGTTTGAGAACACGGATATGTATATCTATTTATGGGTTGAACAACCTGGTCAGGCCGAAACAGCAGTCTGTGACTGCCGACTTAATAGCCTAGTTTTGTTTTTTTGACCTAATGTTGTTACCATTGTCACCATAATGTGCATTATGTGAGTGCAACATAAAATTTTTAGGGAATCGTCATTTTATCAGCATAGTCAAATCCTAGCTGTGTTCCGTAACTTGTTTAGTCTCACAAACTGGCCGGTCTCTGTTAGCCCCACCTTTTTAAAGGGACTTACGCTGTAGTATTTTTTTGAAACAACGGAATTTCAAAGGTTGTTTAATTATTTTAAGTTTATTTTTGTGACCTCAAAATTATTTATGTAACTCCAGTGAAGTTTTCATCCTCGACGATTCTACACTGTCACACTTGATGAGAAGCATCATTCACCATTCCTGAAACAGAATGAAGATTTAGCCTAAGTTAAAACCACAAGCATTGTTGGATCTTACTCAAGTGAGTGGGAACTTATCCTCCTGTTACAATCGTGTAAGATGATTTTAAACAATTATTGGATGAGGCTTTTGTGATATCCGGAATAATCAAGGTCGAAGTGTGGGTTATCAGCCGAAGCCTGATCTTTTTGGCTTTTTTTTCTTAACGAGTTATATGACAGCATTTATCCAAGGAAATAGAACTTCAAGTGTTGAGCAATTATCTCAAGTTTATTTTTTGACTCTGTAATTTTAACGAAGCTCTCTCCGTTAGAAATGCTAGACAGTCACAACGGTATTGTATTTCTTGCTGACATTCACCCCATAAACTGCACATACTGAAAAAGAATAGAAAACGATATACGTTGATAGATGTTTGGATTAATGAGTGAATGAGTTAATGGATGGATGGATGAACAAATAAATGAATAAATACGTAAATGAATGAATAATTAAATAAATGAAGGAGTAAAAGGATAAGTAAAAAAAAATGAATAAATAAATGGATGGATGAGAAAATGGCTAAATTAATGGATAAATGGATGAATACTTTTGTATTATAATAGAGTAAAAGCTTTTTTGCTAGTCGAAGAATTTGTCCCAGGAAAAAAAAGCAAAAACAAAAACGAAAACAAAACAAAACGGATAACGACTTTACTTGCAAGTCATTTTCTACTATTCTAAGTGCAGCATTCGACTACGAGCCATTTGGAACTACACGGAGTCTTTCGAATTCGATCGAGTCGCTCAGAAATTACAAAAAGGTTAAATTTAAGCCGCAAGTATTTTTGAGCCTTGTCACTTGTAACTTGGAACTTAGAACTTCTTTTCTGTAACTATAACCGTCATGCTGCCAGTTATTTCATTATGAATTTTATTGCCGGGCAAATAAATGATCTTCACAATAATATTCTTAATACTAACCGTATCACAACATTGCATGGTGGAATCACTGCAGACTCCATATAACAGGGGCCACCCGTCACACTCTCCTTTTGGTACGCACGAGTCGGTGCACGGATATGGCTGTCCCAATCTCTTCTTTAATCCTCCTGTCGGGACCAATCAAATTATCTTTAGTTTTTTAGTGCTTAACAGTAGAAACAGTTAACTCAAATTACGTAAATTTTACCAACACACAATCCCCACAGTTTTAAAGTGCACCAGTCCGCTCCCAATTTTTCTGTCTTGCTTTCCATACGATCACCCATTTACTAACACGCCTACTTAATTGCTAAAAGTTAAACGTGAAACACTATGTAGCAGACACAGTCAGCGTATAGCATTACTCTCATGATTTACTTAGTGTACTCATGTACTATCTAATCAGTCTGAACGTCACCTTTACCTGACAATGGGGTTGCCTCCAAAGCAATAGCCGTCAAAAGCAGCAAAATACAAACACTTCTCACGATAGACATGTTGTGCTTGAGTTCTGGTTAAAAAACAAAACATAACAAAAGATATTAGTATTCATGAACATCTGTCCTTAAAACAGGTGTTTCTATCGCAGTCCTGAATTTCCGAGTCAGTGATCACTTACATCTAAGAAAAGTACTAACGCATGATTTTGATTAAATCGATCGCTAAATTCTTGAAAAAGTCATTGAAAAAAAAAGGCTATCTTTGCGCCTGTGTGCACATCTCCGTGTGCGTCTCTATGCAAGCCATAACCTCCGTATTTTTACTCACACAGAGACAACTAGCCTTGGATTTTTCTAAACTTGTTCTTTCCGCTACCCCTAAAGTCGATCAGTTAGTTAAAAAAACAGAAGGGAAAAGGAAAATATATCTAAGAATCTTGTTTACGGCTAATGAGTGTTTAAATGGCCCTATGTAAATAAATAAGTATTTAAAATAGAATGCCTTATTTGTGAACACAAAATGAAAAAAACTTTAGATCTTATCCTTACAGTTATAGCCTGAAGGCAAATATACATTTGTCCTTCATCTACTTCCGAATAAATTGTCTAAGAAAGATAGTTTAAAAAATATCATTTTATAAAGAAAGAGAATCCGAACGTTTTTTCTAAACTAAAAATTTAAAGTAACGCAAAGGAGTTTCCTTACCTCGGCTATTTCAAATTTTTTTTTTTTAACGTAACCTCCACGCGTTCTAGGTAAGAATAATCTTACAGGGTAACTTTCCACTGATTAATGGCCGATGGGGTGTAGCAGGTGAAATAAGGGAACAATAACGTAACGTTTTGTCATTGGTCAAACTTCCTTCCCAATAACGATTAGTTGCTGATATTGGTTGCTTTTGTTCCTTTCTTTTCTGAAAACAGTACTACCATTATTATAAAACCTACAATAAACGTTTCGTTGAAAACTTTAGCTGTGGCTACATTCTGTTGAGTCCCCCAACTTCTTTGGGTCAAACTGTAAAAACTAAAAGAGGCTTGTTGTGTATTATATTGGAATCTTAACGGATGAAAAACTGCACATATCGCGTCTCAATTAATTTTTGTTAAGGAAGTTGTCAGCTATGCATCAGTTAGTGCTGTTATAACAATAGAATTATCACGGCTTAAGGCTTTTGTTGAAAGATAACAGAACTATTTTAATGAAAAATGTAGCTGGGAAATTGAATTCCATTGAGGTACCCTCACCTCCTTGGTTGCAATTTTTATAGCAAAGAAATATGCTCGTGGTGTATCATATATTGGAATACTTCTGAAGGTTAAAGCGCACATACTGCGCCTCAGTCAGTATTGTTAAAGACTGCACTTGCCTCTGAGTTGTTAAAACTTATAAGTTAGAGCAGTTTTAACGATAGAATTATCTAAGTTTAGGGATCATTTTGTTTCTTTTGCTGAATTCTTCATCCAATTTTTGTCATTTACAGCACCTTTGGTCTTTGGAATCACGGAAAAGAAGGAATGAGGGTGGAAAAGAAGCTCAAAACTGAGTTTTTCATGGGATTTTCTCTTTTTTTTTACGTTTAGAAGAAGGAACATAACGAGAGAAGGGTGTACCTGAAGATGCAAAAAAATAATCCTTGTTTGACTAACGTTAATTTCCTTTCTTTTTGTTTTTGGAAGAAATTATAAATAAGCTGAATAGGTGGAGCAATAGCGGTAACACCTGAAGGATAACAATTACCCTGTCATTGTTTTAAACAAATTTTTTTTTGTCATTAAAGACTCGACCAGTTTTTTTTGTCTCAATTATTAAGAATAAATTTTTAAAGTTGTCAAGGAACCGCTTATGGTACTATAGAATGTAGCAGTCCACCAGCTGGTCGAACGCGAAGGAAATATTACTTCATTTTTAATTTTAGGGGGGTGCTTTGAAATTACATGCTGAAATAACATATTTGATATACAGATAGATGAAACTTAGCGGTTAAACGTCTACGTATGTACGAAAATTGTAAGGGTTTGGTGGCATGCTTTCAGGCTGTAGGAACCAAATTTGTCTCACACGAGTTACCAACACCCACACAAGCCAATCAGTCGCAGTGTTTTAGAAGCGTAGAACCTTTTCGGTAAAGCTAAAGAAAGAAAGACAGGATACCCGTGCGTGAATCTTTGCGTCTGAAAGGTCTCGAGTTTCCCTTTCCCTACCTTTTTTTTTTCCCTTTTCAGATTTCTTTGAACGTTTCAATTTCTCTCGCATATTTTGCGAGATAGCGGTTGTTTCTTATGTTTTCTTCTCAATTTTCGGGTAGGAAATCGGAGCGCGGGGGCCAAAGCTAATCCCTTCGCGAATGCCCTGCATTTGCTCGCTGTGTTGACTACATTCACGTTCATGCTTTAGCCATTAGCTTCAGCGATTTTTAATCCATTCTTTAGTGTGCATTCGTTGAGTGCAACATATAATATTACTAAATCGTCATCTTAACGGTCTAAATCGGTCTAAATCGTCATCTTAACGGTCTAAATCGGTCTAAATCGTCATCTTAACGGTCTAAATCGGTCTAAATCGTCATCTTAACGGTCTCATGCCAGTTACGCTTCGTAACTTGTTCAGTCTGACAGACCGGCCAGTTTTTGACCGCTCCGGCATTTTTCTTGACGAGTTATATAACTCGTCCAAAAACAGTAGAATTTCAAGAGTTGGGCAATTATCTCAGTTTATTTTTGTGACTCTATAATTTTCTTATGTAAATACAACGAAGCTCTCTCCGTTAGAAATACTAAACAGTCACAACTGGTATTATGTTTCTTGATGCCTTTCATCCAAACAACTGAAAAAGAATGAATGATTTACGTTAATAGATATTTGGATTAATGAGTGAATGAGTGAACGAGTGAATGAGTGAATGAGTGAATGAGTGAATGAGTGAATGAGTGAATGAGTGAATGAGTGAATGAGTGAATGAGTGAATGAGTGAATGAGTGAATGAGTGAATGAGTGAATGAGTGAATGAGTGAATGAGTGAATGAGTGAATGAGTGAATGAGTGAATGAGCGAGTGAATGAGTGAACGAGTGAATGAATGAGTGAATGAGAGTGAATGAGTGAACGAGTGAATGAGTGAACGAGTGAATGAATGTGAACGAATGTGAATGAATGAGTGAACGTGAATGAGTGAATGAGTGAATGAGTGAATGAGTGAATGAGTGAATGAGTGAATGAGTGAATGAGTGAATGAGTGAATGATTGAATGAGTGAATGAGTGAATGAGTGAATGAGTGAATGAGTGAATGAGTGAATGAGTGAATGAGTGAACGAGTGAACGAGTGAACGAGTGAATGAGTGAATGAGTGAATGAGTGAATGAGTGAATGAGTGAATGAATGTCAGACAACTCGCCCCCTGGACAATTAGCCCGAGACGATTAGCCCCCAGTCTCTGGACGATTAGCCCCCAGTCTTTGGACAATTAGCCCCCAGTCCCTGGACGATTAACCCCCAGTCTTAGTTTATGTAAAGGAGAAGTTACGTTCATCTGTTGGTCATTGACTTTTATGAGTTTGTGGCTCCTAAAGGAGCCCTTTTTTTTGTGAATGTCTATCTTTATTAACATTTAAATAAACACCAATTGACATTAACAAGTAGTCGCCAATAAGTTAAAGTTTCGAAGTTTCGTCCCTGGTTTCTTTCCTTTCCTATTTAAACAACATGACGGAGAAACATTCGTAAAGTATGTAAACAGAAAGAACACAGTTCATTTTTGTAGAATATATAAACAGAAAGAACACAGTTCACTTTATAATTCGATACGCACGGCAGAGAAACGTTCATAACAAGCAAACAACAAGACAGCAAGAACGTAGTTTACTTTATAATTTTACACGCATGGCAGAGAAATGTTCGTAAAAAGCAAATAACAAGAACATTGTTTATTTCATAATATATGATAGGGAAACGTTCGTAAAAAGTAAAGGGCAAGAACATAATTTATTTCAAGGTTGGTGGGTTGGGGGCTAATAATCCAGAGACTGGAGGCTAATCGTCCAAATACTGGAGGCTAATCGTCCAGAGACTGTGGGCTAGTCGTCTGGGGCTAATTGTCCAGGGGGCGAGTTGTCCGGATACCGAGTGAATGAGTGAATGAGTGAATGAGTGAATGAGTGAACGAGTGAATGAGTGAACGAGTGAATGAGTGAACGAGTGAATGAGTGAACGAGTTAATGAGTGAACGAGTGAATGAGTGAACGAGTGAACGAGTGAATGAGTGAATGAGTGAATGAGTGAATGAGTGAATGAGTGAATGAATGAGAATGAGTGAATGAGTGAATGAGTGAATGAGTGAGTGAATGAGTGAATGAATGAGTGAATGAGTGAATGAGTGAATGAGTGAGTGAGTGAATGAGTGAGTGAGTGAATGAGTGAGCGAGTGAATGAGTGAATGAGTGAATGAGTGAATGAGTGAATGAATGAATGTGTGACTGAGTGAATGAGTGAATGAGTGAATGAGTGAATGAGTGAATGAGTGAATGAGTGAATGAGTGAATGAAATGAATGAATGAGTGAATGAATGTGAATGAGTGAATGAGTGAATGAGTGAATGAGTGAATGAGTGAATGAGTGAATGAGGAAATGAGTGAATGAGTGAATGAGTGAATGAGTGAATGAGTGAATGAGTGAATGAGTGAATGAGTGAATGAGTGAATGAGTGAATGAGTGAATGAGTGAATGAGTGAATGAGTGAATGAGTGAATGAGTGAATGAGTGAATGAGTGAACGAGTGAATGAGTGAATGAGTGAATGAGTGAATGAGTGAATGAGTGAATGAGTGAATGAGTGAATGAGTGAATGAGTGAACGAGTGAATGAGTGAATGAGTGAATGAGTGAATGAGTGAATGAGTGAATGAGTGAATGAGTGAACGAGTGAACGAGTGAACGAGTGAATGAGTGAATGAGTGAATGAGTGAATGAGTGAATGAATGAGTGAATGAGTGAATGAGTGAATGAGTGAATGAGTGAATGAGTGAATGAGTGAACGAGTGAATGAGTGAATGAGTGAATGAGTGAATGAGTGAATGAGTGAATGAGTGAATGAGTGAATGAGTGAACGAGTGAATGAGTGAATGAGTGAATGAGTGAACGAGTGAATGAGTGAATGAGTGAATGAGTGAATGAGTGAATGAGTGAATGAGTGAATGAGTGAATGAGTGAATGAGTGAATGAGTGAATGAGTGAATGAGTGAATGAGTGAATGAGTGAATGAGTGAATGAGTGAATGAGTGAATGAGTGAATGAGTGAATGAGTGAATGAGTGAATGAGTGAATGAGTGAATGAGTGAATGAGTGAATGAGTGAATGAGTGAATGAGTGAACGAGTGAACGAGTGAATGAGTGAATGAGTGAATGAGTGAATGAGTGAATGAGTGAATGAGTGAATGAGTGAATGAGTGAATGAGTGAATGAGTGAATGAGTGAATGAGTGAATGAGTGAATGAGTGAATGAGTGAACGAGTGAACGAGTGAACGAGTGAATGAGTGAATGAGTGAATGAGTGAATGAGTGAATGAGTGAATGAGTGAATGAGTGAATGAGTGAACGAGTGAATGAGTGAATGAGTGAATGAGTGAACGAGTGAATGAGTGAACGAGTGAATGAGTGAATGAGTGAATGAGTGAATGAGTGAATGAGTGAATGAGTGAATGAGTGAATGAGTGAATGAGTGAATGAGTGAATGAGTGAATGAGTGAATGAGTGAACGAGTGAACGAGTGAACGAGTGAATGAGTGAACGAGTGAACGAGTGAATGAATTTATGAATGAATGGATCAATGAATGGATAGAGGGATGAATCAAAATATTATAAACTAAGCTCAGTATGAATGCAAAAGTCATTAAAAAAAAGAATTATTTTTTCCTCTGTGTGTCTCTATGCAAGCCATGACCTCCGTATTTCCCCTAACACAGAGACAATAAATCTTGGATTTTTTAACATACGTTTGCAAATATACATTTGCCCTTCATCTACTTCCGAATTACTTGTCTTAGAAAGCTAGTAAAAAAGATCATTTCAATAAAGAAAGAGAATCCGAAGGTTTTTTCTAAACTAAATATACAAAATAACGCAAAGGAGTTTCCTTACCTCGGCTTTTTCAAATTTTTTTTCAACGTAACCTCCACGCGATCTAAGAAAGAATAATCTTACAGGGTAACTTTCCAATGATTAATGGCCGACGGGGTGTAGCAGGTGAAGTAGGGAACAATAACGTAACGTTTTGTCATTGGTCAAACTTCCTTCCCAATAACGATTAGTTGCTAATAATCGTTGCTTTTGTTGTTTTCGTCTCTTTCTTTTTTCAGAACAATACTTCCATTATAACAAAACTTACAATAAGCATTAGTTGAAAAATATATCTGTAGAAATTCGATTCCACTGAGTAACTCTTACTCCGCTGGGTGCGATTTAAAGAAATGGGCTCGTATCCATAGGAATACTTGAGGTAATACGGCACATACATTAAAGGTCTCGTTGAAGAATGCACTTACCTCTGAGTTGTTTAAAACCAATTAATTAGTGTAGTTAGAACGATAGCATGATTGAAGCCCTTTGTAATTTAATTTATTTTTATGGAATTTCGCATCCATTTGTCTTTCTTAGCACCTTCACTTCGTTCAAAGGTGAAAAAGAAATTCGCTTACCTTAGTCTGTTGAAAATTAAGTCTTTCCTTTCATTTCTTTTTTAAAAACAATACTACCATCATTACGCAACTAGTTTGTGTTCTCGGGCATAAATATGTTTTGGGCCAGACTCAGAGTCGTTGCAGCCCGAGCCGTGAGGCGAGAGTTAAAATGAGCCTCTAGAAGGGCCCAAAACATATTTATGTCCAAGAATATAAACTCTTTTTATTATTGTTATCATGACTTTGGAAGTCATTGAGGGACTAAGGAATAAGAACTGAAAAAAAAAAAAAAAAAAAAGATTACAAGAAACAATTTAAACAATAACTCAATCGTACGTGCGTCAGCCAGAATCTCCATTTTAGCCCGCCAAAATGCGCCATACTGCGCGACAAAGGGATAATAAGTACCATTGTGATGAAAAATGGCTGGGTCAATGGCATTCCGTTAAGTCTCTCTCGCCTCCTTGGATGCCGTGTGATATTAGAATTTATGAAGAAAATGCACTTGTCTCTGTGAACTACTTAGCGCAGTTGAAGCGATAAAATGATCTGAGCTTGAGATATTTCAATTTTTCCTTTATTCAATAGTGTATTTATTTGTCATTTTCAGCACCTTTGGTTTTTGGGAAAAAAAAGGAAAAGAAAGAGGGAGCACAAAAAAACTCAAATCTTAATTTTTCGTTGAATATTCGAATTTTCACTTATTTTGATATTTGAAAGAAAATCCTCACGAAGGCTGGAGGAACACACTCAGGGGGTAGTAAAACCAAATAATTTCCTTTTTCCTGGTTTCCCTCTCTTTCATTTTCATGGGGAAAATACCGTCGAACCTTTATTTAGCGGTCACTCAAGGGAATTGGTTTAAATACAGGTTCCACAAAAGAGGGGTCAAACACGATAAAAGAAGTGCTCTTTCATTTGCTAAGTGACCACTTAACGGTGCAGTCAATTCCATAACCTGCTCAAAAATGCACTGACTCTTTGTTTGTAAATCAGTAGCATCGACAAAATGGCGGCGCAACGTAAAAAAAATAATAAAGCAGAATTACTGACGCAGTATACAAAGAGTTTAGAAACAGGATCAGTAAGGATCATTGACGGCGATGGAGAATTATCCGTTAAGTTATTATGATTTAACCGCCGGACTTATCAGTGTTAAGTGCTGACTCGGGAATTAAGTCCGTTGTATTATTATTGACTCTATCAGAAATCGTGCAAACTATGAATGTTGTTGATGAAAATTCTCACTGCAATTTGTGGTAATTTTGGATTCGACTTAAGATAATTATCATCACTTGACTTTGAAGCTACCGGCGCCACGTCAATAAACATTGTTAATTAGTGGTCTTAACCCCTTCGACAGGTTGTGGTTGAAAAATTCATTCCCTCCACCGCAAAAACATCCATGAAAATTCCTAAAATAGAATATCTGAACCTTCATTTTGAATCCTTGCCAAAAACCAAATCTCTCCCCTACTGTCTACTTTTTATTTTTTGTTCTAACCCTGGAAGTTTTCCGTTGTTTTCGTGCTGACGTTTTGCTTATCCCCTGATTTTCTTCCTTGATGTAATTACCCTTTTTTCTTGGAGAACATTCTACTCTCTACCAATCAATCAATTAAGTTAAGGTGTCAAAGTGTGGGAATGTTTTTCCAACGTTATTTCGTGTTTATATCTGAAAAGAAAATAGTGCCACAGTGCCTCAGTTGAGTTTGAGTGAGGAGTTAGCAGGTACATACAAAGTTTATATTAAGCCATGGGGTCTGTCGTATCCAGAACAAACCGATACTCAAACTTAAACAAGTTCGCTGAACAAAACATTAATGTCAAAAGCGGGACAGAGAGCAAAGAATTTCAAACACGGCCCAATGCATCAACCTCGGTAAACATCGACGAAAGACACGAAACTTCTGCGAGCAGTAACCCTGATTTTTCTCCTCCAAAGGTGGTCCCGTCATACTCTTGGCTAATCTCATCACCTGTTGATTTGGAAACCGCTGCTCAAGAATTAAGTGAAAGAGCGAAACATTCCGTGCAGTCAAAGAGTGAGAAGAAACACTGTGTAGGATTGTATCACAATGAAAGGTTCCAAACGCCTTGCGAAAACACAGTGGCTGAGCTATCACCCTCGAACATGAAAAAAAAGATACCGAGGAACCAGCCTGGTTCGCCGTCCTGTGCGGCTCGTAAAGCAAACAAACAGGCAACCCATGTAAGCCCGTCGCTGACTCCAGAACTGAGTTGCGGTGCAGATACCTTGCCGCTAAGACGTAGCAGTGTTCCCTTTGGTTTTGGAGCCGAGAGACCAGCGACGTTTTCGGGATCCTCCCACCAAGATTCCGTAAAAAGTAAACAGGGCCTATGCAGAGAAAAAAATCTGCTTAAAACCGAAAGGGGAACAAAACTGTGTCAGGCAAAGTCTGTCTAATAACAATGTTCTTGCTCTCTTAGTTGGTAGTGATGTAATTATGCGTCTTGGTATTGTTATTATTATTTTTTGTCTAATATAAACATAAAATTTTATTTAATAGCAATAAAATCTCCAAGATTCCGTTTAATTCATTGTGATTCATATGGTTTTTATCCCAACCCGGAAGATAACTGAGTCGTTTAATTGTGATCGAATAGCAACAACCGTGAAGAGTAGTTTCGTGCGCCTCACTCTCAGCGTTCCGAAAGACGAGCCAACACCAATTATGTTTTTCACTGAATCATGTTGACGACTACGCCGAAAAGCATAGATTTCTCGTAGTCTAGTCCTAACCTTACCCTTATGTCATTCGTCCACTTATGTTGATCGTGAAAAAATATTCTGCTGTTGGAAAGCCCAAAGCCAGGGGTGGATTCAGCAGTTTACATGAGTGATTTGCATCAACTTAACTAAGGGCAAAACAAGAAGGACAATTGACTTCATGAACTAATAAAGAACCTGAGAAATAATAAATGTAGGTTTGGAAACATTTGAGTGATTTCTGGAAATCACTCGAACTACTCTGGATCCAATCGTGAAAGCAGAGTATCGTATTGTGTAGCGCAATTCAAACATTGCTGCTATCTGCGAAGCGACACTCAGGACAAGTATATACCTGCCTGCGCATACACAACGCAGTTGACAAGAGAAACAACATGGCGCCTGTTGTGAAGTCACCGAATGATCCTCGAGAGTACCGGTAAAATGCCTTTTCTCTACTTGTCTCTTTCTTTTACTCCGTGTTTACGCTCAACTGATAATTTTCTTATATTTAGTGGCTTGATTTGTGTGTCTCGTAAGAAATGCTTCAAAAGCTGTTTTAGCTCACGTGTTGTAGTTCAGAAAATATCCTTCTCGCGTTTGTTTATTTGATTGAAATGAAGAACTTCAATGGTGAAATATTAAGAGACAGTTTTCGGACTTTAACGATTTTTTTTCTTTAGTGGAACTGAATATCTAAATATATGAGATTCAAATTGAGATTGGAAAAGGAATATTCCGTTTATCAGTAAATGCACCTGTACAAGGACATGTCAACAATCTGTTTAAGACCACATGTGATCAATGGTTGGGAGATTGAAGTTTTCATGACCTTTCGAAATATGTGAAATACGCAGTAAGCACCTCATTTTAATCTTCGTTGTTTAACTGTGCTTCATCTCGCTTTATCTTAATCCAACAATTTGATTCAATATTTTGATTTATGAAGGTGACATGACGAAAAATATCAGGCGACATAACTCTAGTTGCGGGCGACATAACCTTAAGCGAGATGACCGTCAGGTGGCTTGACCAGTTACCATTCATGGATGTAAAGAAATTTTCTTTCTTGAAAGGACACATGTCAAGCTAGGTTCATTTTGAATGAAAAAGAAAAAACAAAAAATATATAAGGTGAAATTGTGTGGTTTGATCATCCAGGTGAGTGTAGTCCTGAGAAGGACTGTTGTCAGTAATGGTGATTGACATTTTGACAACCTGAGCAGAAGTCATTATCAGAGTCAAGTGAATAGTTGTTGTCAGTCACCTGACTCTGATAATGAGTTCTGCTTAGATTTTCAACATGTCAGTTACCACAACTGACAACAGTCCTTCTCAGGTGTACACTTACCTGGATGATTAAACTACACTATTACATGTTACTTCCAGGTTCAAACCATTTACCGTAATATATAACAAGATGATCATTGATATAGGTGTTTATATTTTGGCAAAATATACACAATGTATGTCTGGACAAACATGCAATACTTTGATGTTGGCATGCATGTGCCAAGTTTAGGATATTATCCAGTGATGGATATTTTTCTTTGCTTGTGTCATCATTGGGTTTCAGTTAGAAAGGTATGTAGAGTAAATAATGTCATTTTTCCCTGAAAATTGAATCCATACAAGCAAATTGACATCTTGATTTGATTTTATACAATTACAGTGTTATCCATCTTGACAATGGATTGACAGCATTGTTAATATCAGATACAAACTCAGTTACTCGTCGTCAGTATCATGACAGTTCCAAATCAACAACAGATGAAGAAGATACTGAAAGTGAGGATTTGGAAGGGGAGAGTTGTGATGATGATGATGATGATGATGAGGTTCACGAGGATGATGATGGCATTGATGAGGATGAAAATGATGTCACTGATTGTGGCACTAGTGTGGGTTTGGATACAGAGGAAGAAAATGGCAGTGAGAGATCACGAAAAGCAAAGGACACAAAACTAGTGAGTGAATTCTATTTTTATCAGTATATACCACACAAGTGATTTTCACTTGCTGGTTGGCTTATTAAAAAGTGAACTGCCAGTAGTATTCACCTCTGAATAGCTGAAAAGACAGAATAAACTAATTTTTGGTAACTGTGTTGAATATTACTAAAACAACTTTTCATGTCGGTGTCGGTGAAAGTGTTAGATATTTACCTTGCTGCTTTGTGGATTAGTAAATATCCACCACTATACACCTCCACTTTGGTGAATTATTGCAGTTAATTATTAGATATTTTTACAATGTACATTGTGCACTTAACACACCAGCCGGGCAAGTGCATACCTTGTATAGGTGTTGTTCAAAATGATTGAAAACTAGTATGATGTGTATAAAGATTATGGTAATGTACATGTACATTTACTCACAGCAAAGTAGAAAACAAAGAACTCTGTTTCCAGGAATATATCTTAAACCACAACGTGTATACAGGGTACAAAGAAAGTTGATTTTTCAGCTTGCCCTTTGTGTAAATTGGAGCCTTTTTCTTCTAGCCCAAAGGCATCTTCTCACAAGCCTCTCCTCATGTAAAAACAGAATTGTTAAAGCTCAACTGGAAATTAACAGTGACTAACATCTTATTTCTCCTTACAATATCACCCCAGAATCACATGAGAATATAGGTAATAATCACCATCTAAAGAAGCTCCTGATTGTTAAACAAATTCTCCTTGTCTGCACCTTAGGAAATGTGTAGAGAACAGTATAGAGAATATTGATGCCGATGTTATGATGTAAAGGGTTAAACTATCCCTAGGCTATTGGGCAGGACCTTCTTTGCATACTGTTATAACTATCAATCACATACGGCTTTATGTGGTAGATAGATATACATACAGATGATACATATACATACAGCTGTCAATTACAAAATAAAAGAACACTCACAGACGTAGCTAAGTTGAAAAAGCTAGTTAAGAGGACTAATCTCAGAGTCATGGTTTTCTGAGAAATGAGAAGTTTTATCTTAAATAGCAATATTTTATTTCCTCATCTTCTCAGTCTGCTGCAGCTCTTTGCATTGGTGCTGGTAGTTTTTCTGATCCAGATGACATGCCAGGATTGGCCCACTTCCTGGAGCACAGTAAGTGTTCAATGTTTCCTCTGTCAGTAATTGTTAATAGAGTGTGTATAATCATTATCACAATCATCATCTTCATCATCAGCTGCAGTAGCATCAGCTGCTGTAGCATCATCATTCTCATTGTCACTTATTTTAATCCTGAACAAATTTATAGGGGGACCCCCTGTCACAGTGTGTGTAGTGTGACAGGCCATATATGGGCATGTGCACCCTTTGCATCCCTAAATTGTTCTTTCCCTTGAATTCATGGCAAATAAAGTGGATTTCAAGAAAACTCATTCTTGTTTTTACTAGACTCTATTTTATGACACCCCCCATGGGAAGGTATGATCTCCTTTTTTTTGTGGTTTTGTCTTTTTCAATATTGATCAATATTATTTTGTTGTTGTGGTGAGTAAGGTTCTGATCTCTGAGCAACCTTTTGGAGCTCTTCTTTCTTATTCTGTGGATCCAACAATAGTGACTTTGATGACTGTTCTTATACTGTGATACTTTAAATGAAATAAACATTATTCTGATTTTTTTAAAAATTTGCTTTCTTAGTGGTTTTCATGGGTAGTGAAAAATATCCTGATGAAAATGCATTTGATGCTTTCATAAAGAAACATGGAGGATCAGATAATGCTTCAACTGACTGTGAAATGGTATGTCCTGCAAAAACTGTCTGCAACAACACAATAATAGTAATCAGCCTCATTGATAATCTATAATTTTGATGAATCTGAGTTGGTTATTCTCAACTGAGGGAGGAAGTGTTGAATTTCATTAGTGATAATTACATTGTGCAGTAATTAAGAGCAAGTGTTTATATTTATTTGATACAGTATTTATTTCATTAATTCTAATTTCAGACCACCTTTATCTTTGATGTTAGGAGAAAGTACTTCAGAGAAACTTTAGACAGGTCAGCAACTATAAAATTTCACCTTTTTATAGAAATGGTTGTATATATCTTTCCAGTTTGGATATATTATGCTGTTGGCTTTCAACTTACAGTAGTGCATGAGACCATGCATGTATCTTTTAAGAATTAAGGCAAACTTATCAGCTACAGTTTTTCTTTGATAGAGAACCAAATTCTCCAAAACTATAGTCGAAGATCTTGTAAGCAAATTTATAGCAGCTAGAAGACAGAGTGAAAAATCAGATTTCAAATAAAGTAAAATTTGGTAACTTGCTTGAAAAGGTTTATGATCAACCCTTGCAGTAATCGTTGACAACATACAGCTAATTACAGTTGTTTTTCAATAGTTGATCCATTATTGATTAACCCTATCATACAGGGTGCTTTTTTAAGTGCTTTCCCTAAATCTTACATGTTCTCAGATATCTATTAATTTCAAAATTGAATATAACTTATTTTGATTTCAAACTGTTCACAGATTTGCTCAGTTCTTCATTTCTCCTCTCCTTAAAGAAGACAGTGTTGATAGGGAAATACAAGCTGTAGAAAGTGGTAAGATCTTAATCTTTTAAATAGATTAACACTTTCTTTTCTTGGACACAGTATAGTATATCCAGTTATATTTCCACTAATTGAGAGAGTAAAGCCAGGGGGATATTAATATCATTCATTTACCTGTACTGGTTTAGTAAAATTATTTCTCAGTATAGTATACAAATTATGTTTCTGTTCCTTAATTTCACACATACATCAATGTGTTGGATCTTCCTCTTTATGTTCTCAGAATTTAGAATGAGTTATCAGAGTGATTCTGTCAGGAAAATGCAGCTTCTTGCTCAGCTGGCTAACCAGCATCATCCATTTGGAAAATTTCTCTGGGGTGAGTTTGACACCTAAAAATGTTGAAAGCATGAAAAGCTGTCCAAGCTTCCTTATTTAGTTATGGTTTATTCACTTGATTCAACGATTCTTTACAACTCTTCTGTTAAGTCTCCCACTCACAGCTCCTAGCTTATTTGAAAAGAACACACACAAAACATCCCATTGCAGCCATGTGGAACAAGGCCATATATGGACAAAAAAACACATGCTGCATACTTGTTTGTTTGAATATGTAATAGACAAATGAAATCACTTATAAATATAAATAAATTAAGACTAATTAATGTATTGTAGAGTTTCCAACAAAAAGTTTAGGGGTGACATCTAATTCAAAGTGTTTGGAGTAGTTTTCAATTGAGTGTTAAAAAATCAAAACCAGTGTAATTATGGTGACCAGTTTGAAAACAAGGTGGACATTATCAGAACTCAAAGTAGAAACAGGTAAAAATAAAACTGAGGGGGGAGGGGTGGGAGCCGGTAGAGGGGGCGAGTGACCTGTTAATGATAGGCTTTAGTTGAGTATAATTATGATGGGTTGAAAAGGTGGCATGATTTTCCTTGACCTTCAGACAGAAGGAAAGTAAGATCAAAGCAATTACTGATTTTTGTGATGCTCAAATGAATATTTTTCTGGACCCTATGTTTATGATAAAGCTGACAGTATTTTTGTTGTACCACAAAACCTGTGTTACAATTGTTATGTTCATAATTTCATTGTATAGCTCACCAATTTCATCAAAATGCAACTGGCTTTAACTCAAAATTACATTGTAATTGCTATCACAATAGCGGTTTCAGTAAAAAACAATGAGAATGTGTGATTGTTCAGCAGCAGTTTTCATTTTAACCTTTTAAAATCTTTCTTTTTAATATTAGGAAATGAACAAACACTCATGAAAATTCCCAAAGAAAAGGTAAATGAAATCTCTCATGGCAGTCATTGTACCAAGCATCTCATTTGTTCAATGAATATATTTGGGTTGATTTAATGGCAATGGAATAGTTATTTATAGATTTGAATCAACAAAATCAACAATGCAAAGAGGAAAGAGGTAGTGACACTTCAGTTCTGTCATTAATCTAGCTATGGCATAGAAGATTGAAGAATTGTCAGTCTAGAATGGCTAATTCTCTGGTTATTAAGTCTGAAGGGCTGTGATATTTTTATTCAGAACTGGGGAATATTCCCCTATTATTTTGCACGTACTACCCTCCTAAGCACATTTTTGTTGAAAATCTTGATGATACCAAATGTGGAGAGTTTACCGTTGATTGTTGTTTTTCCTGCAAGAGTTTTTCCCTTCTAATATTAAGCAAAATTATAAAAGTGATGTAAATTTCATCTGGAAATGATGGAGAAAAAGTCACTAGACTATTTTTTTTATTGAAAGCTTGTTAATATTATGTTTGCATACTAACATTAACTTTGAACTATCAGAATTTAGATGTGAATGCTTCATTAAGAAATTTTCGGAAGAGAATGTACTCTGCACAATACATGACACTGGCTGTAATTTCTAGAGGTAAGACTGACAGAAGCTTTACTTCAATTAAGTTAACCCTTTAACTCTCAAGATTTCTTTGGTAATTCTCCTTACTGTATGTCTGCCATATAATTCATGTAATGTCAGTTTGGAGAATTTGGAATTGGATCAACCAATAACCCCAAATTGATTTTTCTTTGTTCTCATTACTTGTCCGCTTGATATTGTACTGATAGTGTTAGGAGAAATTCTGTCTTGGTCACTAGTGAGAATTAAAAGGGTTAATAGCTTTGTTGTGCTGTCAAACATTTTGCAATTTTTAACCTGCTTAACCCTTAAACGCTCAGAATATACTGTATCATGCAGCAAACAGGTAATGAAAATATTCTAACTTATCAGGCAGAAGTTGTTATCTCGATCTAATCCCACATTCTCATAATTAATTTACAAGGAAGTGTGTTGCAATTAGAGGTGAGAATTAACAATCAGATCTTGGCACTTGAAAGGATAAGAAATTAACAATATTTGAAACCATAATATTGTTACAGTGATGAGCTGGTTATTTTTCTACCTCTAAGTACTGTATGTGGACTATGCCGAGAATGATTTTATTCTTCTATACAACAACTACATGTACAGGGAATAAATTAGTCTGATCCTTGAGTAGCCTCTACATTTAATTAAACTGTTATTTTTTTCTCAGAATCTCTTGACAGCCTTGAAAAGATGGTTAGGGAATCATTTTCTGAAATCCCCAATAAGTATGTGACTATTATTAGAAAATAGCTATTAATGTTGCAGTGATATAAATATATTTGTTTAATATAGAGTTTGTTAATTTACATGATCATAATATTTTGTATCTACCATTTTGTTTATTATTTTATATATTCATTAACGAGTTGTGTACTAGACACAAATTTTTTTTTTTTTAAACAATCTATTTTCTGTTTGATATTATGACTAGATCTGGCATTTAAAAATTGACATACAATCTTTGGAAAGGAACACTCAATACATGTACACAATTTTTTGGGTGTCAAATTGTTCATTTTGATGTGCACTAAATATTGCTGTTATATAATGTATCCAGTTGTACAATATAATTTCTGTTTGTGATGACTTTTTCATCCAAGTTCAGCATCAAGTTATCCTTGCCTCAGTTGTGCTTTTTCCTGTTTGTTTACAAGTTACCATAAAATAGACTGACTGTGGTAAATTAAAACTAAAAAACGAAACAAAACACACAAGATAGACTGACAATAGTAAATTAATTAACCCTTTAACCCCTAAGAGTGATTGACAACTAATTTCTCCTTACAATATCATCCTTGAATCAAACATTAAGGTCACAAGAAAACAGGAATTGATCACCAACTAAAGAAGCTCTTGATTGTTAAACAAATTCACCTTGACAGCACCTTTTGAAATGTATGGTGAACATTATGGAGAATATGCTTACTGATGTTAGGGTGTAAAGGGTTTTTAAAAAAAAAAACCACACACACACACACAACTATAATTCAAATGGGACTATTGAATTACTACAGGTGTATAAAGCAAGATGCCACTTTCTAAATAGCATATTAATCATAATTTTGTAATTTTGTTTTAAGCTCACTGCCAAAGCCAACATTTCAAGAGTATACAGTAAGTATATGATTTGGTATAGTGCATGATTATAGACAGTGCGACTCATTTTCCATGTTTTGCTTGTTCTCAAACTATTGTAGCATGTTACACGAGGACATATCTTACTGCAGTTTAAAGGAGACTACAATTTTGGTCAGTATGTGTACCTAGCCATGTGAGAGTACCTTCAGCTGACTTGGTGGAGAGAAATATCTTTTAGCTTTAGTAAATCATGCAGTTTTACACTGTGTACTGTAGCATTGTAGCATGATATTTATATATAGTAAGTTACATTCATCTTTCTCATTCATATTTTTTGTTTATTTGATAGACCCCATTTGATGCATCCAAATTTCATAAACTATACAAAGGTAAGGTTTATAAACAAATGTATCACCTGCACTACTTGAGGAGTGGTGTGGCTGAGAGGTTAGGGCACTGGTCTTGTAATCTGTTGGCCACAGGTTCAAGCCCTCCACCTTGCTTCTCACTGGATTTGTTCTCAGTCGTCTAGAAATCAACTCCTGGGCTGCGCTGTGTAAATAGTCAGGTGGCCTGCTTCTTGCTAGTTAGGATTTTCAAGCACCTTATATTTTAATTAATTAGTAATATTTGTTTCTCTTTCTTTCTCATTGCAAAGCACTTAGAGGCTTGCAATTAGCACTATATAAATTATAAATTTATTAATTTATTTATATATTTACTACTGGTAGCCTATTGCTAGCCTATTGCCAAACCAACCATGAGGAAAGGGAAAGAATTTGTAACTAGTAATTTTTGTTCCTCCAAGACACTGGAGAAGAACCTACTTGTCTTACGTGTTAAATATTCAAAGTGAGACAACTCCTCATCAGTCACTATTCTTCTCAATCATCTATAACAACTTGTATTTAGTGTGATTTTATTTATGTTAAGTTTACTTCTTTATGTAAAGATTGCTTTAAATTTTCAATGTATAACTATAAATTTTAAGCCAAAATTTACAATATTTAAGATAGACATCTATTATGATTACTAATGACTGACTTTCACTTTGTAGTGGTTCCAGTCAAGGATGTGCATCAGCTTGAAATCACTTGGGTTCTACCCCCACAACAGAAGTATTACAGGTATGATACAACTTAGAGTGAAAATTTGTGCCAGGAGACTTGGAGAAGGTTGGGGGGGGGGGAATACTGGGAGAGAAGGAGATTACCTTTGATGTACTTTATCTCATCCTAGAGGAGTGATAATACATACTGTACTACTGTACTTGACAATGTGCTTCTGTAATATAATAAATGGAGGAAATCATCTTGCTTGAAATCTTAAAAAACAACAGCACAAATTTTGATTACAATTATTTGATTTACCAGTAGTTGCCAATATTACGTGACTGAGCAGGATCTTTGAACTGGAACCATTTAATAGTAGTTTAAAATTCTTGTGTGCTTACTTTGCTGTAGAATCAAGCCCATTCATTATATCTCGTGGTTAATGGGACATGAGGGGCCTGGTAGCATTTTATCACTGCTGATAAAAAAGTGAGAGAACTAACTGTAACTGTGTAATTTTTTGTTCCAATTACATGCTTAGATGTGAATCATTTGAATTTATTTTTCACTATGAATGAACTATGAATTAGTTCTGAAAATCAGACACAGTAGGTAATGAGTTTTATTGTGTTTGGAAATGTTATTGACACTGTCTCAAGAGTATGACATATTCTTTAATTTATCAAACCTTTAATGATATGGTTCATGCACAAATACTATAAGCAATTTCAGATTATAACATAGGTAATAAATTTGTCTAATCAAATTCAATTGTGCAGGCATGCTTCATATTCCTATTGTGCATGCTCATGACGTCAGCAAACAAATCCCTCGGGAAAAAATATTTTCCATCAGGTTGAAAATGTTATAAAACAATTGGTTCATACATCATCAGTGCATTCATTGACATATGAAGCACTCGGGAAGTTTGGAGAGCACTCAAGAAGCTAGAGTTGCTCCTGGCTATGCCTCGAGCAACTCTTACGCATCTTTTGTGCTCTCCAAACTTCCCACGTGCTTCATATCTCAATGAACGCATGCTGAAGTGTGAACCAATTGTTAATTACTAGACTTCAATGTAAGCTATTTCCTTTTAATTCTGATCTAGTTAAACTTTATAATTTAATTCATTTTTTTTTCCTTAGATCTTGGGCTTCTAGTTTACTGTGTGGTAATGGAGAGTCTGGTCAAGAATATAACACTAGTTTTGCATTATTCCCATGTTTGATTAGTCTAACAGTGAGTATTCCAAGATGTACCCCACTCATGCCTGATAAAAAATAATAATATGATTTTTTTCCAAACATAGTACAGAACTGTTGATTGCAATCTAATTGATTGTGTTTGATAATTTCAGGATGAGGGAATGGAGCATATTTATGAGGTAATGTTGTTCTGCCATGTAAAAAGACAAATGTCACCCATAATTTAAAAAAAAGAGGTAATTCCAAGGTCTCTACATGTACTCATGAACACTATGCTACCAAATTAAAGTGCACCAACCCTTTGACTCCATGAAAGTGGCTACAATAGCATCTAATTTCTCCTTACAATATCACCCATGAATCACACATTACAATCATGAGAAGAAAGGAAATGATCACCTACTAAGGAAACTCTTGATTTAAAAAAGAATCTCCTTTTCAGCACCTTAGGATGTGTATAGAGAACAGTATGGAGAATATACTTACTGATGTTAGAGTGTAAAGTGTTAATACAGCTGTATATGCATAAATTATTGTAGTCTCGTTCCTGTTTTATTTCACAGCCTGTACATACATGTGAGTAGTTGATAATTCAGCACAGCATGAAATTCAATGAAGTTTGTTTTCTTCTAGATTTTGACAATTGTGTTTCAATATGTGGATATGTTGAGAAAAAAGGGTCCACAGGAAAGGTTTGTATGATCAAACATAATTATGCATCACTTAATCGCAGGTCATTAATGATATTCCTTTATTACAAAATCTCCCTACATGTGTCTGTTGTCATAAAATCTAATAGATTATTTTAATTTCCTGGAAATCTATTTGAGACTATCCTTTTGGTACATGATTTTGCATTCATGTGGCTTCATTATGTATGTTAACTTTAATCCATTTAATTCTCCCCGTAGGATATATAAGGAGCTTCAGACAATTGAAAATAATGAGTTCAGATTTCAAGAACAGGTATAGTATATATTAAGAGTTGGGTGGCTATCAGCATAAGGCCACTGCATTTCTCATTCAGTAGTTTTAAGTAGGTTATTAGCTGACATTTTTGCAATCAACAATTTTCTAGTGTGAGCCATATGACTATGTTGAAGATCTTGTAGAGAACATGCAGGTTAGAAATCATTCCTGTACTATAATGGAACTCCAAGTTTTTTTTACATAAAAAACAATGTTTGTCACAAGAATTGCTTCCAGATGTGAGTCGAATGTATGTTTCTTATGACTATATGTATATGTTTTACAGTTGTTTCCAGAAGAAGATTATTTAACAGGAGATCAACTGATGTGGGAGTTCAATGAAGAGGTAAAATGCACCACACATTCTTTATTTTGTGATGAAACAATAAGTGTAAAATGTTTTAATGCATTTGACTGGCCTATGAGGCATACCTAAGTTTCATTGATGCCTGCAGACTCAACCTAGATATTAATTTTAATTCTTGTTGCTGCTCTATTTTATTCCTGAAGGTTATTCAGGATGTCCAAGACAGGCTTACACCTGAAAAAGCCAATATACTGCTCCTATCAAAGAGGTTCCAAGATGAGTGCACAGATTATGAGCCTTGGTTCCAGACTCCCTATAACTGTTCTGGTTTGTGAAAATTACCCTTTTGGACAAAATGTTTACTTTATCCTGAGAAAACCATTGGTGTTCCAGTGATTATAACATTTTTGTTGTTAGATTTGGTGATGGTGCAAATGAGTTGTTGATAATTATGGTTGTCAGCTGGATCTTCATTTGACATCATATCTCTTACATTCCAGATATTGATCCGGAGTGGGTTGAAAGCTGGAAAAGTTAGTGCATAGTCTCATCACAGTTATCAAATTGTTTGTTAGCTTTTTTCTCGTCATGCAAATGTGGTTAAACTTGAAACTCCCAAGATCTAGTTGTTAATGCTCCCCTCTTGCTGCTACAGGTTTCGTTGTATGTGATTTATGAGAATTTGGTGTAAGATCAAGATAACAACTCCTACCCAATAAGTTTGAGTATTCTCATTACCTGTTTGCAGAGTTATGCTTGGATTTTTTAGGGAGAAGTTACATTTAATCAATTCTGGGAGTTAAGGGTTAATGTGTTGCTTATTGCTATGAGAATATTGAATAATGGGAGAAAAATTTCTTTACTTGCATATTTGTATATCATCTGCTGGTCAAAATAATATTTATTTCATTTAATTGTGTCATTGTTTATGATGCATATCACTTCAATTCAATGTCTGTTTTTAGATCTTGAATTAAACCCAGAGCTTCATTTCCCAGAAGAGAATAAATTCATTGGTGAGTATATATGTTATTTAAACCAAGAAGGTTTTGCAATGGTTGCATGGAACTAGATAGTGTGTAAATGATTGCTCTCAAGTTTCTAAGTTACATTACCTTGAGATATCTAAGGTCTAAAGTAGGTATAAAAGTATAAAGTATTTCCCCTGAGTATGTGCAACCTGTTTTTATGGGAACTGTTTTAAAATGATGAGGCTGTAAAGTGATAACCTTGAGTATACAGTGTGTTACCTTGGGAACTCCAAGGTCTAACTCCTAGGGCAAGAGAGATAGCACCCCGGCCTTAGTACAATTCTACCACTGAAAAGGTTTTACTACAGTAAGAGGGTATATGATTGCTTTTATACTGGGAGAGTATACAATATGTTACCTTGGGATGTCTATGGCGTAGTCAGTAGGGTAAACAAAATAACATCAATGAGTATCTGTATCTTGGATGCTTCTTTATGGCTCTCAGAAGGAATGAATTCTATTATACCTTCCCATACTTTCCTCTCACCGTCAGTGTTTCGAATCCAGCCCTTGTAACAAAGAAAAATTGGTTCTTGATCGCTGTTTACAATTGATTAATGGAACACTCAATGTTTTTTGTTTTTTTTTCCAACAGCGACTGATTTTGAAATCAAAGATCTTGATAGGGCACCAAGCGAGGTAACCCTAATGAATTATAAACTTACTGTAACGGAAAATTATTGCATCTCTCGTCACTCTACCAAAATGCTGGCAAGGGTTAAACTTTCTTCGACAGAAGATGGTCCATAAGTCTGTACCAATTCAGAATCTCGGTAACCCTGAAACGAAATTCTTCTTATTTCACGCCCGTACTTCTATCTTCCTTGTAGTTCCCTGAACTGGTTCATGATTGCCATCTCGGAAAAGTCTGGCACTCAAAGGATACGAAATTCAAAACACCTCGAGGTGAGTAAATACATCTTTTTCACTTTCAACTTTATTATAGACACGCGTCCATTCCCTTTCCCTAACGGTTTTCCATGCGTCAGCGCTCGACTCTGCGACTGCTCTGGTAGTCATGGCAAGAAAAAAAAAACAAATTGGCGACGAAATTTATTGTGAAACTCGTGATAAAGTTTTCATTCTTTCGTCTTCTTGTTTCCAGCCAGGTTTTATTTCCATCTCATGTCGCCGCTAGTAAATGCCAGCCCTGAGAGGTGAGATGTAAGAGGTTGGCGTTTTTATCGAGTAAAACATAAACTGACACAGAGTCCAGTCGGTTGACTATAGCTAATGTTTGTTTTTTACCCTTTCTGTATTTATTAGTCCGTCACAACAAAAGCTATTCGCAATTTAGTCAACGCGATTTATAAATACATTACATCACCTTGGCTTCACGAGAAAAACAAGAAAGACTGACGATCAACTTGAGTGAATATCATACAGCTTACTACAGTAGCACACACAAATGAAGACTGTTCAGCACCACATCTCTATAAGCTGTTTAGTTGGCCATATGCGTCCATCCAAACCTATGTGCGGTGTTCTTGACTGCTTGTTCGTTTGTTTTGTTGCTCACTTATTCCAGATGTTGTTGTCAAAACGATAAGGAAGGTAACCTTGCTTGTTTCTTTTACGTAAAGTACAAAAAGGAGCGCAGATTTTGAGGGTATTTCTGGGAAACCCTTTTCCTTCGGTTTTTTTTTTCTTTTCAATAAAACCGCACTAACTATAAGTCACGTTAAAACTAGTAAATAGAAGAACTGTTGGTTCAACTCTTATTTTACTGCTTTATAGCATGGTTCTTTCTGACGTTTTCTTGAGTGTGCTGGAATACAACTTGAAAGAAATCGCTTACGCTGCCGATGTAGCCCAGTTAGGGTAAGCACCTGTTGTGACCTGATTGATATTTAATTTCCCCCAATATACGAACTACCCTAGCTACACAAGACCAGAAAACCGTAAAATAGCGACCACACCTTAATAACCCTACACCTCGTCAGAAAAAAGGCCGCTAATTAGTGATCATATAAAAGGACCTCTTGTTGCAGTGTTTAGATCACCCCTGATGAAGGCACTAGACAGGAGTGTCGAAACGTTGGGTCTATGAATTGTAACTTCTTCGGTTACATTCATTGAATCTGCAAACCAGAGTAGCATCAAACTATACCTGGTCAAGTGTTTGGATTGTTTGTTCGTTAAATGCAAGGAATGGTACTTGACTTAAACTGTGAGATTATGATAGAGCGCTTTTCGATTGAGTGTCGTAAAAGCGAAATCAGAGTAATCACAACTATCAATCACATGAAAGGAAAATTCTTTTAAAAATTCGGGCAATGAGGACTCACAGTAAAGACGACTGAACTGCCTAAAGCGCGGGAAAACGCGGGTGACCAAGTCGTGCTTGGATGTAGTTTTGCATCTGATTGGTTGAGAAAGTGGCACGAGGTTTCTGCGCCAATCACAGAGCAAAGTAAAGCAAAAACAGAGCAATCCAAGATTACTTTCGAAATTGTTGTAGTAGGAGAGCGCTTGTTTGTGAAGATGGTTGGTAATCTTCCTTGGTAATTAAACGTCATTTCACAAATTGCGTCGTCAGTTCTTTACTTTTATATTATAAATTCTTGAAACTGTGTTTTTTCCTAGTTACTCCATGACAGTCAATGAAACAGGGATTGTTCTGAAACTAGAAGGATTCAGTCACAAGTTACCAGTAAGTTTTGAATCGCTGTTGGTAGTGTCACCACTAACCTTAACCAATCACTTACACTCCGGTTTTCCTGTGCGTCTATTTTACAGTTCTTCTTGATGGCTATCTTGAAAGAACTGCATCAAGGCTTGTTTCTTGAAAAGTTTACCATAAATCTTTCACGTTCGTGATGTGCAATCCGGGTTAACCTTTTAACTCTTAGAAGTGATTAACATGTGACTTCTGCCTATATTTTTCTTATACTATCCAGCAAACAGGATAGAGGAATACTCAAAGTTATCAAATGGAGTCTGTAATCTTGATCTAACTCTAAATTCTCATAGGAAATGCAAAGAGAACAGTATGGAGAATATGCATACTGATGAAGGGCGTAGAGGGTTAATATCAGTTTCTAAAGAATCAGTCAATAACACTTCTAACTGTCTTTCTTTTGTTTCTCCCCAGCTGTTGTTCGAAACAATAATTGATCGCATAGCAGATTTTTCTGTCAGCATTCAGACGTTTGAAATGGTAAAGGTAAGAACTTCGTTAGTAATAGCCACTTAGTGACGTCTCGTCTAGAAAACCGAACCAGAACATCAACTTTTAGCAGTAGGTGTTGGGCTTTTTCCACTCAATGATGCTAAGTTTTTCCCCATTATGACTTTACAACTGAGTGACTACTTATTACTGGAAGTCTTAGTAACTTTAGTAATGATTAACAATTTGGTAAGGTTATTTTCTATTTGCGTTCACTGAAAGTGTTTTTTTCCGCAACCAATCCTGTGTAGAGCTGAAGAAAATGGTAGCAGAAAAGAAAAGAAAAACATTCGACCTTTTTACAGTATTCAAAGTTGAAATGAAAATTTGCACCTTCAAATATTGTTTAACAGCTAGTCATTAGTGCCTTTAACCATTGTGTCCTTCCGGTAAAGGCTTTTTAGAGTAAAGATGAACATTTTTCTCGAGATTACGAGATCGATGGCTGTTGTCTAAAGTTCATTAACAAAATCGGTGTTAACAGGAAGAGATAAGGTGTTCTTTTTTTATTGACAGCGAAAGCTGATGAGATCCTATCGCAACAGTATCATCAAACCACAGAAGCTCGTCAGGTACATAGTGACCATTTAATACTTCACTGACCGAGGGGAGCTTGGCTTAGGCTCTGTGTGGTTCTGTCTATATAGTCATTCAAAATCGTCTGGAGGAGGGGGGGGGGGGAATTTGGAGGATTTTGTTTGCGTCACAGAAAAATTTACCTGATCCCCTTAATGCTCTGTAGTATTCAAATATTTTCCCCCTCCCCCCATTGGTAGTCAATTTCCCATAGCCCCCCCTTCCCCTTTATACTCTGTATGCGACGACTGATCCCCCTTTGTTCCCCCCGAAACCATGTGATTCCCCCAAGAATCGTCCGACCCTTCCCCCTCCGCCCCTTAGGTGATGAATAATGACTGCTCCCTAAGTAATGTTGTACTACTGGATATTTGAAAAGACAATCATAGACAAAAGTGAAAAGCATTTGTTACAACCAATCATTGTTTGATAGGTCAGTCCGCTTGTCAATCTTACAGCACGTTAAGTGGACAACTGTAGACAAACGGAGGGTCGTCCCAAATGTTACGATAGAAAAACTTCAGGTATGTGTTCATATGAAGATTTGACTTCTCTCTAAAGATGTCATTGACTATGGCTGAAGGTAATTACATTCTGTTGGAGGGGGTTTGTGTTGCTGTCTTTGGGAGAACTTGATTGCTGACTCTTTATCGTTTTTTGTTTTGTTTTGTTTTTTGCAGCACTTTGTATCCTGTTTCAATTCCGAGTTGTTCGTGGAGAGCCTAATTCAAGGAAACATAACCTCACAGGTATGCAAACACAGATTTCATTATTACTTGGGTGATTAAACTAATCGGTTCACTTTCTTATAGAGTGTTACAGTAAAGATAAGTTTACTCTTTCTTGTAGGAAGCCATCTCTTTACAAGAACAGCTTTATAGGTACGTAACTATGCAGTTTACAGATTTTTCTCTTCTCCAAACTGATACTAATTTTTTGCAAATTTAAAGTGGCTCTGAGCTTCTAGTACTCAATTCAAACTCCACATTTACTTGTGTTGTGATAATTTGGTGCAGTTTATATGTAGGGGGATAAAATTCACGGCACGAATGAGTCAAGCTATAATGCAATTGGACACTAGTGACCGTTCTTGGATTTTGGACCTAAGTGGCCGATTTTGGATTTTGGACCCTAGTGGCAGTTTTTGGGTTTAGCATCCTAGTGGCCGTTTTTGGATTTTGGACCCTAGTGGCCGTTTTTGGGTTTTGGACCCTAGTAGCCGCTTTTGGATTTTGGACCCTAGTGGAAGTTTTTGGGTTTTGGACCCTAGTGGCCGATTTTTGATTTTGTACCCTAGTGGCAGTTCTTGGGTTTAGCATCCTAGTGCCAGTTTTTTTATTTTGGACCCTAGTGACCGTTTTTGGGTTTTGGACCCTAGTAGCCGATTTTGGATTTTGGACACTAGTGGCCACCAGACCACAACACTGGGATCTACGTTCCCTACTCATTGCTAGAAGTGCATGGGTTCTTCAATGTCCCCTGTTAACCAGTACAGACAGTCATAGCGAAGGCAGCACATTCTCGTTAGTTATTTTAAGACCCGAAGTGTTGGTCTGGTCTAGAGCATGAACTCTCGACCTTCCGCACGGCAGTATGACGCTTTACAACATGAACTGATCAGGCAGCGGTTGTGTAGGATATTTGGGATGCTGAAGGTTTTCTGTTTTGCGTGTGTATACAAATCTTCTGCAACACTACCTTCGGCTATCGTCATCATACAACCACTACTTCTTTTCAATGCTATGAAGATTGTGCTTTATCGGTAGACACATGCAGTCTTAGAATGCTTCTTTCTATTACCTTATCCGTGATGTTGTTTCTATTTACAGTAAACTGCAGTTTATGCCATTAATGAAAAGTCTTCACCCCGAGGTAAGAAAACGTTCGAATGAACTGTGAATCTATGAATTGAAAGGAAAACTCGCGCCAACCCCTCAACCAATCAGATGCAAAACGTAACTACAATCGTGACCTTTGTACTCACGTTTTCCCACTTTTCGGGCAGTTTATATGTTGCTTTGAATTCTTAGTAGCCCCTTGGGTGACTTTGTGTACAACACTCATTTGAAATGCGCCATAAAGAATCGTTAGTATAGTAAGTTTTAGCAGTAAATATGTTATTGGTGTAGTCTGATGAAGTACGTTGATCCTTTAAGGACTGTTGTCAGTAGTAGCGACTGATGTTTTGACAACCTGAGCGGAAGTCATTATCAGATGACTCAGGTTGTCGAAAAGTTAGTCACTACTACCGACAACATTCCTTTCAGGCTGAGATTAACGCACTTTCACCCAGACGATGAGAGTACGCGATCACTGTTACTCCAAGGTTCAAACTGTTCATGTTGTTATCTGTTTATTAGATCCGAGTTATGCAGTTACCTGAAGGTGAATGCATCTGCCGTGTGATAGGATTTAACAAAGAAGATGACAACACAGTTGTTACAAACTACTATCAGGTAAAAGCGAAATAAATCGTCAAGTCTTTTGCAAGTCTCTCTTTGTCTTACTGTGTAGTTGAGTAACACGGTCTTGTGCGTCGACCAATATATTATTTTAACGCCAAAGGAACATCTTTTAATGTTTTCTCTTCCTATTCAAACGTAGAAATAGCAGTGTAGTGAGGTTTCGATGACTTCGCGATCAGAACGTGGAGAATATCTGTATTTTGATGTAAAACGATGCGACGTTTTTCTCGTCCTGCTCAAACGTTTTACACTTACTTATCAATTTTATAATTCCTCTTCAGTCTGGTCCCGCAACTGTTGAAGAATTTACCATAATGAACCTTTTGCTGGTATGGATGGACCGTGCTACATTTGTTCGTTTGTTTACTTTAATTAAGAACGGATTAACTTGTCTACACGAGAATCAGTTTTATGAGAATCATGAATTACTATTTGGTATGTTAAAACATGTAGTCTTTTGTCTTGAATTTATGTATAAATTCTTCTTCTGTTAAGTTGATTATTTTCATTTTAGATGCAAATGGAGGAGCCATGCTTCGATATACTTCGCACCCAAGAACAACTTGGGTAAGATTTGTTTGCTTGTTAGTGTGGTTATCATGACTTTTTAGCTTGAAGCGAGTATCAAGACTCCCTTGGAGATGAATACCAGTCAAGTGCAGATCAACTTCTCTCTTCCTCCTTCCCGCTCAGCATTTCGTCAAGTTCCCTGTCAGTTCACGAGAACCTAATTCTTCTCTTGAGTGAAGAAAAGTATTTTATGGGTTGAGTGCCTCCTCCCCGCCTAGCATTTCGTCAAGTTCCCTGTCAGTTCACCAGACCCTAATTCTTTTCTTGAGTGAAGAAAGGCATTTTGTGGGTTGAGTGCCATATCCAGGACTAATGACCCGGCCAAGGCCCGAACCCAAATGGGTAAATCTGCCTCCTCTCCCCCCTCTCCCTCCTCTCCCCCCTCCCGCAAACCTTTAGGCCCCCACGTCCCTCCCTTAGTTTTGGATGATAGAGTTGGCTTCTAACAAGCAAATATTTTAGTTTTTTTTCTTTATATCACTGCTAAGTCTATTTGTTCGTTTCTCGCCAGGTACTCTGTGTTCTGTTCTTGTAGAAACACATTCGGAGTTCTCGGATTTTCAGTCACCATCCAAACACAAGCTGGAAAATTCAGGTATTTGTTTTTATTTTCGTCGTGTTCCTGCATTCATACGGTTGAATCTAAAACGATAGTGCAGAGAGTGCGGTTAGAGGGAGAGATATTTAAACTAGAAATCCTCCACAAGTGATCAGGTAAACAAGATAGATTGGTCTCTTCCAGATTCTACTCTGCACGGAAATCTTTGACTTTGTCAGTTATTTGATTCTTTCAACGTTGTTACCTTTCTCTATTTTAACTTTACTTCGTGGTTGGTTTTTCAGTGCAGAACATGTCGATAGTAGAATTGATGCATTTCTAGATGAGTTTGGTGAAATTTTGTGTTCTCTAACAGACAAAGACTTCAAGAGCCAGGTATGTATATTTTTCTTTTTGCTGTTTTGAAGCGTCTTTTCAGTAAGACATAATGTTTAAAAGAGTTGCGCACTTTATTTCACTTTTACTTTACTTTTTGAATCCGACTGGACAAAAACGCAGCATCTTCATTCTACTCGGCTGTAAGTTCGTGAAAAATCGTCCACGTCGCTCCCTATTTGAATGTGATTGGACAAAATCTAAGCATCGTAATTCTCTTTTTCTTTGCGGGAAACTCAATATCACTTTGTCGTAAAATCGCGTTACTTTGTTTTGGTTGTCAGGTGGATTCACTTATCGAACTGAAGGAACACGAGGATCTTAGTCTGGCAGATGAAGCTGACAGAAACTGGGTGGAAGTCATAGATCAGACGTACATCTTTAATAGGAAACGACGTGAAGTAAGTAAAATACAATCGTCTTCGGCGATATTTTCTTTATTCTTTTAGATGAAAGAATGAAGTGTCACTCTTCATTTTTTACTAGGTTGAAATTTTAAAGAATCTTTCCAAAGAAGAACTTTATCATTGGTTCTCATCACACAGAAAAAATGGTAATAAATACAAGAAGCTAAGCGTTCAGGTAAATATTATTTAGCTTTTACGCAATGATTAGGTATTTCTTCCGCACTAGTCATTCATTTAGCTATGAGAAAAAAGGATAATGTTGCATTCAGCCTTTTGTTTCTGAGCACCCCGTCATGACACTTTTACCCGGCTAGTTGTACAGGCTCGGTTACTAAGATTTGATTTTTCAAATTTCCCATAGATCATTGGGTCAGGTCAGTGCGAGGCGCACACATGCTCAGATAGCCATGTAGACGCGGATAGCGGCCTGGGTAACGATGAAGATTGGCAAATACGGCCACTGACGGTGGACACCTCCGGCACTGCAGTCTTCTGTGTTAAAAACATTTCAGATTTCAAAAGGACGAGAGCTGTTTACCCTGTCGTGAAAATTGAGTGAAGAAAACAGGGCCGTGGGAATGGGCAACAGGATAGGAAAAAATAGTGGAAATCTCGCTGAGATGAATTAAGATAATCAAGCAGGAAAAAAGGGTCCAAAAAATTTTTTTTCTGCGACCATACAACTGAGTCGGGCTGAACATGGTCACGCTATTGTCTGCTGTCGAGAGAATGCGTGATTTTAGTTAGGACTCTTTACAGCCTTCTTTGCGCGATGGCGTAGGGCATCACTAGCAAACATTAAGCAACACCCACAAGGAAGAATAGAATAACTATCGTCAGTTATTTAAACAGTTTTAAAACGAGTGTAGTAAACTCCCGGAATTTACATAAATATACTTAACCCCTTACTTCCCAGTGAGTGACCAAGAAAGAATTTCTCCTTACAAAATCAATACAATATCATGCTTAGAAGTGACGAAAATAAAGTAAAATATCAAATAGGGGATTTTCAGTTGATCCAATATCAAATTCTCCAAATTGACATTATAAGAATTGTTTGTTAGACAGTACGGAGAATTACTAATGAGATCTTGGTAGTTCAAATTCGTATTATCTTTACCCTGCAAAAAGAACAACTTTATTGAAAGATAAATGCAAAGTAAGTTGAAACGACTTAATGCATTTATCTATTGACCTAAGCGACGGAAAATCTGTCTTTAAGTCAGAGTTTTCATTTCAGTGTGAAAACTGAGACAAGAAACATCTGCTGTGAAAGTTAAAAAAAAAATCCTCAGTAAAACCAGGAGAGAATTTACAATTTAAGGATTGGGTATGCTTTTGATTACGAAGTCCCTTTGTACTTAACAAACGTGACGTTAGACCTTAGGCTCTAAAACCAGTTGTCTCACCTTAATAACAATTGTACATCTGTTTCTTAACAACCTTACTTGACGCAAAACAATTTGCACACAAATTGTCTTTCAACCTGGTACTGAATGCATAGTTCGTGTTGTTTCCCTGGGCATATTAAGTCATTGTCACTCTAGTTCCGGCTAAAAGTATTATTACTCAAAATCAATTAAGAACAAAAAACGTGCAAATGATCTTATTTGCGCGATTTCGTTAAGGCTTAAGTTTCTTTACGGGGAAACGAAGCTGGCCCACGGGGCTAGACATCAACCGATTTTTGAGAGAACGTGCTTTTCCTACCCAAAGTAAATGTCTCTAATTCCTCTCCAGAAGGTTGGTATGTCGGCCTTCTTTGCGAACTGACTTGCTCGCCACCTTTTCGAAAATCGTAACAAATAGCTAGCGGCCGTAACAAGCACTTTACAAATCCACTTCGTAAATGTTTGGTGAGCGCGCCGTATATCACTGCGTTTAGGCAACTTTGTAAAATGGCTAAGACATCTGAAAATTTGAAAATTATTTCGGCTATTTCTTTCTCGCTGTTTCCACCAAAATCCAACAAAATCCAAGCGATATGCACCGGTAACATACAAAATGTAAACAAAACTACAATTGTTGCTAAGATTTTTATGATTTTTACATTTTCCTCTCTGCTTCCTTGATCCGAAACTTCTCCTCTTCTTGTAATCGAAGCACGCCGAACCTTGGTTCGTGTCAAATCGATACCAATTCGTACGTAGGCGACGGCTATGGTCAGTAATGGCAAGAGATATTGCAAAATGAAAAGCGCTACGGTGTAACCTCGTTTAAAATTTAAACTAGGCCAGTCCTCGTAACATGTGCTGCCCTTCAGATCCTCTTGAAATTTTGAAGTGATTATCAGAGGTATGGCAATCACGAAGGAGACGAGCCATATTGACGAAATCCACAAAAGAACCTGTTTTCCGCTGGGCGGAAGTTCAAAGGGATGAAGTAGAACGTTACAACGGTAACAGGCCATGGAAGTGATGGTCAAAATACTGGAAGAGAACGAAACAGTCACCATGGGCCATACAAACTTACAATAAAACGGAGATGTAACAGAACCGACAAGCTGTACGTAAATCAGTGCTGGCAAACAGAACAGGATGAGACACAGGTCAGATACGCTGAGATTAAGGACAAATATATCATTCATGCGTTTCCTGGTTTTTCGAGTGACGATGATCACCACGACTAGAAGATTCCCCGCAAGACCGATGAAGAACGTTGCGAAGTACAGAACGAGTGTTACACTTGGTTGAGTGATGCTTCCTGTGTTGTTGGTCGATGCGTTGTTCATATTGTGAACAAATTTGTGCGTGGGGCGATAAAAAGGTTACAGTAACACAAAAATCTTGGTTACACCGCCACAAACACAGTCGTCTTTTTTCCCTTCTGTAAGAAACTCCCTCCTTTCGATCGTTCACAAGGGTTCAAGCCCTTATGGACGTTTCATCCTTGCCTCTAAACTCTTTTGCTGAACACAATCAAATCGAATTGATCGATGAATGACAGGTTATAAGTGAAAATCGACATCAATTTTAGCGCGTTTGAATAATAATAATTTGACACTTTCAAATGGCTCCAGAATTTCCAATCACTGAGAACTAGATCAAAGCACAATCCTATCTTCTTTAGTTTCGTAAGCTGAGTTAACATGGCCTTGCGAACGTGATGTTGATGACAACTATAAAAATAGTTCTAATGAGAAACTAAAATAAATTACCCCTATCGATCATGTTGATTACTATTTACACCCAAGCTTATTCGCAAAAGAAGCCCCCTAATACAAAAAAACCCTAACCAATATTTAGTCAAGGTAGCGCTGTTATTTTATTTAATTTACTGTATAACCAACGCCAAAACGTTTGATGACCAGCTTTCGATGTACATACGGTGATTAGTTTACCGCAGCTCTTCACTGCGGAAAGCAGAAAGCATTGAAAATGCTCTTATCTCAAGCTGTTAATTAAAATTTATCCCGACCAGTCGGGTTGCACGTTAGAATATTGTAATGTAGAGTTTTTTTTTTTTAATGCTATTCATGTTGATAAAAATTAACATTTTCTTTGCCAGGTGAAATCAGCAATATTGATTTCATTTTCTTCGGAAACCCTTTCTGAAGCGCGTAGGCAAATTTAATATAATGGAACAAAAACAAAGATTAACGATATAGTTATTAAATGTACAGTCTGACCGAAGAAAGATGCTTCCGCTTAAAGAACTGACCGTCAATAAATGAATAAAAGCGTATCTATTGACTTTAAACCCATTCACTTCTTGAGAAAAATAAAGAAATCATCGGGGCACACAATACACTTTAAGGTTACAGGTCTTAGCCGGAGATAATACGGTAACTATATGATTTAACAAGCCTTCCATATCTGGAGGCCTTTTCGGCTTTGTCGGATAAAACTTGGCGCAGGCTAATCACTGTTTCGGCAATTAAATAGAACGCTCATGGACTGTTTGTTGATAACCTTGTTAAGTTAAATTACAATTCCTTAATGTCCTTCCTTTCGAGTTTTAATATGGCCATCATCTTGGCAATATTTCGTCTCAAGTGAAATTTGTTTTGACATGTTTAAGCATATGTTTTACAGTTGCTTTTGGGGCTGGTTTCTTGAACACCAAAGGTTTCTCAGTCGCATTTTTGAGGAGAACTAATCTCAGGTCACAAGACTAAACATTGACGTGATCGGCTCAGCGTCCTGCTCTAATGTCAAAACGCGACAATGAAAGCAAGTTTAATCAGAAAGTGATTAAGGAGATTAAAGATTAATAACATCTAAATTACCATTTGCACTTCATTGCGTTCTTTGTGAAAGAAAATGATTCTTTTGCGAGACATGTTTAAGACCTTTCTTCGCAGCAATTAAGGCAGCTTATCTCATAAAACAGGCACTCCTTCGAAATTATTCCATCGGAAGTGTTTTGAGCAGCAATGAATTTCTAACAAATGCCTTGTGGGTTGATACACGTAAGAATTCCGGGCATTTAGGATGGAGTTTCACAAACGATTAATCCCCAGCACCGGCCCCTTTGAAAGGCAATTAAAAAATATTTAGATTATCATGATCGAATAAACAGGCAACCCAATGTTATATTTAGTCGTATGGGAAAACTCTATAGGAAATAGAAATCTTGTAATCGTTAACTGACTTTTGAAATCTTGGTTATTTTTAAACAGTGATAGGGAAATTGCATTGTCTTTTCATTTGCCATCTTTATGATGCAGCATCCAATTGAAGTCAGTCTGAGGGGAAATAACTCATTATTCAGCAAGTTTCTGATTTACCACAGCCGTTTTGTTGTTTTGAAAGTCTGCCATTTTCGTTCTGCGACACAAATGTGCAGAACATCTCCTCGTAATCTGTTTGTGATTGTCTTCATATCGATCAATTTTTGCGTTCATGTGATAGTATTTCATGTAGTACCAACTTGGTGCCAACGCGAGGGACTAAAATAGCTTCTGACATCGCTTACTTTTATTTTGAACCTAATTAGGAAAAGATATAAGAGAAAACTAAAACAATATCTCGTATTCTCGACCAATTCTTACATTTCCCCTTTTATTGCAATTGCACCGTAAACGACGGAAATGCAGGAAGAAGGATTTCAAGAATACCGTTTGATTTAATTACGTTGGACATCAGGAGAATTTACTATTCCTGTCTATAAAGTTAAGTATAGCGGACTCTTGAGGCTGAATAAATATACAATAACCGAATCGTCTCTAGACTCTCCTTTTCGTAAGGGAAGAGCCCGAGAATAGGTCTTCAAATACACATGTGCAAATATGGAGACGGCCGGGTTTCATCCCTATCAAAGTGAATCTAACCGAGGCTTACGGCAATACGTGTGGCAATTTTTCTTGAAGGGAAGAGCATATCGGGTCAGCATTATGTTCACGAGACTAGACACGGGATTCCAGAGGCTTTATTTGCATAAGATTAGGTTCCAGTACATTATCGTCCCTTAAGTTCCCCAAATCGCCTGGAAATCGTGCTCTGTGGGTTCCCAGTGTTCCTTGCGCGCATTTCAGCAAACCCTAATACTGTAGAGGGGGAAACTAGATCATCTCAGAAAACAGAAAATCCACTAGAATGTACAGGAAAATTTGGGTAAAAATCGCTTAAAACCCAAAAACCGCAGGTAACGATGACCCAGACTGTCAAATAGGAAAACCATAGATATTAAGCGCAACAACCGGAAAACTCAGTGTCTCATTCATAAAGCTTCATTACATTTTTGGAACCTGAAGAGCAGAATTGTTACACCTGACCTGATACTATCACTTGTGGATTAACGTCATTCTTTACTGAAAATTTTCTTGTTATAAGTGCTTCCCAACTCTCCGACAGGAATATCATCGATTCTTGAACGTTTCACCAACTCGTTGTTTTGTTCTTGATTGAACAACTCGTTAGCAATAGTATCGTTGGATATGTCTTTAAAAAAGACCAATCATGTATAAATGTTACGAAAACAAGGAAAATTCCACAACACGGAGAGTTTTTTTCAGAGCTTGTCAAATGAGGCTTAACTTCATTGATTGGGCATGTGACAGAAAATCATTGAGAACTACGCTTCTAGGCTTGGCTAAATCTATATGTAATTAAGCTCATTGCCAAAAGGAAGACTAAAACTAATTTGCCCTCTGCTTGGCTGTTATAGCATATGTTGCGATTTAACAGGTTAATCTATGAACTCATTCTAACATTAGTCATTGCTTAGCAAGAGAGAGAGCATAACTGAAATAAATCAGTTTTAAACTGATTTGACTCTTGTTTGTACAAGCATTTACCCTCGTGTTTAAATATGGAGAATTGAAAAGTTTCTTTGTGACACTCTAGTGAATCATCTTGACTGAAGAGGGTTGTCTTTGATTAGACACTATGAAGCGCGAAAAAAATTAAGTCAGCCCGAAATGCGTACCTGTTTTCGTCATCTTCTTTCTGCTCTATACGCATTTTTACTTGCATTTATCATGGAGGAGTAATCCACAACTTCTGACCCATCACAGTTCTTATGAATCAATCTTTTAAAAACTGTCAACAAACAAATACACTAAACAAACCAAACCTCATGTCGGACCACTGTATCGCAACTGTCAGCCAATGCAATCGCTCCAAACAAAATAAATTAAACCTCGACTGAATGAATTAAATATAAGTTAAGTAGCACCGGATTCTTCAGACAATAGTGAAAAAAGTTTCGATGGTGTAAACATCCCTCAGCACTTTTTGCAGCGCAAACTGACGTGTTTTGGTTAGCGAACGTAAGGATGGCTACGAAGAGAATTTCAGTTCTGCTGTCTTCCTTGTTAGGCGTGGTGCTGGTTTGCATCGTATCTTTGAGTGAAGCAAGTAAGGCACATTACTTCAAGCCGTTTTTCTTTTTTTAGGACGAATAGTTAAGCAACATATGGGAAAGTTTTAATGAATGTGTGGTTCTTTATCGGCTTTGCTGTAATATGCATCTTAATACCTGGTTTTTTCATTCTGTATGTTGTTTTAAATGTATTCTTGTTCACGGTATTATATTTCAACAGATGTACTTTTAAGTAAAATTCTCACTATCCATGAAATATATTCGATATAAACATTGGTTTGCTTAAACATGTACCTATACAACGGCGCCAAGCACACGATCCAAGATCAGTTAGTTTTCTTGAAAGCCAAAGAGAAACTTTTTTGTTCCTCAGACAGTTTATTTATAGTTTGGCCAAAAGCATACTAACTCGTGAACCTGATCCATTGGGGGTAAGGTTAAAGTGATGTAAGATCTAGAAACCAGTGGTAAAATAAATAAGCTATATGAATAAGTTTGCTAAAAGTTCTTAAACGTTATAGTACAGCTATTTAATCTAAGATGACACGCCAAAAATTTCTAATAGGCCGTGAGCGATCGATATGAGAAAGTAAAGGATGACACGTAGAATGTTTTTACTTGAATCATCATTGCGGGCACATAAAAAGCGCGCGTACTCTTGGCGCTAGGAGCGGCTCAGTTGCCTGTGACATGCAAAATTTCTTGCCAAGCACAAGCACAACCACGTATTGTTTAAGTTAGACAAACCGTACAATAGCTTACAAAGAAGAGCTATATTAATTTCTTTTTACGTCAAACAAACTGTAGTTCGTTTACAAAGAACACAAAAGCATATGACAGAAGTTTGCTAAATATTAAGTTTCAGCTGTGGAATGAATTACGATGTGTAGATCAAACGCCAAACGGCTAAGAAAGCTGAACTGATAGGTTCTTTAGAAAGATCATTTAATTTAGCCATTTTCATAGACCCTTGTAAGGCAATATCCTGTGGAACCATTGTGCAATAAATTATGTGCGTGTAGAAATTGTTTTTGTAATGAACTACAGAGTGAATTTCGAGATTTAAAAACTGTCTTTTATAAAAAAGAATCGGTGACCTGTAAAGATTTCCACGCTGATATTTCATGTTCAATTTGTTTCATAACCTAGGTGGTGACCGTTGTCTTTTTACACATAAAGATCTTCCTTGCAATGGTGAGTGGCTTTAACATGTGAAAGAGAGGGGAGGGTGGGAGGGGGAATGTAGATACATGGCTTTACATCCCCTTGTGGAATGGGGTTGGGATTTCCTTGTAATTTAGGACTGACGAGAAAAATGATTTTACCTCTTATCAGAGGATAGAGAATGCTTTAATGAGACTAAAAAAGGCGTTTAGTTGTCACCGACCTCATTCACTCGTTGACATCATACGAAGCTCACTTATATGACTCATACCAAGAATAAACATCCTCTTAACTCTTCAACTCCCATTAGTGACCAAGACAGAATTTCTCCTTACAACATCAGTCCAATATCAAGCAGATAAGTGATGAGAATGAAGAGAAATATCAATTAGCGGAGTACGCTCTATTAGTTGATCCAATACCAAATTCTCCGATCAAACATCATAAAAATTGTATGGCAGACAGTTAGGAGAATTACTGCTGAGATCTTGGGAGTGAAAGGGTTAACAGAGATCCGCAGAATCACTCTTGACAAGAGCCCATTGCTTCTGCTCTCGAACAACTGTTTTTTTTTTTCGTGTCAGTGACACAGTCCTATCTACCCACCTGCCTCAGTTTTGGCAAGATAGTTCTGAAAATGCAAATTCATTCTCAGCTTTGAAACCGTGCACAAGTACCCTTAGGCGGTTTAGTTTTCACGGGTTTCGAGTGAGGAAATTCGTGCACAACTGGCCCATGAAACTTTTGCAAAGGTAAAGTTTATACATACATGTTTAGAGACAAAAAAAAAATTTTTAACAAGTTTTCCGAGTCACGATAAAAGTCAGCAAATAATCCGCGAACCGAAAAATTCTCAATTAATTTCATTCCGTTTGTCATTTCCAGTAACAGGAAAAATCCCTCTTCAACTGACTTGCAGCTATCCCGGGAAATGGTTTACCATAAAAAGGGTTACCAGGAAGACCGATCAAGGAATTTGGCAGCAAGTTCCTAAAGCTAAAGGCGTCTTTGAAAAAGATTGCAAGAAAAGTCGAACTGTTCAGAAGGGTGCCAACGGTCTGGAGTCTGCCATTTGTACTATCAGCGGCTGTATTCCCGGGATTGATTTATCGCAGGGGGTCAAAATCGAATATTACTGTTGGGAATTCGGTAAGATTTAGATCCACAGTTTACAGAAGTTCGAATCATGGTTTTTTCAAGGACCAAATCATGACTATAATGGCTAAATTTTCGAGATTTCCTGCCAGATTTGGTTGTGAGCAAGCTTTGATCCTACATCAATTTGTTGCAATTTGCCCTTAGGCTTAACATTGGGAAGAAGTTACCAAGCTGACGTATCATCACGGATTCACAATATCAACCTCGTTCCCAGGGTGCTCTCTCTTTGTTTCTCGAGGGAACGAGGTTGTAGTACGATGTGATTAAAGGATTCTGATCAAAACGCACATTACTATGTTGTATTTTTTACTGCAGATAGCAAACTTGAAAATTTTAAGCTTAAGATTTCAAATGCCTAAACAGGGACACCGCTGTTGTGTAATATTTCTGTAACCACATTTTAAGTTCCCATAGTCGTTTATCTGCATCAAACAGCTGCTCTCGAAAGGAATTATTTATCGATTCATTTATTTTTTCGTCAGATCCTGATTTATTTGGAGGCTTTGGAAAGAGATCGCACATCCGAAACCCTGAAATATTTCATAGCGCAAAGGAGAACTAGAGCTTCGAGACTAGCCACATCATTTAACCTCCATGGATACAATTGTTACAATTTTAAAACTAATCATTCTATTGACCTAAAATACTGTGAAATGTGTAACGTATCGACCGATCACGAATAAATAGCTAACAAGCATTTTGCTGAACGTCGTTTTTAATTGTTAGAAACCACATGAGGAAAATAACTCAGTTCTCAATCCCAGTTCTGTCTCTTTAGACACTGAATAGTTTCCTTGAGTTCATACCCGTTACGTACTAATCGTTACTTTATGTCTAATTCGAAAACAATGTCAAAACAGACGACTCTACTTCAATGGACTTGAAATTCGATTCTCGTCACTTCCACCTCCATCGTCATCATCATTATCTCGCAAAGTTCGTTATCCAGACTTACACAGGCTGACAAAGCTCTTTATCTTAGAAAGCCTTGAGTCTTTTTTACTAATTCTTCTGGCTAGTTCATCAGAAGTTTTTTATTGGAACAGTAACTTAACGATCATATCTCAACGACAAATTCTCGTTGTCCATATGAGCCTCAATCAAATATGCTCTTTGAAACCTCTTTTGGGACTTGAGTTTTTGGGCTTGAGCGATAGCCTCAAATATGGCACCTCTATGTCCTCATCTGACGTTCACGAGCGCGGACCAGCGACTCAAGCGCCCGTGCACGGAATTCAAGTTCCTTCAGTTCTGCCTCTTCATTTACGGTTCCTTCTGCAGGATGTGATGTATCTTCTGTAGTTTGCTGTTGAGCAGTGCGGTTCCCTGGTGAATAGAAGACTAGAAATCAGCACGTCTGAGCAAAAGTAAGAGTGAAAGAAAAGCTTAGTCCCACGTTTAACTAACATTGACCAGCATCTAATTTTTCCTTACAGAAATACTATTGAATTATTCATAAAGAACATGAGAATGAAGAAAATGATCACCAACCTAAGAAGCTTTGATTGTTTCATGAATTCTCCTTGTCAGTACCAAAGGAAATGTATAGAGAAGAGCAGAGAGAATATAGATATTGATATTAGGGTGTAGAGGGTTCATAGCTACTCATTTGTATTTTTCTGTAGTAACATGTCTGAGGAATTAAAAGCTATTTTTAGAGTATTGCAAACAATCTCTCTGAGAACTAGAAGGTAAATTACAGCACTTAAATGATTTTTGCAATGCCTTGGAGTAATTCACCTTCCACAAGTTCATCAATTTCCTCTTGGTTGGGAATTGTGATCATTTCTTGGAAAATGATCATATCTTTCTCCTTCTTTTCTTCATCTTTCCCCTCTTTGATTGATTTACTTATTTTGCTCTGAAACACCAACATAAACAAAGGAGCATTTAGTCAGAATTATATTTGATGTATCTCACTTCCCTTAACCCTCCCACAATCTGATTGTAAATTCTCCCCTCAAGCTGCTACATTCCCTTGTAAATTACATACTAGAATTTGGTGTTAGATCAAGATAACAAGTTCTACCTGATAAATTTGAGTATTGTCATTACCTGTTTGCTGGACAATGCATGGATATTATAGGAAGACGTTACATGTTAATCACTTCTATGAATTAAAGGGTTAAAAGTTACTTCATCCTTTCACAGTTTTTTTTATAATATTTTAAATGTATTCATTAATTGGTTGTTTTGTGATGTAGTTACAGTTGCTAACAGTCTGTCTACATACCTCCACTCTTTTACTGTCCTCATTCATGGTCTGTCTCTTCAACTGTGTTTCATCGACACTTTCTTCCTTTTTGGTACTTTCATCCTCAGAAGAAGCCATATCTTTTCCAGTAATGATAATCTTGAGCTGTGTCTTTGAAAATGATTCAAGTTGCTCTGAACAGAGTTTCTTTACTTCCTTGAAACTCAACTTCTACAAAAGCAGAAGGAAGTTCAATTGTATCGGATCTGTGCATCATGAGGATTGCTAGGGAGGAGTTCTCAATAGCAATTTGTTTTGGTAACTGCAGGTTTCACCCCATTGCAAATTCACCCCCCTACCATCCTACCACTGGTAAAGGTGATTGTGGACTCAAAAAGGTGGGGGGGGGAGATGCACTTAACTCCAGAGGGGGAAAAGTCTTGAAACAAAAGTGGTAGTGAGTGCAAAGCAGAGAAACTTCCATTAAACTTTATTTTGTGGCAAATAAATAAATAAATAAATGATCTTAGATTTCTCAGTGAGCTTAAGAATCTTTAATTATATAATTTTCTTAACTCTCAACAACTATCAGCTTTACAGTTCACACAACTTCTGAGGAAAATTGATTGAGGAAACTAAATGACTATAGAAAAGATGGATGCAAGGCACCTTAGACAATCTGTAAAGTCAAAGGGAGCAAACGAGACAGAGAAGTTTGATGAGACAAAAACATAGCTTTATCTGCTTTCTGGCTAGAGAAATTTTACAATAATATTGTGGGAAAGGGTTCCATATTGGCCTGTGCTATTATAAAGTAACACATTAGTTCCAAAGGCAACTTTTTGTTTTCCTCATTTATTTCTCTATCCAAGAACTGTATGAATAATGAAGTGCAGGGCTATGGGGAAATCTTACCCAGCTCTGTCTCATATGCTTGCTTCAACATTACAGATAGTCTTGAGTGCCTCCCATCCATCTGTTTTTATGCCTTTTTACCTCTAAACTAATTCTCCTTAGAAGTTTTTTAAACGGTGAGGCTGAATTAGGGGGTGAGAGTTGAGATTAAACCCTTACACCCTAACACCAGTATGCATAATCTCCATACTGTTCTCCATATATTTCCTACAAGCTGGTTGGTTAGACAACAACATAGCCTTATCTGGTTTAACCCTTTACAACCCAACATCAGTGTGCATATTCTCCATACTGTTTTCTATACATTTCCTAAGGTGCTGGCAAGGAGAATTTGTTTATCAATCAAGAGAATATTTAGTTAGTGATCATTTCCTTTATTCTCACGACCTTACTGTGTGATGCAAGGGTTATACTGTTGGGAGAAATTATATGTTAGTCACTCTCAGGAGTTAAAAGGATAAGAAACGTTTCACTTGTGCGAACCTATACTATACTGTACCAGGTACAGTTATATTGATTCGTGTTCCTTTTTATTCAATACCTTTAAAATTTCCGGCATCATTTCCTTGATTTCTTTCTTAGAAACGATGGTAAACAGCTGATTGTGAAGTTCTTTTCTGTCATCTAGGAACTCTGTAAGATGTTTGATCCTCTCATTGCTGGTCTTGTTATTTTTACTCCTCGTATTGATATCATTATTCTCGATATCCTGGGATGGACTGGAAGATTTTGCCTTCTTGCTTTTCTTCCTGTCACTGTCGAAATAATTCGTAGCTTATGTCACAGAGCTTTCTTGAGGTTTTACAACTATCAGACTGCGATTTCTGACAAATTCTGAATTCAAGGCAATGACTGAAAGATGTTTGTTTACAAAAATATTTATGGTATTTACCGGTGTTTGTGCTTTCGTTTCGCAGACTTCTTACTTTTCTCAGCGAGTTGAGTCGAAGAATCGGGAGAAACAGCTTTCCTTTCCATCGATATAATGGAGAAAACAGCCGTCACCTAAATAACTTGGACGCCATTTTCTCTTACAACTCCTGAAGGACATTCGATTACAGCATATTCAACATAATAACTATTCTCCTGTGTAACCGCTCCTCTGAAGATTGCAACAGTCACAATATGGCGGATGAGTGAAGGAAAAAAGATTAAAGCTTCGCTAAATGTTTTAGAATAATGCCTTTATTTTTCTGCTCTTCACTGTTGTCAAGAAACTCAAGGTGTATCTTAAATAATCATGTCCGAATATTTTTCAATAGTAGAAGTCGGTTCGTTTGCGTCCGTCAACAACCTCTACTATTTAAAACGATACCTTCTAAGAGTTTAAGTCAGGTTTGCTGCAGATCTTGGTCTTCTTATGCAGTTAGAAGATTCCATACAAGTCAGTCAAGATCTGCCGCTCCACTTGCAGCTCTTCTTGTCAAACTGGCCGGTCCTCTTTCAAAATTGACCAAACTTGTTGCTGTCGTCGGAGGAAGGTAAACAAACATGCATGTAAAAGATAGTTGTATAATTAACACTTATTACTTAGTATTAATATAGTGAATACTTTATCGATTAATTTAATGATTAACAATGTTTGTTTTGTTTTAAGGTAATAACGTATTTGTCTGTTATTTTTTAGATCTTTTCGTAAGTGGTGGAATAATTTATCAGCTGATAAGCGTTTACAGCTCACAAAATCATTTCATCTTCGGAAGGAAAGACTGACCATAGTCGTCGGTGGTTTTGGTGGATTATGTATTGCATATTACTTTTTCCATCTAGAGGAGACACCATTCACTCACAGGACTCGATTTATGCCAATCTCTCATCGACAAATGGAGGAACTAACAAATACAGAGTACAGGAATACGTTAGAGTTATTTGCAGACAAAATATTACCTGTGACCGATCCCAACCACCTCAGAGTCTTAAGGGTTGCAAAAAGATTGGTGATGGCGAATGGTAGTAAGGAGATGGAACATTTGTCCTGGCAAGTCAATGTGGTGAATTATGATGATATGAATGCATTTGTGTTGCCTGTAAGTCTTCCAAGGCTTTCCTCTTTTTTCTTTAACTATTAAGCCTTTTACCCTCTGGAGTGACTAGCATCTAATTTCCCCTCTCAATTTCACCTGTGAATCACCCATTAAGGTCATGAGAATAATGAAAATGATCACCAACAAAGCTCTTGACTGTTAAACAAACTCTCCTTGACAACACCTTAAGAAATGTACAGAGAACAGTATGGAGAATATACCGGTACATACTCACTGGTGTTAGGGTATAAAGGGTTCATGCAATAAACAGTGCAATGACCACAAACTCAATAAAGAGATGAAAGACGTGAAGTAAATGCTGTACTTAAGTGAGTAACCTAAATTTTCTACTTTACAGAATGGTCAGATTTTCATGTTCACTGGAATGTTGAATAAGTTACCAAATGATGACTCACTGGCCACCATTCTTGGTCATGAGATGTCCCATGCTATTTTACAACATGGGGTAAATATTTTGACTTTTTCACTCCTAATGTGTAAATATTAATTCTCCATACTATCTGCCACACTTTTCCTGTAATTTTAGCTGTGAGAATTCAGTGTTAAATGCAACTATATGCAATAGTTTAAAAAAAAATTCATCTTTGACCTTTCTCCTTGAAATGTTGTCAAATTGTAAGGAGAAATTACATTTGGGTCACTCCAAAAAAAGTTAAGGTTAATCAGGATTAGTTGGTAATGTAAGTTTTTCTAGGGGTAGGATGGTGACAAAGAGAGAGATAAGGAGAGATTGCTCTTCTTTATCCACCCCAAAATTGCAAGGGAATTAGTTCACTACCTCCTTTTAATAGTTGTTTGTAGAAATGATATTGTAACACATCACCCAAAACTTTTATCCTGATGGGAGATTTATGTAAAGCCTTGTATTGTTGCTGTATTATAAGTGCAGTGTTAAGAGATGTTCCTATGGAGCAAAGTTAATTCTAACATGAAAGCCTTTAACAGTTGAATTTAAACTGTAATGATAATCTTTGATGAGAATGTTGTGAAGAAGGTTGAAACCTTTTTTTTTTTCATTGTACATATTGTGTTTGTTTTGTTTTGTTTTGTTTTTTTCTTTGCAGGCAGAGCAAGTCAGCCTATGTGGGTTCATTAACATGTTTATTGTCATAGTTCTTGCATTACTCTGGGCCCTCCTGCCAACAGAAACAGCTATCTTTGCTCATTGGTTTCAAAACAGAATACTTAGTGTAAGTGCAAATTTATAACAAAATTATAATGTTCTGGTCACACATAACTATAGTGTTAGTTACCAGTGGTAATGTTGCCTTAAATAAGAGTGAATACATAGCAGATTAGTTGGCAGAAAAGTTTGGCAAGCATTCAGTATTCTATTTGGAGAGAGGTTTTCAACTTTTTGAAATATTCCTCAGATTTTTCTTCACCTTCCTTATTCAAGAAGATTAGAAGAAGAGGCAGATGAGGTTGGAATGAAAATGGCAGCCAAGGTAAAAATTTGAATCTGTCACAGTTTATTTAGAACTAAGCAATTTGATTGCAGGTTGTAACTGTCAATGAGCAAGATCATGGCACTATGCAATAATTGTGCAATGATTTGCACCAAAAAAATTAATATAATCAAATATGACTCCTTTGCTTCATTTGCTACTGGACATCATTGTCAACCTTTAAACCCAGTTACCCTGTCACACAGCCTGTTGACCACTCAGTGGTAATCTGGAGCAGTGAGCTAAAGGTAATTTTTTTATAGGTTCATACCTGTGAGTAACATAAGGAAATTAATTTTCCCTTACATCATCTTTCAGGTCCTAATTTATTTTCTCCATTCCCAGGCGTGCTTTGATGTTCATGAAAGTCCCAGGTTTTGGCGACGATTGGCAATTACTCAAAAAGAAATGGATAAACCAGAGTTAATAAAGTGGCTCTCCACTCATCCAACTCATAGTGACAGGGCAGACAATCTAGAAGCTTTACTTCCACAGGTAAAAAAAAGCTATGAAAATTGTTTGGTTTAAGATATCCAACAGGTATAAAGAAATAACTTGTTGTCATGAATGTGTTGATGGGGTGCTCCTATAAAAGCTTTGACTGGTAAAGTGTAACCATTAACAGCTTTGAACTTACTGTGGGATGGGGTCAATATTAACATACTGGTAAATTTTATCCTATTATAGGCATTAAAGATAAGAAGGAATTGTAACTGCCCTCCCCTGCCAGGTAATGTATTGCTTGTTCTTTCATGGAAAAGTTGCTTGCCCTTGTGTAGACATACCCATCAGCTAATTGAGATGTCAGTAATGATAAGTGATTGTTTAATGTTTGTTAAAGATTCTTGATAATTTATGTTTTAAAATAATCTTAGTTTATTTTTAAAAGCCTTTTTTTTTATTTATTTTGTAAATCCTTGTCTGCAGGGGAAGTGTCCTTCATAACTCCAGAAGATAAAAATGACCATGGATTTTTACAACAGCATTCTCTTCTTAGGAGGCCATCTCCATTGATTGAAAGGAATAAGTTCATTACTAAGTAAACCCACTACCAACTGTAAATTTTGGAATTTTGGAACCAATCTAAACTACCCACATACCTGACCAACCATCAAAAAAGATCCAATGAATTTATGGTACTGTCATACATTTGATCATCACCTTGATTGTAAACAGCCTGTGAACAGGTTCTTTACCATGAACAGGGTGTGTAGGAGAAGAATACAGCAATCAATTTTTGGTGTAAAGGCCCCTTAATCCTTTGAGACCTATGAAAGACTATCGTCTAATTTTTCTGTACAATATCACCCCCAAATCACACTTTTAAGGTCAAGAGAATAGAGAAAATGATCACCAATTAAAGCAGCTCTTGATTGTTAAACAAATTCTCCTTGTCACCTTAGGAAATATAAAGGGAACAGTATGGAGAATATGCATACTGATGTTAAGGTGTAAAGGGTCAACCAGAGTCTTCTCTTTGACAATATATTTGTTTGCCTCTAGTTCCCTAGAATCTGTGATAAAATCTTTACCAGCCAGTTTGAAAGCTTCAGACAAAGTTTTTTTAATTGCATGCTTATTTTAGAAACATGGCAGACAAAATTTTCAGTTGCATTTTTTTTCCATGAATGAATAGTAGCAAGTATGCTTAATATTGAAGTCCATATAATCATATGAAAAATCACTTTTTGAAACTACAAATTAAACTAAATTAAACAGTTTTGTGAACTGAAACCTCAGTTAACAGTCTACGACAGTAATTACAACCACTAAGTATCTGAATACATTTTGAGTTCTTGGTGTTTAATAGTATATTTGTGTATACATGCATCACTAATTTTTCAAGAGAGGTGAAAGAAAGTAAAGATGACTCCAAAACATTGATTGAGCACTGAGCATTGACTTTCAAAATTTCTGCATTAAGTGTTGATTAAATTTTATAGCTATGTGTAAATCTTAACCTTTCACCTCTTGTCAATTTACATGGTACAATAATCATTAAAATAGAATGCTAGATGAATTCATAACTTGTTAAGTTTGTGTGTCTGTTTTGCTGCACTAATCTTTCTTAGGCAAATGTGCCCCTGCAACCACAATGCTGTCTTTTGTTGTCATAAATGGGAATAAAGTGCGGTACTGCTAAAAAGTAAGTTGACAGTCCCTCAAAACTTGAGCCTCAATACTCAATTCTCAAACCTCAATTCTGAAAAACTTCCAAGATCAAATCCAGTTTTTGAGACATTTGATCTGAGTTTTTGAGATGCTCAAAATGAGGAAACATTGTAATTTTTGTACTTAGTGCAAGAAAAAAATGAAAACAGACATTGGAAGTTTTAATCTGGAACTCTGTGTGTGTCACCATGTTGAATGTACAAGGTATAATGGTTGTCATCATTATCTGCATGTTCTTTCCTGGGACTTGTGTGCCAAAAAGAGCTCCTGTCTGATGATAACAAGGACAACCACATACCCTCATACAAGCCAAAATGGTGGCTTCTAGGAAATTCAAGCATTAACAATACTTTTTTTTTAATCACAGTTTTTATACAATTTAGTTCTTTTCTCTCATTTTTCAAATGCCAACCCTTTAGAAATGTCCAGTTACATTCATTGATACAGAAATGAATATTCTGTGAAACAATGCATTCCTAACTGTAACATGCAGTTTGATTAAAAATAGTCTCTAAATTTTTGTGACTAGTGATGGTTAACACTACAGGAAGCCACTTGATGTACCTACACAATATAACAAACTATACTTCTATGTACTCTGGACAGTTTTTCATCAAAAGTCCAAATGAACTTGTAATCTTCATCAACCAAGGCTTGTAAGCACATTTTGAACATCCTCAAATACCTGTCATGGAGAAATTGTTGTTAAACAAACATGCGACACGCATGTATGACTTCCCTTACCAATATTCCAGATTTCTGTTAAATTAGCAGTCTAGCTGTTAAGTTATTGCTGGAAGATTGATCAATAATTTAAGATATCCAAGTGGTTATTTAGTCTGAAATATTCCTTAATTAGTGTTCTCTTATTCAGGCAATAACTGATAAAATTTACTGCCTGTAGTATAGCTTACTACCAGCAAAAATGGCTTGGAATTCTTGAAAATTCAAATGGTAAAACATTTACTGTAACAGTTAAAAAATTTAGTTTCCCTGTTGTTCTTGAAATGAGGGAGAATGCTGCTTCATTCAAAATTTTGGCTACTTGAGAGAAAAAAAGTGCAATATTTTGGAAAACAACAGACTAATCTTATTTACAATTAACAGGTGCCATGGAAGGCTCATCAATTAATGATTATTATTAGAACTAAATATTTTTACCTCACTGGGTGACTTAATTGCTTGGATCTTTTTAACAAGTCCTAGTTTTTCGTAATGTTCTATTATTGGCATTGTCTGTGTTTCATGTGTGTTAAATCTAGGAAGCAAAAGAAAAATTCAATTGAAGTGATACACATTTAACATCTCCCTATAGTATCCATACATCATCCAGCAAACAGGTAATGAGAATACTCAAACTTATCAGGTACAAGTTGTAATCTTAATCTAACATTAAAATATTGTAGCTTATTAACAAGGAAATGTGACTGTCACATTAAATCATGGCATAAAATAAACAATATATTTTGAAAAATAAACATGTTTCAACACCCAGAGAACCATTCAGTCCACTTGTTAATGGTTTACCTTTAATTAATATTTACCTCTTTCTCAGACTCTCTATATTGTCATCTGCTCGTCCACTGGATTTACCCCTCTCCAATATTCTTCTGATGCATTCCTAACCAAAAAAAGAAAAGATCTGGAGTGATTATACCATACTCCACATTTTTCAGTTAGCTCCAAATTTTCGTTTATTTTTTTCCTACTTGATCTTAAACAGTAAAAGAACTAAAAGAAGAGTTCAGTTCTGTAATAATTATTATTCAGGGCCCAGTTGTATTAAGGGGAGATAACGTTATCCAACAGATAAATCGCTATCTAGCAGATAAGTGATAGCAAAACTTATGACACTATCCACTGGACAGAGATTTATCCAGTGGATAGCATTATCCAACCTTCCAACAACCAGGGCCAGGTAATCAACAAAATTCGATAGATATCAAGCATAGGTTTGACTTGTATAGTTAGTATGATAAGAATTGAAAACAATTTACATTTGAAAAGCAGCAAGGTTTGTATTTTAATAAGGTCACCCTTAGCCTCACTCCTGTTAAAAGGCTCAGCAACCAAGCATGCAACTGTAAAGTGGACTATTGCAAAAATTTCAGTCCACCCACATGGACCATTTCTTTGCTTGTTAGAATTTTTCAGTTTTAGTTTTGATTGGTTCAGGTACTCACATCTTCTGTACATTCAAAGACTAAGACACATTTGACATCCGCTTTTCCGTCCATTACTCTATTCCAGCCTTGAAGGTTATCCTCATTTCTAGGAAATCCATCTATTAGGAATTTTTTCTCACCACTTTTATTCATTGCCTGGAAAAATAGGTAAACACCAAAACCCATGATTTTATCCCATAACTTTTAATTTACCATCAAAGTTTGAGTTACAGGCTGCATTTGACAGTAGTTGCCCCCTTTGCTATGGAGCTGCATGTAATCCAGGGTCTAGATTTTGTTTGCAAGGTTATAAATGTCACAGTTAATTTATTAGGTTGCCATCAAGCAAATTCCCAAATTTGTTGGCAGCAGGCCCTTTTGTAATGTAGCATGATGTAAATGGGAAAGATTTCCGAATTACCCCATACTATTATAAAACAAAGTTTTTGGATCCTAAAGGTAATCTAATGTTTTCACCATTAAAGTTTTCTTTTATTAACAAAAGGCAGACATAATGCATGGGCTATACAGAAATGTTGCCAAGCCTGCATTGAAGTTTCTTCATTTCCTCAAAAATTTTGGTATTTTACTGCTGGGGGTTACACTTAGCTTAATCCTTTAACCCCTAAGAGTGACTAGCATCTAATTTCTCCTTACAATATCACCCCTGAATCATGCAGTAAGGTCATGAGAATAATAAAAAAAAAAAATCAGCAGCCAAAGAAGTTGTTGATTGTTAAACAAATTCTCCTTTTCAGCACCTTAAATGAATGTATGGAGAACAGTATGGAGAATACCTTTACTGATGTTTGGGTGTAAAGGGTTAAGATAAACAATGGGATAAGAAAAATAATGGGATTTAGGGGTGAACATTCTATTAGGTAGCTCTTCTTGTTCACTGTTTCCAGGTAGAATTGGCATTTGCAATGTTTCTTTTTGAGGAAGGAGGAATACCAAAGGACCCAGAGAATAGCCATCAGAGCAAGATCCATTAATCAAACCCAGGCCACAGTGGTGGAAGGCAAGCACTCTCACCACTGCACTATCCCCACTCCTTATATACTCACCTTTTCAATCAAACTTATGGTAATTTCTACAGGGACAATCTTTCCTTCTTTAATGCAAGAATCTATAAGATCCCCATTCTCGGAGCCACTGTTTCTTTCCTCTCTTAACAAGTCGCCTGCTGATAAATGAATGTATCCAAATTTCTGGAAAATAAACAATACACAAAATGAATTTTTTCCTAAGCAGTGTTCTGATCTTAGGTCAGTGACTGAGAAATGAAACAAGAAAAGCAGTTCAATGAGAAAAAACGTTGGTTAGGTATGGTTAGTCCAATTTTAGTAACAGATTGAAGTCTTCTTTCTTTTGACAGCTTTGTAGCAGAGCAGGTATATGTAGGAAGATATGTGAGGAGAAGAATTTTTACAACAAAGGAGAACACCAGATGAGAAAAGTATTATAAGTTCTAAAAATTAACCTGTGAAAAAAATCCACCTAAGAACTGAAAACCTGTTTACTTATCAAAAACACTTATCAAAAGAATAATTTGAACTAATATTCCAGTAATCTTATATTTAAGACAATTCTTAATTACAGTTTCACATTGGTGTGAAGTTGTCCGGAAATCAAAGAAGCTGAGGGTGAAATTTCCGCACAGCCCCATACTAAATTATGCATTCAGTTCTTGACTAGAGAAAACAATGAAAAAAACAATACATTTCCATTGGGACAACAGATTTGTTTTGACGATAGTATGGGGCTGTGCGGAAACTTTACCGAAGCTGAGTAACATTCCTTGAAACTTTTTAACGATTTAAAATGTTTTTGACTCATTTAAAATCATTAATTTTAGCCAGCCGCAAATTATAATTCAGCTGATGATTACTTGCGAAGTAACCTAGCCGTGTTTTGATTTAGTCATGAAAAAAAAAACAAAAAAAAGATAAATATAATTCGATGCGTCTTTTATAAAAACGATTCTCTAGATATGCAATGCATTACAGATAATTATAACAAATACAAATCCCATATTAATATTAGTTTATATGCCACGTTTACACGATCGACTTAGGAATTCCTAAGCACATGAAATTTACGCGGAAATATACCTCAACGATTTTTGAGCACTGCGTTCCTTTTCCAGCGCCTGGACCTCCAAGAACAAAAATAACAATAGGCTTGAGCGATGAACTCATCGTTCTTTGGAATGAAGAGGTTAGCCTCCCAGCAAAACAGGATAGATGAAACATTAAAAATAATCCTTTCCGTCACGAAGACTTGTGGAAGATTATAGTTTAATTTCGATTGGTCTAAACCGCTGCTTAGTATGCTCATATAACAGTTTTGGAAAAAAGCTACTTAGTGGGGACGTGTAAAATGTACTTGTGGAAGAAAATGAAATCTATTACCCCAATGAACTAGGTTTATCAAAAGCATAAATTTACAGATATGAATTATCTTTTTAGTTGTATAGTCGTTATATAATTTACTGTTTTAAAGTAAGAGCGAAGAGTCTGAGCTAAAAGTATGATCTCCACTACCTCCACTCCTAAATACTATTTTTTGTCAAGATCGAAGTCGAGGCCAGAACAACAACATGGCGGCCGGGCATCTTTTCCCAGCGTGGTAAACAAACCTTTACCACAATATTATAATATTTCATGAGATGTACTTTCCAATCGGTTGGCCAAAGTACTTCAGCTCAAGGGATGTCCACTGCGGCGAGCTAAAATCGTTAAGATACAACAGGGATCGTTCGCTATTGGCCGTGATTTCAGATCACAGTGTGTGTATTTGGAACAACCGAGTGAGTATTAAATTCCCATTTTGTCGTCTGTCTACTGGGTATCATCTCTGTGAATATCATCTTACTGTTAGGGCCCTAGCTGATAAACAAAGTTATATTGATAAAGATTCGTGACAGTTTCTTTCGTGGCAAGGTTTCGTGTCGAACCGGCTACTACCTGGTCTACCCCTGGCCAACAATATTGGATTAATTCATAACCATTATGTTCAGATCTGTGAGGTTAGTTTCAATCCTTGCTTACCCGTTCGATTCAGGAACAGAGTAAATGAGTCTTTTTTGACATTTAAAAATAGAGCTGCAATGTACACAAAAGCTATTCAATTGCAAACAGTTTCCTTTGGAAACTTCTTTGAATAAGCAGACAGCTGGTGAACACTGCATGGACATCAGTTGTTTATTTGTAACCCAATGAAGCCTGAGTATGCGTAGGTAAGCCTCGGTAATCCTCGCCATATGCAGGACTCATCCATAGTGACTGGAAGGGTCTTGAAAGACCAAACAATATCATTCTGAATTTATGTTTATTCTTAATTGTTCCAGTATACTCTCATAAATTCTGTCTCTGTGCAAGATAATATGTCTTTTTAACTCAAAATGAATGTTTTACAAGTCTTCTCTTCTGCACCATATTGTTTTAATTTAAGCCAAGAGTACTGGTAGTTGCTTATCGGCGATCATATGATGCTATTAAAGATGATGGAAGAAATGTTACAGTTGCCTGGAAACCAGACTCTACTGGATTGGCTGTCAGTGTGAGTACATCTGATCGCTAAATCAGTATCACTAGCAAGAGGTTTGGATTGGTCATTATTGTAACTTTTCTTCAGTATGTAAGATCAAGGAACAGTAAAATGAAGTGGGAAGGTTTTGCTAAAAGTCTTTTTCCCTTTAGAAATTCTCTTTACTCAGTGGTATCCTTACATGCATGTCTTGATTCATTGTCCAGGTACATGAAGATTTAGTCCTAAAAAGAAAAATTGAAGATATTGTTGCTTATCCCTTTGGCACTAAACTTAGTTTGCAGTTACATTTCCTTCTTCTTTCCTTAGTGGTTCTTTAGTTGAAGTTCTATTTATAACATAAAAGTACATATTTTCATGCTTATTAAAGATTTTGTTTCATTTTATTTTAAATACAGACATCAGAGGGAAAGATAGTGTTCCTGGAATTACAAAGAAGCAATGGGGTACAACTTTATGTTCCAAGATTCTCAAGGTGAATGGCATTCTAGTTCTACATCAAATGCAAGAAAAATATTTTAGAATGGTCAAACAGTCACTCATTAACCCTTTCACTCCCATGATCTCAGTAGTAATTCTCCTTACCATCTGCCATGCAATTCTTACGATGTTGGTTTTGATAATTTAGTATCAAATCAAATAATCATCCCCTACTTTATATTTTTCTCTATTCTTGTTATTTGACTGCTTGATATTGTGATCATTTGATGTTTTAAGGAGAAATTCTCTCTTGGTCACTTATGGGAGTTAAAGAGTTAAGTGACTCAACCTTTTAACTTTCAGATCAAATTTGTCATTCTCCTTACTGTCAACCAAACAATTCTTATGATGTTACTTCAGAGAATTTAGTATTGGATCAATTAATTATCCCCAAATTGATATTTTTCTTTATTCTCATCACATATCTGGTTGATATTGTATTGGTGTTGTAAGGAGAAATTCTGTCTTGGTCACTCATGGGAGCTAAAGGGTTAAGGCTCATATTCTATAAGTTCAAAGTTTTATTGAATTCCTCTCTGCAGAATTACTTTTTTTGTAATGTGTATTTTTTTTTCATTTCATATCATAATGAAGAAATGTAAAATGGTTTCCGTGTTTACATAGCCTGATGTAAACACTTGGGAGGTTGGGAGAACACAAGATAAGGGTAGGAAACCACGACGTGAAGCAGAGTGGTTTCCAGCTTATCGAGTGTTCTCCCAACCTCCCAAGTGTTTACATCAGGCTATGTAAACACGGAAACCATTTTACATGTCTTTTATAAAATAACTATTGAAAGAGGAACGAAAACCGTGTTTATATACACTTATGTAAAATGGTTTCTTTGCCAATCAGAGTGCACGTACTATTTGAATTATTTTATAAATCCTTGTTGAAAATCTTTTTGCTATCAGTCACTCTCGTAGGCATTCATCTCCTAATTCTCAAGCTGGAGTACCAGCTTTGAAACTTGTAGAAATTGCCATTGTCCCAATCTCAGGAGGTGTCACAAGGTACTGTATGTGAATTTTACAGCAATATATAATTGTATGTATTAAATTTCAGACAACAAACAACCATGCTGTATAAGTGTTCAGTCATATTTAGTTATTTATGATATTTAGACAAGCTGGCCCAGTTTAGCTTTAACCCCATAACACCCAAGATCTGATTGTCAATTCTCCCCTTGGGCTGCTTTACATTTTGTTTTCAGTTTGTTACAAGAATTTGGTTTTAGATCAAGGTTACAACTTCTACCTGATAAGCTTGAGTGTTCTCATTACCTGTTTGCTGGATAATTAATGGTATTATAGGGAGAAGTTACACGTTAATCACCTCTGGGAATCAAAGGGTTGAAGCTGGTTTTAGTGGGAGCCTATTATGTTCCCTGCTCTATGTGAGAAGTGTGTGGGTTCTCTAACATCCCCTGCTAACTAGTACAGAGAACATGGAGGAGACAGGGCCTCACATTCTGAGGCAGCACATTCTCTTCAGTGATTTTCATTAAAATCCTGAGTATTGGTCCAGTCTGGGGCTTGAACCGTCATTCTTCCACATGGTAATCTGGCACTCTAACCGAGCAAAAATGTTTTTAGAAGTTTTTATTAGAGATTTTTACAGACAGATTTTGTAGAGCAGTTTCATTGATATATGTAACTGTTATTTTTAGCGTGGCTGCAAGGCGTGATGAGTTATTTGTCTCAACTGGTAGTGGTCTACTCCAACGAGTTACCTGGGATGGCTTCCTTGAAGGAGGATTGACTTTGTCCATTCACTCCTTACCTTTTACAAATGACCTAGAAAATGCAAGAGGTAAATTTACACTTTTTACATGACAGTCTAACTGTTTTACTTTTTGTGAAATAATCAACAAAGAATAGCAGGTATTATTCGTTAAACTTATGAAATAAATGATGTTTCCTTAGCAGTCATTGAAGTCACCTATCATTTAAATGCAGAATGCTGAATAAAACAAATCTTCTTTTTGCATTGTTGTATATAAGGCCACTGTCAGTTTTCACCATTGGGTTTGGTAGGCTGCTTTTTGTTCCAGGTGGCCTCTTATCCAGCTTCTATTACTCTATCTTCTTCTCTTTCCACTATTATCCTTTGTCTTTCTTTGGTTTTTCCTCTCTTTGCATAGTCATCAGGGTTCCTTTTGTAGAAAGCTCGCACTTAACTTGGTGGGTGATCCGTTCTTGTCAGAATGTCACTTGAAGAAAAGATTACATTATTTTTTCTCAATTCTTTTAGCGATTCCTTTAAAAACAGAAGGTGTGAGTTTTCGAGCAATGGAGTACAGTCCTTTACTTGGAGGGTTTGCTGTGGTGCTGGCAGATGGCAGAGGGGGATTTTTATCAGCTGACACAGCAAGCTTTGAATGCTCTGTAAGTATGATCTGCAGTGACAGTACGTGATTAGCGATTCTCAATTTTCTTTGTGTGTCGGTCAATTGAAGTCACTGTATTCATTTATGTAGATGTTATCATATTTTATCTACAAATGCTTTAAGTATGCAGAGCTACCGGTATGCAAAGTTTTTGCATTTGTCATAAGCAGGAAGTATTTGTCAGTAGTAATCTTTCAATTTTTACCGTGGGACTGTTTCAAGTAATGCTCCATCCAAAATTTAATGATAAAATCTTTGATTAGTCTTTTTAAATAAGCTAATAACTTATATTTACTAACTAAAGTTAAATAATTGTAAGAACTAAATTATATTACAATGATTGTCATTTCAGGATATCATCGGATTGTGGGCAAGAGATTTAAGCTCAGCCACTTGTGTTGCAATCAATCACAGATACAGATTAATAGCATTTGGATGCACTAAGTAAGTTAAGTTCTACTGTTTCCAGGTTCGATTGGAAATGGAGTGGTGGCCTTTGTGGGTGAAAAAAAAAAAAAAAAAAAAGAGAATACAGAGAGTAACTTGGAGCAAGGACCATAATAAACAACAATCTTAACCCACATTTCAGGCTAGGTCACAAATTCAGAACCCTGGCTTCAGTGGTGGGAGACAAAGGCTCTAATTACTGCACCGAATCTGTCCCCACTATAACATGCACTGCAGGCTGTGAAACTGAATCAACTGGATTGCACTTCTTTTTTTTCTTATTATTATATTCTTACAATGATGTATGAATGAGGCTGGCAGTACTTAACCCTTTAACTCCCAGAAGAGACCAACATGTAACTTCTCCCTGTAATATCTGTACATTACCTAGCAAACAGATACCAAGAATACTCAAACTTATCAGGCAGAAGTTGTTATCTTAATCTAACACCAAATTCTCATAACTAGTTTACAGGGAAATGTGTTTTCAGCTAGAGGGGAGAACTAACAATCAGATCTTGGGAGTTAAAGGGTTGACAAAATACAAATCTCTGATATAGAACAAAATGTTTAAAGGTAACTTTGTTTATGAAAGTAATAGCCTCATAGGTATTTTTATCTTCAGTGAATACAATTTTTCTGTTTAGTGGTGAAAGTCTGGTGTATGGATTTGATGACCTGACTGGCAGTTTGCAGCTTTCTCATAAACTGGTTTTATCTAGTAAGGATTATCCTGGTATCCTTTTGAAATATTGCCAACACTTTAAATGGGGGCTTTCAGTTTTGTTACAGTGTTCTGTTTGTGACCAAGAAACTATTCTGACAATGTGCTTCCTCTCCTTGCAAATGAGTACACATCCATACCAGCAGAATGTCAGGGAAAACTGACAAAATACATGAGGAAAAAACCTGGAGTGGATTTGCATTTTGTCTAGGAAGAGTTTTTATTGTTGTTTTTTTTTTGTCCAGGGGAAGGAACAAAAATCTTTCTTGGCTTATGTGACATAAAAACTCCAGATAAGCTGTGGAAGTGTTAACCACTTGGCTCTAGAACTGGCTTTACCTTATATACTTGATTAGAGTTTACAGGATTGACAAGAAAAGCCATAACTCTGGTTAATGCCTCAATAATTTCTGTAACTATATGACCACTTGCCTTTTAATTTTCTTGCTTATCTACTATGTCAATGTTTTCACAAAACAAATATGCATAAGATCTTTGCTTAGTTGCCTTAACAAGATTGATGAAGATACTATTCAGGCTACAGGAGGCATCCAGTGTCTATCATGGACACCTGATGGGTGTGCCATTGCAGTAGCTTGGTCATGGGCGTGTCATGGTGGACTAGCTGTGTGGAGTGTATTTGGATCACTACTGATGTGTACTCTTGGTGGAGACTATGGGTATCTGACATGATTCTAACACTGTTGTATTGTAGAAAAATTTTCCATTAAGTTAAGAAGGTAATTTGAGATCAAAATCTGCTTCAGTGCTATCTGTGATTGGTCTAGAAAATTCACATTAATCCCCCCCCCAAACCCAACTGTCCACAAGCTGAGACATGGGCTATATGCATCTTGGAGATTGGTGTTGTTCTACTCAATTGTCTAACATATCTTGGCAGGAAGAATATTTGCCATGACAATATTTATGCAGGTGACAAGCAGCTTACCTGTCAAAAAAAATTACAAAAGGAGATGTTTAAAAGCTAGTGATTGCTTCAAGTTTATTTAAGATAGTCTCAACAAAACACTCAAAACAGTTTGTGGATAAAAAGTCACTGGCATGCAATGGATACTCATCTGCAAATTATCCACTTACAGGACATCTCAAGAGGCTGTGCTGCACAATCCACTGCACATTAAGTCAATGGTGAGTCTAATACTTAACATTAATTTCACTTCTAGTGTCTTATCACAAATGCTGCAATCTGACTGGCCACTTTACTTGCTATATACTGCATGACAGAGAGTGAGTTAAGCACAGTGGGTTGTCTGACAGTGTGGCATTGTGATCAAAATAAATCAAAGACCTGAGCAGGTCTTGTTGTTAAGTTTTGAACAACAAGTAGATTATTTGCTCTTGATATCTAAAGGTGATAGTTGATTTGGTCTTTGCCTTGCACATTAACCCTCTCACTCCCAAGATCTTATTAAAAACTCTCCCTACAATCTGCCATGCAATTATTATGATGTTAGTTTGGAGAATTTGCTATTGGATTAAACAATAAACCCCTACTTTTCTTTTTTCTCATCACTTGCCTGCTCAATGTTGTATTGATATTGTAGGGAGAAATTCTGTCTTGATCACTCGTGAGAGTTTAAGGGTGAACAAAAAAATGCTGCTGTAGTTCACTTTTCAGAAATTAGCAGGCAGTTAGTCAAAATAAGATGTAAAGTCTTTTAATTTAGTCTAAATTTATTCATATTTTTAATTTTGTCAGGGTTGGGGCCCAGAAGGTTACACTTTGGCTTTGGTGTCTGCTGAGGAAGAGAGTGGTACTGCAGGTAAAAATTACAAACTTAAAACCTTTAACTGCCAGAAGTAATCAATGTGAATTTTTCCCTACAAACAGTCAGCCAAAACATACAATGGTTATATGGAAAGGGTCCAACCTCAATGGTTTTGTGGCATTATTGCACAGATATATCTAGTTGGGTATGGTTCCATCTGATTTTGAATGATTCTGTCCAATCTTGGACTTTTCAGTCTGATTTTTGATGATTCTTTCTACTTTTGAATGGTTCAATCAGTGAAGACACTTAAACACAGTGTGACTAAATTTATTTTTAGGTGACATTATGCAACTCCAGTTCATGAAAAGTGCACTAACAGTAAATCCTTGCATGGTAAGTGGCTTAAGTATAAAACAGTGTGTGCCACGATTTCTGATGACTGAAATCCTCATTATAGCGGAGCTCGCAGAGCGTAGCCCCATAATTTTACAAAATGGTAGTAGTAACCTATCAAGCCGAAAAAATTTGGACTTACAACCATATGACTGTACGACCATAAAGGGTGTTACTTTTAACATGCATGGTCAACTGTACCATGGGCACACTAACGCCACTGCTTTGTCCAGTAGTCCAGTGGTCAGTGCACTGGGCTGCGAGTTGGACGACTCGGGTTCTAGTCCTGGCCGGGGCAAGGCGTTGTGCCCTTGCGATGGATGAGAAAAAAAAAATTTGAGCTCTGCTTTTAGGCTTGGCTAAATCTATATATTAGGTGATAAAATACACTGTTCTCTAAAGTAACAACCAAAATTTGAAATTTTCTGTTCAGGAGAAATAATCTTGTAAGCATGTTTATATTATTAATAAAAATTGCATGTCAATTCAACTCATTTTATAGAAGGGATTATCAGCTGAAATCTTTATTATTATTATCAGTTATAAAATTAATATTTTAACCTGTCAAAGGCATATTTTTCTCTTTTTTTTCTTTTTTGTTTGGGTTGTGGGGGGTGGAGGCAAGAGGTGGAAGAAATAATCAGAGAAGGGGAGAGGGCATGAATTAGGCCATGCATATTAATGTGTGTTGCTGCTGTTGCTGCTGTTTCTGCCACCATTTTGTTCAGTTGATATTTTGAGCTTTGAACTAATCTTGTCTACAACTTAATTCTTTCATTATTCCAGACCAACCATGAGCATCTATTTCTTCAAGGTGAAGAATGTTTGTACCTCAATACTGGGGACATGGTGTCTGAGACACAGGAACTCTTAGAGGGGAATGGAACTAGGCCTGTGATTGGTGGACCTGTTGGGCACAGTACATTGGTCAGTAACAAGCAATGGCTTGTGCTACAGGTGGGTAGTTCAATAGGCTCTCTTTCCTTACAAAGATTTCTGAGTTTCATTTTTTTTATTTGCTCTTTTCTCTCTCTTCACTCTAGACTCCTTCTAATTATCTTGACAGCAACTGGCCAATAAGGGTAAGTGTTCCTGTATTAACTAAATTATGTTACTGCTTATACATGATAAATGAAAAAGAAAAGAACACCATTAGTTACCAAGATGTAAAACATGAGTAGAAATGTTGTCAGTTCTACTTAGTTTTAAGCTTTACAGTTTTAATTGACTTTCTTTACTATTTTTGGAATAAATTAATACATTTCTATTCACATGACCATGACCATGGGGATCAGTGTCAGTATCTGAGTAACTGCACACCTACCCCTCCCCTAACCTAACATTAACCGTGAATTTTTGTCTGTTGATTGTTGTTGGGTTAGGGGAGGGGTAGGTGCGCAGTTGATCAGATGCTGCCAATGATCCAACTATGATATGGTAAGGTTACCTTCATTTTATTGCAGTATGCTGCCGTGGATAAGAGCGGACGCTGTATCGCTGTGGCTGGTAGAACAGGAATTGCTCATTATTCACTCAACAACAGAAAATGGAAGCTTTTTGGAAATGTTTCACAGGTATAGAGACTTCTTAGCATGACAGATACAATTTTTAACCCTTTCACTACCAGGACTGATCAGAAAGTAATATCTCCTCACACCTTTAATACATTTCCCAACAAAAAGATGTTTAGAGGCGAGAAAGGTATCAAGTAGGACATATTACTTGATCTAACACCAAATTCTTAGGGCTAAAACTGTAAGAAAAGTATGGCAGAAAGTGAGGATAATTGAGATTGAGATATCTTGGTATTGAAAGGGTATTTTCTATTATTTCTTTGGACAGAAATCATTGTCAATTCTTCAGGGAATGTTAAAGAATCTAAAAGAATTTTTTGTAGACTGAAATAATTTTTGTTCGTTTGTTTTGATTTCCAGGAGCAAAGTTTCTGGTGTCGTGGCGGCTTGGCTTGGTGGAGGGATTTCCTTATTGTGCCCTGCTACAACTCAAATTCATCAACCGACGAAGTAGGTGACCGTGTAAACCATTCAAACATCCACTTCATAGACTAAGAGGATTTCTTGTGTTCTGATTTTGTTTATTTCTTTTTTTTTTTAGGTTCGTTTTTACCCCAGGACGTGTAATTTAGACAATGCATTTGCTGTTAACGTGAAGCTGCCTGCTCCAGCTTTCCTTGTGAATGTGTTTCGTTGCTTGTTGTTAGTTTACTGTTCTGACTGCCGAGTGGTGTTCTTTTCACTAGAGAGGACTGATTATGATCCAAGTAAGAGACTGGGTTACACTTTCCCTAGATCCCTTTCTACTTCTTTATCTCGTCTGTTTCTGATTTTGCTCATCTTTTAATTGGAACAAGGCCAACTGAAGAATGCAAAAAAAAAAAATACCAGGCTTAGACAGCTTCGAAAGGGGGGAGGTTGGGGTAGAAAGACCCATAAATGAAGGAGGGGGCCTTAAGAAGGGGTCTACAAAAAACTTTTCGAAATGAGCATTTAAACGATTGCTTTCTTGCAAAACAGACAATCAGCTGAGCAAGGCACGGTTTTCCTTTTTCCTGGTTTTATCGGGTAACGGGATTAAACTGTAAACGTTATCAACAAAACATAAACTTACCTTTGAACTTGTAAACTGTTAAAAGCAAAACTGCAGAATCTACCTTTTTAGTTTATATCTGGAGAGAGGAGAAGGGCGGATGATAGGATGATCGTTAATTCTTTACCGTAACATCGGTATGCATATTCTTCATACTTTTCTGAATACACTTCCTAAGGAGCTGAGAAGGAGAATTTGTTTACTAATCAATAGCTTCATTAGTTGGTGATCATTTTCTTTCTTCTTGTTACCTTAATGTGTGAATTGGGGGCAGATATTGTAAGGAGAAATTAGCTGCTTACGAGTAAGGTTTGTGGTGAACGGGGAACGGTGACGGTAATCCCAGAACTCCTTGGTTGGGTTTGGTCTTGTGGTAATGAAAAAAAAAATGAAACTTTGTCTAGTGATTATTTACGATATTCTTCTCTCGCAGATGTTCCTGAGGTGCAGGTGACACGCGTGCAAGAAGTGGCGTTGGTGAATCACGTGCCTCATCCTTTAGCAGTGGTTCATGTCACGTTAACGTCACTGTATGCAGGTGAGTGAAATGTTGCACATAGCTGTAATGCTTCCCTGTGGTTCAGTGTTAAAGTTATTTTTATTTCTTCAGATTACCAAGGGTCCGATGGACTTGATGGCGTGGAGTCTCTTATAACAAATGTTGGGGGCCGGCTACTAATGCTTCAGAAAGATAAAGCGTATCCTGAAAGAAAGTCGAAAAAGGTATTAGACACTGTTATGAAATTTACAGTCCCAGTAACATAGCCTGCATCATACCATGTCAGCCTCTTGTTTTGTGCTTTCAAGTATTTTCCAATTGTAAACGAAAAAACAATTTTAGAATTTCATGAAGTATTCCCTACTTAAGGGTCACTTTTGCATAGAGGCCTGATATGAGGTTCGTCAGTAACGAGATGAAAAACATCGTTACTCTGGCTTGGTCAATGTGTTGTGTTCTTGGTCAAAACAATTTACTCTCACACCTAGGAGTATAGATGGTAACCGGCCAGCGGTTCCTGACAGTTTTAGACATAGCCTCTGTTGAATAACACCATATTCATCATTAATGCCTTCCAATAGAAGTTGTATGCTTTTGCCCCTAGTCTTCATTCTTTTCACCTGTTGTGTTGGCCTCGTGTGTGGAGAACGTGTGGACATCGTCCACCTCAAGTCGAACCAAGAGACATTTAATGGAAGCTTTGTGGCTGGGATGTGGCGCAAACGGAATGAAGGTATCAGACGCTTAAGTTTATAACTATACAATCATTGAACTTTGCGTCCCTTTGTAAACATTTTGTGACACAGCCATTCCGTAATTTTTTAAACTACTATTTTTTTGGTAGGGTTATATATTCGTTAGTAGTTGATATCACAAATAGGGCCTGTTCTTAGGCAAAACACGTATCTCTTACAGTGTCTATCTCCAGCCAGGAGTATAAATGGGTACCGGCAAATTATCAGGGAAGCCTGGTGAAATGCTGGGGGGGGGGTTAACATTGCAATGGACTGGCGTCCCATCCAGGGGGGAGTAGTAATACTCCTATAGTTACTTCATGCCAAGGAAACCGGGATAAGCTCCGTCTGGGTGAACCACTTGGCTCGAGTACAGACTTTTACAAGTTAGGATGAATACTCCCTTTGAATCAACTGTGCGTTTCGTTGCTCCAAAACCACTTTAAGTACCGCATAAAACAATGTCTTGAGGAACATTTCATCATTAACTTTTTCTAACCGGGATCAGTAATGTTTATTTTTGTTCCTGCAGGTGTGGCTCCCATTATTCCCTGGAAATGATGAAAACCCGCCGAATTTTCTATCGAAACGAATCATGCTGCCTTTCCATCTAAACATCTATCCACTTGGTAATTTTGAGTTATTCCTAAAATAGTCTGTAGTTCCTCTACGTTAGAATGTCGAGGATCCCCGATCTCGACTGGGAAAGAACGCACCTGGCGCTCCCTTGCTGCCCGCGTTGGTCACGCAAGTCATGAAAACGACTGACGACGATTCAGGCGTATTTCTGCTAAGGGGCTGCTTAAGGGGTTAATTTGATAACCGGGAAAACTTAATATGTCGAATGTTTTAATCTTTCGTATTTTCAGCGAAATGAAACCTTTGATGTACTCTAATACGAACGTTATTCCTCATAGCTGTGTTATTTCAAGATGCTGTGATTCTCGGCGCTGCAAATGAGCCGATGCCTTTAGAATGTACATCTCCTGCTCCTACGTCTCTTTCACCGCAAGCCTTTCCTTTCTGCACTCTGGAACGAACGGTTAGTGACGTGTTTATCCTGAAACTCCCTTAATCTGATTTGTAATTCTCCCTCCTTGTATCTCTAAATTTCCTTCTAAATAAGTGAGGAGAATTTGGTCTTCTATCTGGATAAAATCAGTTGATAAATTAGTTAACTCTCACAGCCTGTTTGCCATGTTTTATACCCTAATTGTGAAGAGAATTTACATGTCAAGCACTTTTGGAAAAGAAAAGGGAAGGGGAGCTACCATCGTGACTCACGTATCTTGAATATTTGATTTTGACTTGCTTGACATTTACGTTCCTCTTAGACGCAAATCTACCTTCATCACGTGCTAAGGCAGCTGCTGCGTCGAAAGTAAGTAAGCTTATATACCATCTGCTTTCTGAACCCTTTACACCCTAACATCAGTATGTATATTCTCTATACTGTTCTCTATACATTTCCTAAGGTGCTGAAAAGGAGAATTTGTTTAACAATCAAGAGCTTCTTTCGCTGGTGATCATTTTCTTTATTCTCCTGTCCCTGATGTTTGACATTTATGGGGGGAAATAAGATGCTTGTCACCATTAGGGGTTAAAATTCTAACGAGACTAAAGATCAACACAAGTCCACGAAAAGCTGTTCAAAAACTTTAAGATTTAAATGAAAGTAAATTAAAAAAGTATTTTTCTAAGGTTTGTGAGGCTTGAGTCTCTTCACTGTCACAGTAATGCGTATTTCTCCTCTGTCAGCTTGGGCCAACAAGCGTTGAAGATTGCCAATATGTGTTGTGACTTGCCGTACTTTCCTCATGTGCTTGAACTCATGCTACATGAAGTACTTGAAGAAGAAGCCACAGCATCTGAACCCATTCCAGGTAAGTAAGAAGTGCTATTAATCATCAGTCTTAGCAGATGATCCATGGGGAAAAAGAAACAGAAACTTCAATCGGTTCTGTATTTTCTCCTGACAGATGCTCTTCTTCCTCGTATTGTACGATTTATAAAGGAGTTTCCTCAATATCTTGAGACAGTCGTGCACTGCGCGAGAAAGACAGAGGTGGCTTTGTGGAGTTATTTGTTCATGGCTGTTGGTAATCCACGAGACCTATTTGCAGTGAGTGGCTTAAGCCTTTACACCCTAATATCAGTATATATATTCTCCATACTGTTTACATGTTGCTGTCGAGAAAATTTTTTGAAGGATCTAGAGCTCAAGATCTCATTAGTAATTCTCCTTACTTTGTGTCATATACTTCCTGTGATGTTAGTTTGGAGAATTTGGTATTGGATCAGCTAATAATCTCCTAGTTAATATTTCCTTTTATTCTCATCACTTGTCTGCTTGATATTGTATTGATATTGTAAGGAGAAATTCTGTCTTGGTCACTCATGGGAGTTAAAGGGTTAATGTTTGATTCAGGCATGATGTTGTAAGGGGAAATTAGATGCTAGTCACTCTTGAGGGTTGAATGGTCAAACCTGGTTTCCTTATGATCGCCCGAATCGTCCCGATCTCCCTAGTATAGAAGTTCTGCGTAACCTCAGCATTCCTTATCTCATCATTCAGATCATTTTGTTTGTCTGTTTGTATCAGGATTGTCTTGCAGCGGGTAAACTTGAGACTGCCGCCTCATACCTCATTATTCTGCAGAACTTGGAACAACCAGCTGTAAGCAAACAGGTTAGAAAAAGGATGTGAACTTTGACAATTTTCACGGAACCCTAGAAAGCCTCTCAGACCATTTTCAGGTCGTGGAATAGTGTAACAAACTTGTTCTTAGTGTTCTGTTCTTCAGTGAAAAACACGAAACTACACCAGTTTATTATCCCTGCCATTTTGTACTGAAAGACCTGTCGCAATTTGAATTGTGTCTTTTTGTTGCTTTGTTTGTTATGAAGATGTTAAAAATACTGAATCGTGATTTTACGTTGTTTCAGCATGCCACTATCTTACTGGATAAAGCTTTGGACGGCTGTAAATGGAACGTAAGTTTTAGAAATTTTCATTTGAAATTTATGTTGAATGTGAACGTATTTGACCATTTGAGGAGGCCATTAGCCCTGCCAATAGATAGTCACGTCAACTGAGTTTCAAACTCTCAAAAAAGCAAAGCGTAGGGTATGCTAACAATTAACAGAAACTTAATATCCGCCAGAAGACAGGAGCCTTTCTAAGCCCATTACAAGAAAAAGAATAAAAGAACTTTTCTTTTTGTCGTTATTATGCTGTAAATCTTTAACCACGCGTGCAGTATGGTCTTACGGTTGTGTTTTCTCCCCAGATTGCGCGCGATCTAGTCCGTTTTCTTCGTTGTATCGGAGCAGACGAACTCGACTCCCCTCCACGATCCCCTACGTTCGTGAAACCACACCACCCCCCACCCCTGAGTCCAGCCGCGTCTGTAGATAATGACGATATTCCTTATACGGTAAATCCCCACGCACGCTCGTCTAGCGTGACGAAGCCACCATCACGCGGGTCCCTCACGCGTGGAAGCTCCATAGAGAAAGCGTACATAACAAGAACTTCTTCATCAGACAAGGGATCTTTAACAAGGTCAGGTTCAATGGACAAGTCACGGAAAAGTGTAACATCAATGTCACCGAATTCAGCCACTCAACCAAAGTAAGACTGTCACGTCATTCTTACCATTTCAGTCTTATTACCTGTAACACAACATGTAAAATTAATTGAAGGAGTCACACAACGTGTTTGTGGTCTTGAAAAAGTAAGTCTTATTTTTTTTAAGGAGCTAAGTTTCTAAGGAAACTTTAGTTCTTCGTCGGTGGGGTTTACGGACGATATGAATTGGCCACCGTCACAGGAGAGCTTCTGAAGCTGACATTTCGAGCGGTAGATCTTCTTTAGCGTGGTTAATACTTGTCATTTGTGATATTATTTTTATTTTTCCATCCCCAAGCTTTTTATTTTTCTATTCACTTTATCCTCATCTTTTTTGTTGTTTTCTTCATTCTGAAAAGCTATGATGTGTCATCTCTTGTAGTAAAATGTTCTGCCCCGCAAAAACAAATCACGTTCCCATTTAATGTGGGTTTTTTCTGTGATTTATAAATAACCATTTAATAGCTCGCTTTAATTCTCTTGACCATTTGACTCCAAAGAGTGACTAACATCTAATTTCTCCTTACCATATCACCCCTGAATGACTCATTGAGGTCACGAGAATAAAGGAAATGACACCTTCTTCGTGTCAGCACCTTACGAAATATTTAGAGAACAGTATAGAGAATCTGCATATACTGATGTTAGAGTGTAAAGGGTTATTGTAATAACTTTACTCACTCTTTCCCTGGACAGACGACCCACAGAGCTTGAAACACCCGACAACTTTTTCATCGACACCATATTGAATCGTCACGCCAGACTGCTACTAACCGCCATGCGTCTTAGGGATTTGGGAAAATTCGCCGCTTATTTAGAGTTCCCTCTTATACCTTGGCTACGCAAAGAGAGGTAAGAAAGCATCGTCTTGTTTCAATATGGTTAACCCTTTCACTCCCGTAAGTGACCAAGACAAGTTTTTCTTTACGATATCAATACAATATCATGCAGACAAGTGATGCGAATAAAGAAAAATACTCATTGGGGGATTATTAGTTGATACCAAATTTACTGAAGCAACATCATAAGAAATTTTATGGCAGACTGTAAGGAGAATTATTGATGAGATCTGGGAGTGAAAGAGATAAGCAGAGAGCTGATGGGAGATAAAGATGACAATAACACTCTACTGTGTGCTCGATATTTCTCCTCTCCTGGACTCAGATTTTAGACACAAGTGTCCGATATTAGACACTTTTGTCTGATGTTAGACACAAGTATCTAATTTTTTGTTGGTGTCCGACTTTAGACACTGGTTTCCAATTTCGGATACTAGTGTCTGATTTGGAACACTAGAGTCCGGTTTTAGACACTAGTGCCCGACTTAAAATACTAGTGTCTGACTTAAGACACCTGTGTCTGATCTTTGACACTAGCGTCCGATTTAAGACGCTGGTGTCCGATTTTAAATACTGGTGTCCGATTTTAGACAGTAGTGTCTGATTTCAGACAATAGTGTCTGATTTTGGACATGTATGTCCGATATAAGACACTAGTGTATGATTGTACACGGTAGTATCTGATCTTAGACACCAACGTCGGATTTTAGTCACTAGTGTCCGATCTTAGACACTACTGTTTGACTTCAGACACTTGTTTCCGATTTTAGTCACAAGTGTTCGATATCTGACATCGGTGTCCGATTTTAGACTCTAATGTCCAGGTTTAGACATTAGAAGTGTTCTCTCATATTTTAACCTTGAGAGATGAAAGAAATTTTCAAACCACTAGAGCAGCCTTTTTTCCGTTAAATTCTAAATAATTCTAAGCGATATGAAATGGTGATAAGAGGTACTAAAAGTGGTCAGTTGTACTGGTTACCGCCTGAAGAGAACACAGCACCTTTGGAAGGTTATGGTTCATATTGATTGCGGTGCCGGATTATAAAGACGTTGAATTGACCGGATACATGACAACGATTCTGAAAGTATTGCACCATAGCTCCAAGTTAACTTGAGGCTTTGAATAGAAGCTTAGCATGATCCACCTTTTTCCTTTCTTTGTTAGGATTCGCGCTGCTCGTTTGGACAATTATGTTGAAACTTTAACAAGTATCCACAAGAGTTTCGATCTTCCTTATCCAGCTGTCAATCAACTGTCATCGGCTCCGCTGTCTCCTAAACCTTGGATTAGACATGGTGAGAATAAAAACTTTCTGAGGGGTGGTGGGGCACGAGGCTATCTATTTCCCTCCCTCCCTCCCCCTCGATTCTGGTCTGTAGAAGTAAATATTTAATAATAAATCATCTTGGTATGCTCCTGAATTCCAGATACCCTTACCCCCAGCGTTCAATTCCCAATCGATGATTGAAGGTATTTTTCCTCGATAATTATCGCCAGTGGATATTGTGCGATAAACGAGGCTCCATATCTTGATAGCTAGTGTTAACCCTTAACTCCCTTGATCTGATTGTTAATTCTCCCTTCCAACTGCTACGTATTTCCTTATAAATTAGTTACGAGAAACTATTGTTAGATTAACTTACCTGATAAATTTGAGTATTCTCATTAACTGTTTGCTGGATAATGTAGGGATATTGAGAAGTTACATGTTTATCACTCGTAGGAGTTAAAGGGTTTAACATATTGGATGATAGTTAATTGATAGAGTTGTAGAGACACTTGTGTAAAGGTCGAAATGTGATGAGTGAGAGGTTTTCGTCTAAAAAAGAGATACAATGGTTATATTCAATGGCAGTAACACTTAACTGGAGGCATTTCTATTCAGGTCGATTATCATCAGTGTCTTCGTCAAGCAGCACGCGCGGCGGCCGACAAAATCTGGACGAGTTGGAAGGTAGGATGGAACTGGAAATCGAGCTTGGAGAGGAGATAGAAGAAGAAGAGGCACAGTTGTCCCCGGTCTATAGAAGTGAGTATCTAAATTTCGTTGGGGATGTGTCCTTCAGTTTAAGTTTTCGTGGACGGAAGAGCCACTTTTCTTGACAAAACGTTCAGCACTTTACACTCTCAAGGTGCGTCTAAGTTTCTGTTGTTTTGACAGATGATGAAAGTGGTCGAGTCAGCGGTGATCCTTCGGAAACTAGTTCAGTGGCGCACTCAATGGATGGCGAGGAGGACTGGGTATGGGGTGGGGAAGGACCTAGTTACGTGGATGTACAGGAAATTCGAGCTCAGCTTGCGTTCAATGGTTCTTTACAGGCGCTGAGAGAGATAAGGTCAGTTGTGTTTGGCGTTTCATGGGGTTCTCCATCCCTTTCCCCCCCTCCCTTACTAACTCAGGAGTGCTTTCCTCTGTTCGTATTAGACAAAGTCTCTCGCGATACTGTGTATGAATTTAAAGGTCAAAGAGACAGATACTTCTGTGAATCGTCGAAGGATTTATATCGTTGATATGAAGCTTCCTAGCTTATACAGAGAATTTATTGAAAATGGAGAAATTTTTTGTTCCAATCCCTAACCTCGTATTTTTCTTCATTTTAAGATTTTTACTTCAAATGTTTATTGAGGCCAAATGTCACGATTGGTGGTTCATGCTTTCGCTGGTGTTGCGTGACAGTACGTGTTTGACTGACTTCGTTGATGACGTAATTAAAATGCGTGACATGACTATCGACTCACTGTCCCGGATTAGAGACGGAATAGCATCGCTGGAGGCCTGGGCTGAGCAGAATTGGTAATTCAGCCTGTATAGTTAAACGAAGTATTTTTGGTCCGGTGGTTATGTTGTATGTGTCAGTTTTGGACAGTAGCCATGTCTCGTTTTAAATGGCAAATGTTGACCTCCTTTTTCACCTCTATTTTTATCAATTTGTTTTTCTTTCACCAGCCATGGTTATCATCTCTTTTTCGGCCTTCACAAAGAACACTGGCTTGCCCTTGATGCAGCATTAGAAGCGGCTAAAGTTGCGCCCATTGAACAAAAGGACAGTGGTCCTGCTCCTGACTCGGGCCGCTACTCGCGTCAGTCCAGCACGAGTAAGGATGAAGAAAAGCCTGGTAACGAGGAAGAGGAAAGCGAAGAAGTGGCCGAGGAAGAGAAGAACGAGTACGAGTGTGTTGTTTCATAAACAAATCTGGACTATCAGCCCTGTGTGTGGTTTTTAGTGCAGTGGAAATTTCGATCATAGATGCGAACCTGTGGAATTTTGAAAATTTGATGAGAAGCATCTAATAAGATGCTCCAAACAAGAAGCGCGAGGACTGAAATGATAATGTTATAGATGGAATCGTATACAGCTCTCCAGGCTGATGTCATTTACCGGAACCCGTGACAAACCGAGGAGTTGTTCGGAGAACAAAACGAGCCGTGAAATAAATCTACAACTAATAGTCTGTGGTCTTGAACTTTGCGCATACATCACTTTATCGTCAAAATTTACGAAATATGCTAATTACGAAAATGTTCCCAGCACAACCATTCATTTTCTGGAGGCAAATTACACCACACCCTTAGGTATAAGTACTGTTTTAAAAAATCATTTTATCTCAGTCTTACTAGACAGTCATCGAGAGAAATACGCCAACCTGCCCTCTCCCTCTATACTCATTTTTTTAGACTTGATTAACGCATTAAAGGGAATTGAATACTATTAGTATTCAGTATAGATTATTTATCTTACTAGACACATTCGTGTTTGTTTGTGATACTAAACACCGAGTTAGACCAAAGAAAGTACAACCACCAGGCTCCAGCAGGGAAGTAAACAACCTCGTTCTCAGGGTCTCTCTTCTCAGTTCCCTTCCTTTAGCGAGAGGAAATGAAGGGAAGTAAAAGGACCGAGGAACGAGGCTGGGAAGTAAATATAGTGGAAGGATCTAAAGCCCTTACTCGCGAGCAAAAATTCCGTGTTGCATCGGTTCAAGTTCTTCCAACCCAAAGTAAAAATGACACCATGAGAAAATTGCTAATTGTTCAGAAAGGCGCTAAGGTTATCATGCTTCCAGAATTTACCAGAACACTTGCATCCAACAGCGCGGACGGTTTTCTCAAGTTTGCAGAGGAGATACGGGACCTTACACGATTCTATGATCAAAATCTGCCGAAGATCACGGAGATTACGTTATGGGTGGGTCACTGACCGAGAAAGATCATCTATAATCTTTCTCGATCAGTGAAAAGCTCTACAACACTTGCCCTGTCATTGATTTTCAAGGACAGATGATATTAAAGGACGGGAAGTTGCATCTTTGTAAAATCGATCGTCCGTCCGTCGTATGATTACGAAGAGCATAGAAACCTAACACCGGGTGTTGATCTTAGAATCTTCGACACGCCCATGTGGAAAATTGGGCTAGTACTGAATTGTGACATAAGATGCCAACTGCTGGCGCAGATTTATTGTCAGATAGGTTGCAAATTGTTGTTATAGCCCGGTGCATTCAACACTGTTATAGGGCGTGCGCATTTAGCTGTCATGCAGAGAGCCTGGGCCAAAGATGATCAAGTGTACTTAGTCACTGCATCACCCGCGCTTGATTGCAACCACTCCTACAACTGTTGGGGTTGTAGCAGTATTATTGACCCATGGGGTAGGATTGTAGCACAAGCTAGCGAGAATGATAAGGTTATTTTCGCTAATATAGACTTGGACTACGTAGACACGGTTAGACAATAGATTCCTTTTCAACTACAGAAAAGGACCGACTTGTATCGTATGAGGAACATTGATGCCGAGGGAAAACGTTGTAGTTAATGATGGAGAACGGCTCTACTGATTGTTAGACTAGATATATGTAACTATTGTGGAGCAAGTTAGCTTTTCTCTGAAGAGCACGGTAAGATTTTCTGCCCATTTAAGTTTCATTTTACCTGTCTTTTTAATGAGGAAGGTATCCCTCAAAGGATGGTATGGTTGAAAGCATTCTAAAAATTCGAGAAATAGGGAGAAATAATTTAAAAGGACAGCCACTTGATTATTGCCGCTAGAAAGACATTCAACGACATGGATATAGGGACTAACCTCAGAGTTTTGTTTTTCCATATCGGAGTAATTGCCAAATTATTATTTTACATTAAGAAATGAAGAGGAACATTGAGGTTGAATACTGTTTCGTCAGATCAACATTTCCTTTAAGAATTCTACATGCTTTTCGGAATGCCTTGAACTGTCTCGTTTTACGTTCCCTAGGACCTTCGTATTTGGGTTTTTTATTCATAATCGCTCATACATTTCTTATTTTTGCTCGTTACCGTTTTCTCATTTGATTTACCATCCAATTTTTCTTCAGCTTTCTCTGCTGTATTCTCTTTAGTCAAGTGCCAGGTTCCTGATCGGAAACGGGCTAAATAACAATAGGGCATCGCCTCCGTCGCTTCTCAATCCCGCTTTCTTTGAGCTCTGTTCCCTAGTCAACTCTATTTCCGTTGTAAGAGTCCCAGTCCTCAGTAGTATGCCCTTTTGTGTTCGATTATCAGCGTTCTCTTTGGCTTTTGAAACTGAAAACGACCATGATACCTTTCCTTTCATATATATATATTTTTTTATTGCATATCAACTTCGAAACCCATTCAAACTCGTGAATAATATTAGTAACTCGCGTGCAAATCAGCTACACAAATTTAAAGCATGTAATATTCTTCTATATAGTTTTGTTGTTACAGACACAAGATAGACACTTGTAATACTTGTAGGCAAACTTTAAGACGATAAGTACTCGCGTGTACAGTGCGACTTCTGTTACTGGGTTCATGTACTCAAAACTGGTTCATCCAATTGCGGGAGGAAGAGCAATAAATTCCATCTTAATCTGCTGCCATCTATGCTTACCTTGTTCGTTCCCTAAAGTCAAATCGGTTGTGACCTTGCAATCTGAGTAACCCAAACTGAAATGGGTACCCAAAACTAACCTGGACTTAATCTCATTGGAAAGGCTTTATACGGCTAGTAGTTACATTCACATCCAATTGCAAAGGTACATTCCATCTTAAATCTATGAGTGTTCGTTCCCTAAAGAAATCGTTTGTGACCTTGCAATCTGAGTAACCCAAACTGATCCGGACTTAACTTTTATACGGCGTGACGAAAAAAGCGCAAATGAAAACTGGGAACCAATAATAATAACATCATGGCGACTAATGATGGCTCCGGGCCAGCGTATATTATGGAAAATTCAAGCTTATATTCTGCTAAATGCGTATTATTTACACGTCTAGCCTTTGGAAGCGTACTTATTTTCAAATTATGACGTTTTTATGTATGGCTATTGGAAACAGGGGCTGCAACACAAGGAAATGGCGACGACATCATTTATGGAGAGAAGCCAACATCTGCAAAACTCTTCTTGGTTTTAACGCTGACTCTACCAGGGGTAAGCTTAACGTTTACTTAGTATGAAATATTTATTAGACTAATGATCATGTAGATAAAGATTGACTTTGGAGAAATATTGCTTAGGGCTAATGTTACATCAGATAATTTATGCAGCGCGAAAATCAAAATGTTCCTTTTACCACCGTGTGCACGTGTTTTCTGGTTGGTAATAACACTCCACCAGATTTGAATTAAATTTCTAGGTAGCTACCTAACAAAAAAAAGAGAAAAAACTGAAAGTCCCTAGGGATCCCGGTAGATAACACCTAAGGTGTCAAGAAAAAAATAAAGTGCCCGAAAACATAATTTTTATGATTATTAGAAGCACGCTACTTAATAAGTGTTATCACACGATTTTATGAAGCAACACACAGCTTCTTCATTTGATAAAGAGGATTTGTTTCTAAAGAAACTGGGGTGCTGCATTCAGAAAGAAGGAGGGGGGGAGGGTTACAAGATGATTTGGTTTTAGCCTCTGAGTTGACCAGTTGTTCACCTATGGAATTTTAAGACTGACGTTTTGATTGTTAGTCCTTCGCCAGGGGGAATGACAGGCTAATGTTTAATTGTCAGTTTTAGGAATTCTTTGTGGTGGTTGAGTAACATTTATTGATCATTATTATCATTGGGAGATCAAGCATTGGATGTTGTCCTTGAGTAGCATAGAGTTATAAAGTCAGACATGTAAATCAAGTGAGGTCAGGTATGCTATGATAATTTAGTTTTTTGAGCTTTCACCAATCTACGGCATCATTATGGATGTGATCAGTGAAAGCTCAGAAAAGTAAATTATCACTTGATTTACATGTCTGACATTATTGGGAGAATTTGAGACAAATATGAGCACCCTCATCTCTGCCTTGAGTTTGCTTAACTGTTGAGGATAGTAGCACTGTGATTGTTAGTGATTTAAAAATTATGATTTTGAAATAGGTGCTGCAACAATTGATTTATGAAATATGGTTATCACAATAAATTATTTATCATAATTTACAGAGAAGCCTGAATGAAAGTCTGACAGTGAATGTCTTGGTTGACTATTTGCAGCTGTAAATACTTTGCATGACATAGTAAAGAAACACTAGGGAGCAAGCTGGCAATCCTGAGATAAAACAGGAGTAATGGCATCCATGTGGCATTAGCAACCCTCAATGTATTCTACGTGAACAGCAAGGACAAGTCTTCTAGCTAGACTGGACAAGTTTTGTGGAGATAGTTTAGACTTCTTTGACAATCTTGGAATAGCATTTGAGGTAAATCAACTTAAATCTATGGCTTTCGTGGAAACTGGCCGTCAATTTTGGCATAAGTAGTCCAAGAAGTATCACTAGCTGTCAACCCTTTAACCCCTAAGAGTGACCCCCATCTAATTTCTCCCTGCAAGATCATCCCTGAATTGCACATCAAGGTTATGAGAATAAAGGAAATGGTCATCAACTAAAGAAGCTCTTGATTGTCAAAACAATTCTCCTTGTCAGCACCTTAGGAAATATTTGGAGAACAGTATGGTGAATAAAAGGGGTAAGTTTCTAAAGAAACTGTGGTGCTGCATCGGTGGGAGAGTATGACAGGGTAATTTGATATTATCAACTAAGTTGATATCATAAATTGGCCACTGTAAAAAGTTAGAAAGCTGAAATTTTGTACATTAGCCCTTTGTCAGGGTAAAGTATGAAGGGTTAATGCTGGAAACATCAGCTTTGTAACTCTTTAGGGTTGCCAGTTTACATTTACTCATCAACTCAGTATGGAGAACATGCATACTTGTTGAACAGAAGAATGAAAAACGAAGGAATGCACAGCAGTTAGGAGTGATATTTTAGGGTTGGATAGGGATGGGACACTTTGACATCTCCTTATTTTTTAAAGCTTTAGCACATGTATTACAGGCTGGAGCATATTTTTGGTGGTCAACTGTCATATTTACATACTATATATTTTATTACAGCAAGAGCCTATGGACAAGCAGTGGTTGGTTGCCTGTGGACAAACCTGGGTACATGGCCTGTGGACAAACCTGGATATGTGGCCTGTGGAAAAACCTGGATATGTGGCTTGTGGACAAACCTGGGTACATAGCCTGTAAACAAACCTGAATATGTGGCCTGTGGACAAACCTGGGTACATGGCCTGTTGACAAACATGGATATGTGGCCTGTGGACAAACCTAGGTATGTGGCCTTTGGATAAACTTGGATCTGTGGCTTGTGGACAAGCCTGGATAAGTGGCCTGTGGACAAACCTGGATATGTGGCCTGTGGACAAGCCTGGATAAGTGGCCTGTGGACAAACCTGGATATGTGGCCTGTAGGTAAACCTGGATACATGGCCTGAAGACAAGCATTGGCACGTGGCATATGGACATTAGCTTATCCTCAATAGCCAGCCTGCGGACAAGCATTGATACTTGGCCTGTGGGCAATCCTTAGTACGTTACCTTTGGACAAGTCATCTTGGATTGTGGAGGATCTTGGATCTAGAATGAGAGAAGTCTTGGTCAAAATGTAGCAGGTAAAAGTTTAAACCTTTTTTTTCTAAGTGCACCAGACATTTATGATCAGACAAGACTTTGGTTAAATACCTATTTGCTCTGACATTTTAGTGCTAACGCTCAAAACGTCAACTTGAAACTATTTATGGTGGCCAATTTTCGTTATTAACTTCACAACACCACACTTTCTTAAGAAACTTACCCCCTTTATTCTGGTGGTCAATTGTTTTAACTTGTCCTAGTATTACCTTCTGGATAGGATGCTAGTCTGTTGTAGCCCAGTAATTTGTCAAGTTTCCAAGAGAGTTTTTTTTTACCCATTTATACTGCTGGTTGGAGGGATGAGCAGCGAGAGTTAATCCTTAAACCCCTATGATCTTATTGGTAATTCTCCCCTCTAGCTGCTACACACTTCCTTGTAACTTAGTTGCAAGAATTTGGTGTGAGATCAAGATAACTTCTACCTGACAAGTTTAAGTATTCTCATCACCTGTTTGCTAGATAGCTAATGGATATTATAGGGAGAGTTTTCATGTTGATCACTTCTGGGAGTAAAGGGGTTAAGTGA